TGGCTTTGAATAGGTTACTTAAATGCCTTTAGCCTTGGTTTTCTTATCTGTAAAACAGGTAACAATGGTAATAGAGTTGCCACAATGAGGTGACACATGTCCAATGGTCAATACAGTGTCCGGCATGTAGTAAGCATCCAATTAATGGTACCGTGCTTGTTGCTAGTCTGCTTGTTGCTTTTTATATTATTTTATAATTGCTATCTCAGGCAAGCCATTCCATTTCAGATAACACTAGAAATACTAGAAACTTTTCTTTCATTGAATTTAAACCAGCCAACAGTGGGGGATATTAAATGAAGAAAGGATATCTTGGAAATAGTTGACCAGTTTAAAAATTATCACAGGAGTCCAAAGATAAGGACTTAAATTGACCCTTAAATGCTACTTAGGAATGGAGAAGAGAAAAATGTAAAGGAAATCATGTAGGAAAACATACCTAGACTTCACACTTGATTGGACATGGGGGAGAAAGGACTCTGAAATCAACAGAAATGGGGATCACAAGAGGAATGGATCAGGGAAGGAAGATGAAGAGTAGATTTTAAGGTAGTTATGAAATTCAGGGAGGATTAAGTCATTTGATCATAAAAAGATTTTACTGTAATAAAGAAGTCAGACACCAAATTGCAAAGAGACTTAGACATTTTGGGTGGTAAGAAAGTGTGAGAAAGAAGATTATTCTTAAGAAATTGTGTTAAAAAAATGGAAACTAAAAATAGTGGTAGGGTTAAGAGAAGAATGTTAGTTTTATTTTTGCTTTGGTAGAATGAAAGGTTTTTAGACCTTTCATTCTACCAAAGGGAGGGAAGGTTCTTGAAGTAGCAAGAAAAAGATCATAGAGCTGATGGAATTAGGAAGTAGATATAAAAGATAAAAGCATCTACCAAGATGCTTATTTTTGAGAAGAAGACATGTATTACATCCCCTGATATCAGAGAGTGAAAGGAGTAGAGAGACTTTGAAAGAAAGGGGATGAGGGCAGAATTTATCAATGGTTACAATCTCAGTAAAGCATGAAGCAACAATGCTGAAGGGGGTGTCAGAAAGTGTTTTTAATGTGAAGAGAATAAAAAATGTGTGAAATAGATGTTCTAGGAAATGTAATAGTAGTTAACCACATCAAAATCATTGCTGGAAAGAAAAAGTATAAAATGCCCCTAAAATAGTCAACCATGTACACTGTACTTGGTAGTTTGTAGAAGAAGGACTAAATTTATTCTGCTGTTCAATCTCTCCACTTGGTGTCATTAACTACTAGTTACATCATAAATTCAGTTTATGGAGTTGCTACCTCTGTTGCGGGTACTTTATTAGAATAGAATGTTTGAAATATTGCTCAAATGAATTTCTAGAAACAGGATTTCAAATGTTGTCCAGTCTAATCCCCCTTCTGAGAAATGGATGCATTAAGTTGGTAAGGAGACTCCCCCATAGTCATGCTACTAGTTTTCAGCTGACTAGTATCCAAGCCAAGCCATTATCTGCCTTTCCACTACATCTCGAGCTATGGATTTTCTAAAACTCTCAGCATTGAGACTCCTGAGAAGTTCCAAGCACAGAATAATGCCAGTTGAACCAAATACTACCACCAACAGTTTTGCACCCTTCAATTAGAATATGAGATACTCTTGTCCTTAAAATCCAAATTTCTGGATGCAGGCTTTCTAGAGGTCCAATCTGGTGTTCACAGGCTTCTGCCTGCATTTTTAACTGACTTGTTGCCTCTGTGTACATGAGTGCCCAGCTTTAATCATTCACAGAAAAAGGTGCAACCAACATGTACTCCTGGACGTCCTCAGACAATGAGAAGCCTCTATATGTTATGATAAATACACAATAAAACCGAAAAAGCCTTAAATAATGCCAAATTCTGATTCCTTTTACTTCCATTCTGGGTCATTTTATCTGTCTGTTTCCATTTCTTTTTGCCAAGCCCTAGAGTAGAAAGAGAGTCCAATGCAGTACGAAAGGTAATAGATTATAAGTCAGTAGCATTTGCCTGGCTCTGTCAACTGATTGTCAGAGCTTAGACACTTCTTGGCTTCTTTTTCTTCTATGATAATTCTTGTTCTGCTGAGAGTTTATTGTATGGATAAACTTGAAATAAATAATCTTAAGTCTTCTGAAAATGTACAATGCAGACATTTATTGTATTTTGCTCTGGTTTGCATTGGTTCTATAGGAATGCTGCATTCTGGTAAGGGAAGCTTTATACGATGATAGGTTGCAAAATGTAATTGAAGACCTAATGGCTTAAATCAGTATTTTTTTAGTGATTGAACTGTTGGCAATTTAGAGCAATTATATTCTAATTTTAGAATGACCCTGCAAGCATCTACATATCCATTCTGTTCTTTCCACAGATATTTATGAAGCACCTACCTTGTGCTAGATTATAAAACACTGTTTATTATCATAAGGCCTAGATTTTGTTTAAGAATCAAGGAGATTTTACTACTTTTAGTGTAGTGGTGTCATTTGTTCTCTCCTTGATAAAAAATATAGTGCTATAAAATAAATAAAGTTTAGAACTTGCCTACATTTTATCAACGGAGACAATGTGGACAAGGACAAACCCAACTATGAGGAGAAGAGCTAGCTGCCTAAACACTTATTTTCTTGACAAACTTAGTACAAGAGAGGATATTTCAAATGCTTTGTGATCAAAATTTTTAAAAAATATATGGCAGGGTAGGATTTTTTTAAAACATGTGGTTAAATTTAGGTTTTTACAAAAGGACAGAACATTTGTGTTCCTTTTTATTTATGGCGAGATGATATGAGATCAAGTTGATTGGAAAGCCTTGAATCTGGCCTTTGGTAGTTCTGTTAGCAATGGGGGGCCTGGATCATGCAAGCAATTAAATCCTCAGAAATGTATCTGCACTCGAGATACATAATCGTGGAAGCCCATCTGGTCTGATTTTAGCTTCTCAGCATTTCTCTAAGGTCCTGTAAAATCCATGGCAGGGAAAAAAAACAACAAAAATTCCATGCAGTATACTTGTCAAGAAATATATTTCGTAAATCACTGTTGATATTTTGACTCACAGGACACAAAGGAGTTCTATTACAATTTATTACAATTCTATAACATTTGTTTCCAGTAGCAGTTAGCGGTTTGGCTGGAACAGCCTCCCCTCATCTGTCTTCTACTACTTTGGAATGGGGGATTGGAACCCTGAAAGCAGCTTTCACTAGAGAGAAGCAAACCAATGAATGATTCCAAGTTTTTCAGTGGTTTGTACCTAGTAAGAAAGTAGGCCGAATATGCAAATGAATCTCCTCCTCTCTGTACTTACTAAACTATAACCCCTCTGCTGACTTCATGGGCATGCTTCCTGGGCACAAAGTCCACTTAGAAGGGCCAAAGTTTGGTTTAATGCTCTGCTGTTGCTGTCTTAACATCACTAGCTATTGAAAAAGAAGTCATGTTTTCATTTTGCGTTGAGAACCAAAAATTAGGTAGCCAGTCCTGGGTCCTCATTTCCAGAGATTCAGGGTAGTTGTTTTTGTACTACCAAGAACATGGACCTGGCACTTAGGGGGTGCCCAACAAATGTTTTTAGCATGAGTATATGGATTACTTTTTAGAGCCTTAAATAAAAGCAGTTATTAACCTGAATCTTGATCCATTTAATTTTGCTGGTGTCAGGATGGGGGAGAGGTACTCAAATTTTGAGAAAAAATTTAAGATATAAGAAGGAACCTAAAATAGTATATATACCCAACACCTGTTTCCATCATAGCACAGCAGCTAGTATTTTATTTATTTAAAAATAAAAAGTAAGTAAAGTTTATCTGTTGATCCCACCTCCAATCCTATTCATCTCCCCACCTGCTCATTGAAGACAAAGCACTAGTGTAAATGGTGTATTTTTCCAGTATTATCCCTTTGTAATGTCAGGAATAATTTATGACAATGTATTTTGTGTACATGTCTTAATATTTATGTAAATAATATGAAACTATATATATTCATCCTGCAATTTGCTGTTGTCATTCAATATTTTGTTTGTAAAATCTATATTGATACATGTAACTCTAGTTCATTCATTCTTGTTACTGTATACAGTAGTAATGAAACCCCCTTTTTGATCTGTTGCCACACTCTTAGGCTGTTTAGAGCCAGAGGAGTCTTTCTTTGTATTCTGATACTGCCACTGATAAAAGTCATTAGATAAGTGATACTGGGCAAGGTAAGTGAATGTTCTAAAACTCAGTTTTCGCATTTGTAAAATGAGATGAATAATTTATACCACTTAAGATGGTATTTTTTTGTGACAATTAAATGAGATATGTAAAACCCAGCATGCCATAAAGGTTCAAAAAATAGTGTGAGAATTATCTTACTTTGACATATATAAATCTGAGTATTATGGAGCCCTAAGTGCAAATAATGTAATAGTGATCTTGAATTTGTATTAAGTTTTCTTATACTCTTAGCTTTGCTATTGGTCTTAATTATTTTTTATAACAATAAGAACATTTTGTTCTTAAAATGCAGTACTGGATACATCTTAGAGTATGATGTATGTGGGTTTTTTTTCTTTCTTTTCTTTTTTTTTTTTTATAAAATTGAATAATATTGCCTCTAACATACGTCCCATGGGATGAAAAGGCTTAAACTTATAAAATTATGAAGCTACAATATTAAGTACTTATAGAATTAAACCTATGTTATATTCCATGTTTAATTGGAAAAGAATGGTTATCTAGTGTTTTCTAACTTTCATTTGACAAAGTAGCAAATAATAAAACTGAGAATTCTGGAATTCTATCAAACCATAAGTATACTGCTCTGTAGACCCCAACCTGCAATTAGAAATTAAACACCTGAGTACACATTTTTTCATGTTCCTTGCAAATTTTTTAAAAATATTAACATTAAATATAGTCTTCTGAGTAGATTGAAGTCTTTGATGTATTAAGAACCTCTACATAACATTCTGAGTTTCCCTGTGATTTTAGAGCATTATATTATGGTTATTCAACAGATTTTATACAATTCGCTATAGAGAAAAGGATAAGGAAAAGAAATGGATATTTCAACTTTGTCCAGCTACTGAAACAATTGTGGAAAATCTAAAGCCTGACACAGTTTATGAATTTGGAGTGAAAGACAACGTGGAAGGTGGAATTTGGAGTAAGATTTTCAATCACAAGACTATTGTTGGAAGTAAGTGCCTGGAACTGTGTATTTCGGTAAACTTCTTGTAATTTTTTTCTTATTTTTCCAAATATCTAATTTTTAACGATTATATTCACTGTATGATATGAAATAAGTTAATTCCTATGCCCTAGTATTTAAGAAAATATAAAAGAGGACATTTAATAAAAGAGAATTTGTTGAGTATTGATATTTCATAATCTTTTCTATAAGTGATTTTTTACATAAGTGATAAAACAATATTTGATGCCTCTATTGACAGTCATTGACCATTGTAGGATTTTGAAATCAATTCCTGACCTATGAACACCAGCTGAACCAAAAAACCAATAATATGTGCAAATATTCCATGGAAACTAGAGCAGAAGTGGATGTAAAAAGACTTTAAGGAATCTCGAGCTTGCTTCTAGTTATCTTTTCATTAAAATTTCATTGGGATCAGTGTTTGAAATGATAGTAATGAAAATAATATGCCCAAGTTAGAGCACAGGTTGCAGCTGCCTTCATAATGATTAGCTAGAATTGATTTAGGAGCAAGAAGAATGAAAATAATGTCATTTTCTCTTGTTTTGTTAGGTAAAAAAGTAAATGGGAAAATCCAAAGTACCTATGACCAAGTCCACACAGTGGTATGTACCAGTGCACCAGTTTATTTTCAAGATTTTTTTTTAATTGTATCTGCATTGTATTTTTATTTAAATAAGGAAATACTCATTATGAGAGATTGAAACTGGATTAACTGACTAGCTATGTGGCATTGGGTAAAGTACTTAATGTTTTAGGACTCAGTTTCTTTTTCTGAAAACTGAGGTGGAAGCATGATTTCACATCATCTCTAATCTGTTTGAAACTCTAAAATTCTGAGATTCAATATAACGATTTTAGTATCTCAGTATTCTGGGTATTTTCAGGTTATGCTTATTATTATCTTCTGTCCTATAGATTGCTTCTTAATATAACATTTCAAGCATGAAATGGTACATGCTCCTAGGTACATTGCTACAGTTCAAATCTTTCCTCTCTGTTTTCTATCATTTCCTATTTAAAAGAGCCAACCCTTACACGATGATGAAGCCACTGGTTTGATTTGGTAACATGCCCAGGCTCTATTCAGTTCAGTTAATGTTTGTGTATCTTATGAGCCGGGCATTCTCCCGCCCCCACCCCCACCAATCTAAACACTCGTTTCTCCCTCACTTCAGCAACTTGGTCCCTCGTGTTCTTTTACTTTCCACTTTTTGAAATCTGTTCTTAGAAAGCGTCACGTCAGCTACGTACTACCTGGTACGACTGTAAGCTATCGTTGGAGCCATCACAGAAATGTTTGCATTTCAAATCACATACATGATTATAAAATAAAGGACATTATGTTGCTAAGCAGATAGAGGAGGCACTTTGATGAGATGAAGGGAGCTAGGTGCTGGCTTTGGTCCCTATGTGATGGAAGTATCCAGCCAGGGTATTATCCTAGAGTCAAGTGAGCGTGCAGACTCTATTTATGGATGCATATTTGTTCTGTTTGGTGTCTGCATGATGTATGTGGATGAGTCTCTTTATATCAAATTAAATAGTCCATAGAATACTCCATATTGGTTACTTAGCCCAGTCTGAGAAGAAAAAAGTAGTATAAACTTGATTTGAATTAAACACATACACAAAAAAAGGAGGATTGTTTTCAGTGACAGAAAATAGTCTTGGGTAAGATAGAACTGACCGAAAATTAATCCTCATAAGGCAAATCCTCATAAGGTTGTTTATGTGGTTTGAATTGGCAGGCAAGTATGTTCATTGTGAAATTATTATCAACTAATAATTGTTAGATTATTATGATTGCCAAGTAAATATTTTGATGTATTTCAAATCTTAACACAAGAGAGGAGATTACAGGTAAAACCAGACCTGGATTTTTTTCTTTTTCTTTGTTTTGTTTTATTTTATTTTATTTATTTATAGTTGGTCAGTTTTTTTAGGTTTTGGTGTTTTCTGAAATATTTAAAATATTTCCTAAATACTTAAAAACTTAGAAATTAAAAATAGGAAAAGAAGCATTAACAAGGTTACCTATAACAAAGCTACCTATTAGAGCAATATAATGAAACTGTCTATAGTCTACTGTTAAAGCTTAAGAACATTTTATTTTTCTGTTTTCTAAACATGTTTTCATTATAAAATCCATACTATATGTGAAATTTTATATCTTTCTGTTTTCACTTAGTCAAAATATAGCACACACATATGTCATTAAATGTTCTTCATAAACATAATTTTAATAGTTTATTGCATCATCTACATAAACTATCATTTACTTAATCAGTTTCCAATTCATAGGCATTTAAGTTAATTCTAATTATTTTTTAATTATGAGTGATGTTGTAGTGAACTTATAAAGCTTTGTTTGCATTCCTGATTGTTTCCTTAAAATTACAAGGAAAATTAACAGTTTAGATTTTTAACATTTTTAAGGCTTCCTAATATATATGGTCAAATTTCTTTCCAGAAAGCTTGTACCAATTTACAATATTACCAGCAATGTATCAGAGTTTGTCTTGCTATAGTACCCGATTGTCAACATTATGTATCTCCATCACTACATTTTTGGCTAATATAATAGTTTAAAATGGTTACTTTAATTTCCATTTCTCTAATTACAGATAAGGCAGTACTTTCTTCACTTGGTTATTAGCCATTTGTATTTTCCATTTAATGACATTTAGTGCAGTTCTTTGTTTATTGGGTGTTTTATGGTATTTTTATTGAAATAATTTATAGATTAAAGAAATAGTCACTCATTGTGATACTATCTACGAACATTTTTCTCACATTTGTTATCACTTAATTTTGTTTATGTGAATTTTTGAAATAGGCAAGTCTTGGAATTTGGTTAATCAAATTATCAGACTTTTCCATTGTCGCATCTTCAATTGCGTTTTATTTTAGGAAGCCCTTCCCTATCCAGAGAGCACATAAATATTTTTTTTAGTTTTATAAAAGGTTTGATTTTGTAATAATTAAACTTTAAACTATGTGGATTTTATTTTACTATGTTTTATAGTAAGGTTCTATATTGATTAGGCTATGTATGTTTTCCAAGTAATTAACCAACTGGCTTAGTACCATGTATTCAATTGTGCCACTCCCTAAGGTCCCTTTGTCTTTGTCCCTTAATTCCATCACCATTGTGTAGGGAAAGTAAATATGCTGTACTTCACAGGCAAAACGGTGGAATAGAGTTGATCTTTCAACCTCTTCTAGAACAATCCTGATTCTTTGTTGTGAATGGTTTCCTAGGAGGCGAATCTTGTATCCTACCCTCATGGCTGGCATGCACAATCTTTCATGTGACTCAATGATGTCATTTCTTTCATTCCTTTTTTTAAGCTATCATATCCCAATAACTTGTATTTCTTTTGGCAGAATATTTCATTTAGGGTGAGTTACTCAGCAAGATTGGGAAAGATGATTGATGTTTTACTCTGAGGGAATTTAATTTCTTTTTACTCATCATAAACAGCCATGATAGGAAGGGGCTAGGAAACAACTTCCTGCATCCGTGACACGGAGCCAGACATTTTATCACTTCAAGCTGTGAGGCGGAGCACTCCCAATTCCAGCCAGCTTTGGTGAGCTGTAGTTTAAAACTCTTGGTTATTTCCAAAGGAAAACCCAAATTCATTGAAAAGATATTTTAAGGCTTTTTTGGTGAAGCTTTATTATTTCCTTCTGGATAGCAAAAAAAAAAAAAAAAAAAAGACTCTCATGAACTGACACCTGAGCTTTCAGGTAGCCCTGGGACATGGGAAAGTTGCAAAGGCACCACCTGGGATAGCCTTTGACCGTCTGTGTGACCACACAGAATTGATTCTGAATATTGATATGTTAGTCCAAGTAAAGTCTATATCCAGATAGTCACCCATCTCTTCTTTGGGACTGATCTTAGAAGGCAGTATTTCAAAAGATATGAAACTAATCCCAGATGTTTTGCTTTTAGGATTTCAAGCAAAAGACACATTAAAAAATGTTTTCATTCACATAGACATGTTTACATCCTGAACCTTATAAGCAAAAACTCTTTAACACCTTCCAAAAGGAGGTAAAAATGTACTGGAAAAACAATTTGAACTTGAGGCTGTCCTTTTATAAGGGAAATAATATTTAGGTTAAATTTTTTAATATTAAATGCAGCCCCAACTTTCCCTTTTGCTTGCATTATGTATTGTAACTCATGTATCTAGGAATGTGTTCTGTTGGCAAGCCCCGGTGCAGCTGTGTCAGGGATGTGTAGCAGGGTCTCCTCTCACTGGTTAGGGCCTTTGTCCTGTGAGTTGTTAAATATTTTCAATATCACTCCTGCCTCTACTTCTAGAAAAATCAGAGAAAGGGTACGTGCATAAACAAAACCATGATTCTTTCTACATAATATAAATTGTATCACTTGAGATCCATGTAATAGAGGAACAAACATATTTATCATGATAGTTGTGCTGTTTTTTTCCATCTTGATAATCTATTAATACTCTAGTAACTTAATCTATTAATACTCTATTAACTATTAATAATCTATTAATACTCTATTTAATAATAATCTATTAACTCTTTTTGTGAAGGTAAAACTTAATGTTTATGATTAGGTTTTGTTATTTTAAAAAATGATAGCTATAATTTTAATGCATTATTTCTATATTTTGAAAAATGTATTTAATTCACTAAACAAAATCAACGTTTCAAGTATGTAGCACTTATTAACAGATTTTAAAATGCAAATTTAATTATTTAACCCAAATATCCCTAGAATCAATGTTGTCCTAAAATATGACATCTATTTTGCCCTTTTTTCCATCGGAGATCCACCCATATTTTAAGAAAGCCACACCTATTATCAGCAAAAGGGAAATGGTGCCAATTTTTAAAGTGTAACAGTTGTGAGATAACGGATGTGAATAGAGAGAATTACCTTTATGCTTCCTACCCACACTTTAAAATTGTGTATGGTAAATGTATCAGGCATCCTTTCATTCTCAGCAATACTTGTGTTAAAGCAGAAACTTGAAAAATAGGCCAACTATATTCTCAAGATATATGTCTGATTCTTCCCCAGTTGACCAAAAATTTGAAGACTTACAAAAATAGGACATTCAATCCACTTTTAGATTGAATCAGTACATTTTGTAACTTTCATTAGAACATCCTAAAAATGAATTAAAACCAGAATCTAACATGCCCAACTTCTCTTGAGTCACTGAAATTTGATTTTGAGCAATCCTTAGGTGCTCCCCAGATGGACAGCTCTTCTTTATCTGAAGGCCTGGAAATAAAGTTGAATTCACAATGAATATTCTGACACCACAAAAATGCCAAGTGGGCAAACCTACAAAAATAACGTTCTTGTATCATCGTTAATTTTTATTAAAGCTAATTTTCAAAATAATTTCAGGAAGAAGTTAGCATCACACAGGCTAAATTGCAAGTCCCCCATAATGTGTGGCTGCTGCTGCTATGGGTATTTCTAAATAAGCATAGGCTTTCCCTAACCCGTCACAAAACATGCCAGATTTGGCTCCAGGACAATGCCCTTAGCATGTTAGCATTTTCTCCCCACTGAGTACCATCAACTACATACTTGGCCACAATGTCCCAGAAAAATGGTAAAAGTGAATTCTCTTCATCAGATATCCTGCTCAAGGTACAGTCTATCCTGGGTTCTTTCAGGAGAGGATATCTCAAAATGAATAAATAATAATGTATCTCTTTTAGGGCAGGAGAGAAATATGCTTATTTCTGGCATCTAGTACACATTTGAAAAATATTTGCCAAATGAAGGGGGAGACGAAAACTGTGGAAGGAAGAAGCAATGGAGTTTTGCAGCAAAAGGCAGGGTTAGCAGGGTGCCCAGAAAAAGGAGCCAGCAGGAAAATGGCTAAGAAAGAAAATCACTGCCAGGATAGTGTCCAAAGACCAGCCAGAACTGCGGCACCATTGCTGCCAACTTCCCCACTCCAGGCCCTGTGACTCCAGTACACGTTAATAGATATAATAGCAAGCCTAGGAGAGCAAAGGTCAGTGATATCTTTTTTAAAACATTGTACGACGTGTGCGGTGCACACCACCAGGGGACTGGACATTTCGGGGGGAGGGAGGGGGCAGGAGCAATATTTGTAACCCTAACAATATTTGTACCTCCATAATATGATGAAATAAAAGGGAAAAAAAGAAAAGAAAAAAAAACATTGTACGTAAAACAGTTCAATCAAAGTTGGGTTGTAACTGGTCAAATACTACATTTGGGGAATTATCAAAATATTTCATTTTGCAGTAAGTCCAGACAACAGACTTGTGTTTTAGAAGAAGACACAGGGAAAGGATTCCCATTGTGGATTTCTAGATGGGAATTTTAGAGTTTTTGGCAGAGACATGTTGAGTAGCAGGGCTTTTCTGATGCCCTTTAAAAACCTACCTGTAAAGAAGCAGCTATTTGCTCATTAGTCCAATCTTGGTGCATCTTTGGATTGCGGATTGGGCAAAAGAGCAATTATAGGTCTAGATAGCCTTATGCAGCTATACAATTTCCTTATTTTTTGGCAGCACATATTGTACATATATTTTTGTCATCATCTTAATAGAACGTTGGTCTGTACTTGAGTAAGAACTCAGAACAGAAACTTTGCTCTATTCATGTGGAGAGTAGAATATTTTCCATTTTTCCTTGTTGAAAAATTGTTCAAAACAAATTGTTATAGCAAAATAACCCCATAAAAATTGATATAATCCAATTCAAAGGCAACACAGCGGTAGGTAGGTAGGCATTTCTGCTATAATGTGTCAAGTATCTTGAAAAACTTCATATTTTGCAAAACATGCACTAAGCAACGGGACTCAGAGAAAATAAGAGAACAGGCCATTCAAAAACCTTTGTAACTGCAGCCGAAGCCCTAACAGAAACAATTATTGGCACCTGGAAAGATAATGTGGCTCCCCCACTGCGTGGCTGGAGGTTGCTGCAGCAGGTATTTAAAATTCTCTGAAATGCCAAAGTTGTGTAAATACAGAGTAGGATTGTGGTTACCAGAGGCTAGGGGATAGAGAGGAAATAAGATGTTGATCACAGGGTATAGAGGTTCAGTTAGGCAGGAAGAATTGGTTATTGCATGGTGGGGTGACCACAGTTACTAACATATGTAGTTCAAACTTGCTGAAAATAAATTTCAAATGTCTCACTACAAAAAATGATTGATAAGTGAGGTGATGGATATGTTAATTAGCTTGATGTAATCATTTTGCACTGTATATTTATATCAAAACACAATGTATCCCATAAATATATTCAATTATGAAATAAACATAAAAAATAATGGCAAAAAATAAGATACTGTTTTAATACAAAAGTCTCAGAGGTAGAGGTAGAGGTAGAGGTTGTATGCTGGCAACCCTTTTGCTGGAGCAGGACAGGTGAGAACTTAGAGCAGGTGGAGTGGGGCTGCTCTTAAGCTGGGAGTCCAGCTCTCATGTGAGGGAGCGCAGTGTAGCACGGGTGGGCCTAACTGTCTCCTCCAGGGCAAGGTCTGTGTCCAGGTATTCATCTTTAATTTTCTTATGATAAAGCTGAAAGAGATCCTCCTGCCAGTACGACCTCAAAGCTGAGAGGTTCCCCCTTCCCAATGAAGGTTATTCTTCTGTTCCTATTATTCCCTTCTTCTTGCCTGGGAAAAATCATGTCTAAATTACATTTATATATCATTTCCCTGTTTATCAATAGTGTATGAGCTAAGTTATGGCTAGAAACCATATTTGGCTGAACAGACTGTCAATTGAAACAATTTTTCCTGATTATAAACGTAATTTTCCCTTGTAAGGAATTTGGCAAATATGAAAAGGCACACAAAACTGATATCAGCTTATAAGAAATAACTACCGTTAAAAGAAACTATGATGTGTCTCCTTTTGGCCTTTTGTCTATACGTATTTGTTATAAATTAGGTTATACTCTGGATGCAAAATTGTATCCTTTCTGTTTATATTCTACATATTTTTCCATTTTATTATATAGAAGTCAAACATTTGAACCATAATTTATCTAATAAAACCTTTACATTTGAATAGTGAGGTGGTTTTAAATTGTCATAATAAACATCCTGTATCTTTGATTAATTCCTTGGGCTGGGTTGCTAAGAAGAAAATTACTGGGTCAATGAATATAGATACTGCTTTAAAAAATAATCAGATGGTGGAAAACTTTATTTTGTGTGGTTTCTAAACATAATGACTTTAATATAAGAAGAAAAATAGCCAACAGTAACCTTGGTGTTGTGGCTCTTCTTTACTATGGGCATATAGTTTGTTAAAATTATAGTGTGTGAACAAGTATCCTTTGCTTTACAACTGTAAACATCTATTTTATAAGTAGCTCACATTCAACACGTCCTTGATAGTCAGCAGATGTAGTATGTGGAGTGTCTGTGTCATGTGTATAGGTTAATCCAAGAATCAAAAAATGGATGTCATTCTTGTCCATGCAACTCAAGTCCCCCTGTGTATAATCTTGCTGCCCTTTCTTACCTGTCCTCATGTCTCTCTCTTGTCTGTCTTATCCAGTGACTCCACTTTAAAGTCTAAACCCATCTGTAGTTCAAGCCACTCAATGACATCCAAACCTCCTATGGCACTTCTGAGGCAATTGGGTGAAGAGAGGAAGCATAGTCCTCTGGGACATGTCCTTCCAATTCTGAGGTCCTTTGTGAATAATTATGTGCAGAATGGTTAAAAGTAGTCTTTGGACTAAGAAATGTCTGGCTCTGCCTTCTTGGGCAATAAATGCTTAGTTTTAGGAGTTCATGGTGACTATGGTGTCTGTAGTAACAGCAGCAGCAGTTGAGTACATTCAGTTGATCTTGATTGGTTTTAAAGATTAGTATGTAACTAAGCATATTTTTGAGAGGGAAAGTAAAGACAGAATTTAGCTGGGCCGTATCTCAAATGCAATGAAAATAAACTGATATTCAATACAGAGGATTTCTTTCCATTGTAGTTTCTAAGGTAACTGGACTAACAGGAGGTCTGAAGAAATTGCTTCTGTCAAACTTTTGGGTATTTATGGGGGAAACCAAGGTAGTCTAATAAAATAGAGGCAGATGTATGTCCTAATGATCTATTCAGTAACTATTAAACCAATGTCATGGGAAGAGACTTCATTGACGACAAGAAAGGGCTACTTCCAGTTCTCTGGTTTGTTTGTTTTAAATATTATTAACACTGGCTCAGAAGCTGACCGTGTCCCTCTCCTTTCAGCCGGCGTACATCCCAAAGAAGCTGATCCCAATAACAATCATCAAGCAAGGTGATTTTCTGCATATATGCTCAGAACTATTTTTATTATAGTTTTTAACTAACATAAATAAACATGGCACATATTTTCTCAAATTTTTGGACTGCTTTCCAGAAAAAGTTATTTCTAATTGTTTTTCTGAAAAAGAAAAATAGTACAGTCTGGTAAATTAGATGTTAATAGGTAATTTGGGGTCTTATACCAATATGCCAAACTTTGGGCAAGTCACACTGGTCAGACAATAAGGGTCAAAGCAACCGCAATGAGTATTACATTTTAACAAGTCAGCAAAATATGTGTAGCTTTGCTCACGGTTAAGTTATACATGAAGTTAGCCAGTAATAGGATATTTGCAACAATGAAAATGAAAACTGATTCAGTGGTCACTTTAGGGAAAGTGGAGATGTACTTCTAAGTTTTAATAATTATAATGTCTTATTTCAGTATCCAGTTGTTTTTGTTTTGGCTCCCAGCTTTTCAAATTATTATAATATCTCCATTATTTCCAGAAAGTTTTTTGGTGGAAGAGATGAGGCCCTTAAAATAATTCTTAATTTTAAGAGACTATAATGTCCTGCTTACACTCTCAAAACAGGGTCAGGTAGTATTGAAAATTACCTAAGGATTCTTTGCTTTGAGAATATATGTTTTCTAATTAAAAAAAATTTATTACTGGGTTATGGTCTCATTTTATGCTAGTTCTGATTAATTTGAGGAAAGGGCAGGCTGCAGGGAACGGAGAGAGGAAGGAAATTTTTTGATAATTGTAATGGAACACTTTAGTATAGAATAGTAGCCTTTCATTACTTAAAGGCACAGGTACTAAGGCAAGATGTGTCTTCTAGTCCTTCTGTTGGCTGCATAGCCAACCCACAGAATTGCTTTTTATTAATTGATAAAGTTACATCAGGACCTTCCCTGTACAGCAGATGGCTTCACATTATTAACTTTTTACTGCTTCCTATTTTTTTTCTTTATCACACTTTTGTTTTTGTGATTTCAACAGTGATTCAGAATGTTACTCACAAGGCATCAACTAAATCCCCAGATAAGAGTCCCTTTGGAGGAGCAATACTAGGTGAGCCGATCTTGAAATCTATGTCTAGATTAAGCGAATCAGGCTGTCATTTGATGATAGGGCCTTTGTGGAGTTTTACACTGTTAGCAAGGTCTGTTAAATTGATGTTGGTTCATTTCCTTTCACTGTTTAGCATCTGGCTTGTGTCCATGCCAGGCAAGAAGCCAAGCAATGCTACATTTATCAGAATGTGTTAAAGAAATAGCTCCAGCCATGCCCAGTGGGGATGATGGCACCCGTCCTACCTGCCCACAGGGTTGTCTGCAGTAATGAGAGTCTTTCTCATATTGAACTACTCTTTTAAAAATCACTATTATTGGTCATGATGTTCTTTGTTCAGCATGCATCTTAAGCAGCCATTTTACAATTTTTGAGTCTATGGATTAAAAGCCAGAAGATTTAGTAGTTCAGTTCTAGATATAAAAAAATACTGTTTTGAAAATATGGTCATATATTTTCCAACATTTTAAAGTCTGGCTTAAAATCGACCAAGCAAAATAAGGGTGAGACTTCATAGTTTCTAGTATCTGATGCTCCAAGCTTCATTTTGGGTCTTGATGTGTTTTCTTCCCCTTATCTTATTTGCATCTATTTCCTTGCAGTCCACCTTATTGTTCCAGGTCTTAACGAAACCACTGTAAAACTTCCTACATCCATAATGTTTGAGATTTCAGATGCACTCAAGGCACAACTAGGTAAGCAGAAAAGTTCTATATTTGGGCTTTGAATGACTGAGCACTGATGTTCTTAGCATGTCCAAGGAGTCTTTGAAATGAGCTATTTGAGGATCTCAAAGTAAAAAAGTAGAGGCAAGGAGGTTGAGGTGTTGGAGATGTCCATATCAATCACATTCTATAGGGCAATAGTTATTTTATATTATCATAAAATATATTTTATATTTATGGTAAGTATAAAATATAAAAATATATTTCCATGAATAAAAGAAGCATGAACATTTATTATCCAAACAATAGACATATATAGGTATAATTTCCAAATAGAGTAATTGTTCTAAATTATACTTACTATACTATTAAGAGGTCACTAGACATCTTCAATGAAAATTGATGTGAAGGTCAAGTCCGTTAGAGTTATTTATCTGAGACTGATATTGCTTCCTCCTTCTAGAAAGAACGGGGTATGATTTCAGTGTTTAAAAAAAACATAAAACACAGCAATAATATTAATAAAGCAAAATCCACATAAAAGGGGCCCAGGGAGCAATAGTGGTGGTCATTGGGCTGACTTAGTTCCTGTTTCTCACTATCAAATTAGGCTCTGAATTGTCTCTGCCCCAGAGGGTCTCCAACTTGATCAAGGGTCAGAAGTCAGAAGCACCTGGAGAGCTTTTGCGCTCACAGACTGCCAGGACCCACCCCTGAGTTACTGATTCAGTAGGCCTGGGGCGGGGCTTGACCATTTGCATTTCTGACAAGTTTCTAGGTGACAATGACACTGCTGGTCCAGGGACCACACTTTGAGAACCACCCCTCTAATGTCTCTGGAGAATGTCTTGGATTATTGCTAAATATGGAAGGAAACAGCATGGTATGGTAGAAATTGACCAAGACTTTAAAATGCAGAATGTTTTCCCTGAGCGAGGCACTGGCTAAAAACTTTAGCATTTAATATGTGATAGAATTGTCGCATTGTGTGGATGAAATAAAAGAGGCCCAAGCCCCTATTTGGCAGGATACATTCAACAAACACTTATTAAGCATTACTCCGACTACATTTAAAAATTTTTTTTAATTTTTTATCGTATATACTTAGCATGATGTTTTGATATACATAGTGAAATAGTTACTATAGTCAAGCAAATTAACATATCCATCCTCTCATATAGTTACACTTTGTGTGTGTGTGTGATAAGAGCACCAAAAATCTACTCTCAACAAATTTTCAATATATAATACAATATATAATATTATAGGTCATGTTGTACCTTAGATTTCTAGATTTATTCATCTTTCACATCTGCAACTTTGTACCTTTTTTCATACATTTCCCTATATCCTACCTCCACCACACTCTCCCACCCCATAACCACTATTTTATTCTCTATGTATTTGACTTTTTGTTCTTTTAGATTTCACATATAAGTGAGATAATTTTTCTTTCTGTGCCTAGCTTATTTGACTTAGCATAATGTTCTTTAGGTTCATGTAAATGGCAGAATCTCCTTTTTTAAGGTTTAACAATATTCCTGTGTGTGTATATTCCACAACTTCTCTATTCATTCATCAACATTTAGGTTGTTTCTATGTTTTGGTTATTATGAATAATGCCACAATGAATGTGGGAGTTAATATACTCTATGATGTGCTGATTTCATTTCCTTTTGGTGTATATCCAAAAGAGGAATTGTTGGGTCTTATTATGGTTCTATTTTTAATTTTTTGAGGAATCTCCATACTGTTTGCCATAATGGCTACACTAATTTACATTCCACCAATAGTGTACAAGAATTCCCTTTTCTCCATGCTCTTACCAATACTCGTTACCTCTTGCCTTTTTGATAATAGCCATCCTGAGAGGAGTGAGGTGGTATCTCATTGTGGGTTTAATTTTGCATTTCCCTGATAATTAGTGATGTTGAACACCTTGTGATATACCTGTTAGCCATGTCATCTTTGCAGAAATGTCTATTCAGGTCCTTTGTTCATTTTTTAATCAGATTATTTGGATTAGGGGATTGGGATTTTTTGGTCCTTTTTTTTTTTTTCTATTGAATTGCATGAGTTCCTTATATATTTTGATATATTAGATATATGGTTTGCAAATACTCTTTGTCAATCCCTAGGCTGTCTTTTCATTTTTTTTATTGTTTCCTATGCTGTGCAAAAGCACTGTTTGTCACGAAGAGTGTGGGCATAAATAGCCCTTTATACTATCAAGGGAGAAATAAACTTTCTTGAAGTTAATTATCACTATAATTCAGAAAAGTATTTCTTGAGGTAATAAATCCTAAAAATAACATCCCCATTCCAGCAAAGCCCATCACGGGGCATCAGGAAATGGTAATAGCTTTTGTTCTAAGAACACATGATGTAAATAATAGAGAAATAAACAAGAAAGTTAGTATTACACACATGTCTCCAAGGGACTTACAAAGGGTTTGCCAAAGCCAAGATCTAGTGTGCCAGAAATTAAGGGAAACGACTGTGTTGAAAAAAGGTGCAGAGGATTAAAGAGGAAAAGGAATTTCCTGGATTTTAGGCCATGTTCTGATGGCATTTTACTTTCCTATTGCCAAGCCTGCAGTTGTGCAGATAGTGTAGATGGATGCTCATGAGTTGATACAAGGTATCAAGAGTCCCCCATTCAAATATCTTTTCCATCTACCAATTTCTTTGATGTCTAAAAATGTCATACTTAGAAATATAACATGCCTTTGTAAAAAATTAGTGATATATAAACAATACAAATCTCTCTTAGTAAGGTAATTTGCCACTTTTCATTCATTAACAGCCTAAAATAAGTTAATGTAATTGCCAACTAAAAGCATATTTTGAATATAAGAAGCTGAAGATTTTCAGAGCATTGCCTGTGAAAGTCTAGGATCTGGGGGTAAAAAAAAAAAAAAAAAGTCCTAGATCAGCCAGAGATCACTGAGAACATAGATTATTAACAGGGAAGGAACCCTGAAAGAAGAGGACACTGAATAAAGAAATAATTAAAAGAAAACCTCATCATTTTACATATATTTTTTAAAAAGTAGCTATAGTACATGCTTAAAATAACAGGACCAGAGCTCATAAGAAATTCATAATCTGAATGTTTTTTGCCATGCTAACAATCAGAATAGTTCTAAATAAACAATGTCAGGAAAAACTATTGATAAAAATGTAGAAATTTAAAAAATATAATTTATAAATTATGATGGATTTCTTTTTTTAGTTATTATAGAAAGAGTTCCTTTTTATGCCTCACTAAATTAATTTTAACAATGACGTTAAACACTTCTGTTGTGCCAACATGCTTGCAACTTCTGAAACACCCACTTGACAATTGGTAGCAAGTACACTAGCATTTGCGACACCTATTTCCAGCATTTTAAATCACTCCTGCAAATAGTCAGCTCTTTGTAGGAATCTGTTGGTCACCTTCATTAAGCAGAGATTGAAAATTGACTTCTATAAACTTCTATAAACATTGTGGAAAAGATGACTTTACGTCCATGAGAACTAAATAAATATTTTGTGCCCATGTTAAAACTGAAAAGAAGAAAATGATCTTTACAAGAGTAATGTGAACTACAGAAGACTATAAAATTTTCATATTCAAAGAACTTTGAAAGAAACAATTATATCAGTAATTCTCAGCAAGGGGCAATCTCCTCCCCCCACCCCCCACCCCTTCCACCCAGAAATATTTGGCAATGTCCCAGACATTTTTGTTTGTCACAACTGTGGGAGAACTATTGGAATATGAATAGAGGACAGGAATGCTGCTAAACACCTTTCAGCAGAAAGGACAGTGCCCCCCCAAAATTATCCAGCTTTAAGTATCAATAGTGTCAAAGTTGAGAAATTCAAGTTCTGTATAGCCTTAAAATTCTAAAAAATCCTATCTGATTATATAATCAGCTCAAGTGGCATGATCCAGGGTATCTCAAAGGTACATGAATTCTTTCATGCCACTAGACTATTTCAAAACATTATAAGCAGGTCATTGATGCAATATGCTAACTAAATAGAGTTAATCCTAACTCTACATTTTTTTAATGGAGAATATCATAATCACTGGGAAACTCTAGTTTAAAAATTTACTTTCTTTGAAAAAGAATATCTAAATTTTAGAATGAAGTTTCCCAAATAGTTCCAAAAAGAGGAAAAAAATGAAAAAAAGATTCCGTTCTTTACACTGAATTCCAACAAAGACCAAAAGAGAAAATCTATGTTAACATGTGGCTTAAATAAAATGTGCTAATTGTTGATAATCTTTTTGCCACAAAAATTTTCAGATAACTTAGTTTTCTATATGTGTTATTTGTGTTTTTCTAATATTTCTGTGTCATAACCTATTGCATTTTTACATGCATAATAATGGAAATTTTCTGTTCATTGATTTTTAAATGTAGCAGTGCTTGAATATAAAATGCCAGGGAGCATTTGCAGTACAACCTGTGCCTTCCAGAAATTCTATTTATGAATCCAAATGACTTGAGATGTATCCAAGTATTGGGTTATAATTTTTTCTTCATTCCAATGCCAATTTAGGTCTTAAAGAATTAGCTAAGGTTAATAAAGAATTTTGAAGACTGTCATATTACTAGTCCCTGCTATTAATAGAAATGCATAATAAAGTTGTTGACTGGCTGATGGGAAGGGATGTGAGTAGATTAGATTTTTTTAGTCTGTTAGTTGATTGTGTTTTGAATGAGGTATTTTTGGACAATGTATTAGGATGAAGTGAGGTAAATTTTTTGTTCTCTGACTTTTTAGCTAAGAATGAAACCTTGGCATTACCTGCTGAATCTAAAACACCAGAGGTTGAAAAAATCCCAGCACAGCCCATAACAGGTAATGAGATCACTATGATGTTGACTTTGAGGAAAGAAAGAACATATTTTTTTCAAATAGTAAATGATTTACAGCCTATATATTTTTTCAGTGAAGAGCCAGTAGGAAATTCATTTTGATTGTAAGTACAAAATAGTAGGAGTTTCTACATCTTTAATGTTTTTAGGAAAACAACAGGTGCAAAATGAACTATTGAATCATACTGATATGTAATATGGAAGCTATATCTTTCACTCTAAATGAAAGTTGTTACCTCAACACTCTGAAATATTTATATACTAGAATGTAATGCCATGGTTTTGGTGTTTTTCTTTTATATGAAGACATGAGACCATCTTTTACTTCTGCACTATCATAAGTGGTCAATGTAGCAAAATGCTATATAACTTTCACAAATCCATAGCCTGATATCCATGAAAATAACCTGGAATCATTTAGAAACAAATGTCTCTGAAACACTAACAATCCTAAAATAGAGAATATATAATAGTTCAGTAAAAATCCTTTAAAGAATACAGTAAGCATTTTCCCCATAGTTTATCACCATGACTAACATTCAGCATGTCCTCTCTGAATGAACCATCCAGTCCAGTCCACAGGGGAGACATTAATCTCTGAGCTACAGACTTTCTGCCAGAGCAATAACACCTTATCCAGGACTTGACAAAACAAATATCTGGCTAGAATTCCCCACAATCCACATTTAGCAAAGTAACTCTAAAGTGATTATTTTAATGTCTAAAATTACCATAACTTGAAATGTTGTTGATATGTACTTTATACTAAACTTTGGGCTTGTAGCTGGTCCAGAGAAGGTAAAAATTTGTGGAACAGTAAAACAATGTCAAGAAACCCATTTGAGTAGGAACATTTCCAACAGAGCAAGATGAGTATAGTCTTGTCTGAAAAAGAGGGTGGGGACCTTTCATCTCCACTTTCGTGCAAGTGGGGGCAGATGTAGCTACTAAAATAATCCATTTGCATGAAATCTCTAGGTGGTTTCTGATTTCAATATACTTGATCAGTACCAAGAAAAGGATAGGCATGACCCTATGGATAACTCTAAGTCCTTTTCTGCCTCAAAGAATCTACCCATTTTTCCCAATTATACTTTCTTCTCTTCGCACAGGGTCTGATAGAAAGTCTACAAATTTCTTGGTTCTCTGTCAAATCCTCCCCTGAATTTTCCACTTCAGCAAACACCACAACTTATTATTCCATGTCATCGTGTTTATTGCATGTCCCTACCCTGCAAAATTCTGGAGTTTTCTAGCTCGCAATTCATTCCCGATCTCAGTGACTCTGATTGTTATTTCTCCAAAACTATTTCCTTGAGGTTTTCATTGCCTTTAATCTGGCACTTAAGACAACCCTGTGGCTGAGCACTTGAATTCTGATCATACTTTCAACTCGTATTCAAGCTTTGCATATTGAGTGCAGTTTGAGAGAGAAAGCTTAAAATGTGATGTTCTCAGTAAACCTTTTAGCCCTGGATCATTCTTTTATTTGCCCCTTTGTTAATTCATGTAATAAACTATTATCAGTTACTTGGTTACTCTACCACAGGCATTGTGCTAAGCCCTGGAGATAAATATAAAGGCAAACAAAAAATTATGATTAACCTGATAAGTGTCTTAATGGAGGTTGGACCAGTGTGCTTTTTTTGGAGCCTATAGAAAGTGGACCAGACCCAGAAAGGAAGGATTAGGGAGGAATGTAAGCTCAGGCACCTGGGACAAGCTAGGGAGTCCTTAACATTAGTGACTTGAAAAGAAGTGGGCTATAAAAATACCAGTTACTAATTCTAAAGGACAACAAAATGTGTCTGTGTCTTTGGTTGCTTCATCATTTTATCTTAATTTGCAAAGTTGTCTGTTTTACTTTTCAGTGACTCCTGAAACAGTTCCAAGAACCACTAAACCCACTGTGTCTAGTGCATTAGATGTTTCAGAAACAACACTGGGTAATTCTATTTCTAATTCTTTTTTTTTCCTTAAAAACAAAACAAACAAACAAACAAAAAAAAACAGCAACAAAAAACTTCCAACGTTCATAGAAAAGTAATCCTAATGCCTTAGCTTCCCTCTCCCTTCCTGTCCCTCCCCTTTTCTCCTTTTCCTTCCTTCCTGACAGTGGTTAACCTTCCTATTTCTTGGACCAATTCCATTGAAGAATTAACAATATGCCTGATCCTGGTGCCTTGATATTCCAGGCAGATCTGGAAGCTAACTGCATGCCCTTTTTAATCAGTCTCTCTCCTGAGTTGTGTATACAGAATACCAGCCTTTTAAACCCCAAATCTTGGTGGGGTGGAGGAAACCTGAAAGTCTCAACTCTGTCTTCGCTTTCTGCTCAGATTGGCTTTTGGAAGTCTTGGGCTTACTAAACCTGGGGAAAATCCTCCAAAGTGTCATGCTTTTAAATAAAAATTTCCTATCACTCATGGTAGCTGTTTCTTGGCACAAAAGAATCTAACTTGCTTTGTTGTTCTCTTCCCCTGAAGAAGAGCAGCAGCATGTATTTGGGTCCGTACTTTGATGCTGGTCTTCCCTGCTACACCACAGCCCCTTTTAACAGCTATGTAACTTTTCCAGGGAAAGCCAGCTATTTCCATGAAAGGCATCCGCTGCTTGGTGCACACACGGGTCTGTTATGAAGCATGCTGTGCATGATCCTGGTTAAGCCATAACATCAAATCCTGAGTCAAGGAGCTGCTAATCACATTTTTCTTTATTGTAGTTCTCAGCGAAAGGATCCCGGAAACATCACAAACTGTTCAAATACCTCAGTTTGAATTGCCACTGAGCACTCTAGGTAAAAGTTATTAAACGCTACAGATTTATTATTATCTTGGAAATTTTATGCATGCTTCAAAGAAGTTCTTAGACTACTTCATTCAAATGCATCTCCTCATTGAAAAAAAAGGAACAAATGGCTTATAGAATAATAAGATTCCAAATACTCAACCCCTTAAATGTGAACATTTTAAAAATTTAGGATACTAAAGAGGCTCTCCCTGTGACAAACGGTTTTTCTTTTGAGAAAATCGATATTTTCTACATTTTTTTCTAAATGTTTTTTACTCAATTGTCTCAACAAAGAAGATATATTCTGAAGACTGCTGCTTAGACCTTCTTAGAATTTCTTTGAGTGCAATATGAAAAAAATAGAGGGAGGAGCTTATATATAAAGCCCTGGTTTCAATTTAAATGAAATATATCTAAGAGCACGCATAGACATAGCTGAAGAAGTCAGGAAACTAGTTTAATATGGTTAAAAAAAAAAAAAAGCTCAAATACAGTAACTTGAAGTTAGTGGCTTAATTATAAATAACTCCAAAAGAATTTTTTTTTATATTATCCAGCATTGAAACACAGAAGTAAGACATCCTAACATGCATACTTAACATGAAATAATTTGCCTTTTTGTGTTTGTTTTCTGTTTTTGCAAGCTTGAGATTTTTAAAATCTTTCCTCTGTTACTTGCACCTCAGGTCATAACTGTCCTTGTGTGTTTCATTACAGCTCCAAAAAGGCTTCCAGACTTTCCTGAGACAAAAACGCCCTTTCCTTTTGAGAAACCTGAGGGCATCTTGGGTAATAAGAGTACCTTTAATTTGATACTAAGGATGTGTGTGGTAATTGCTTAATTCTGTAAGACACGTTTACTGAGTCCTGTGTCTGCAAACCGCAATGAACTGATGAATTCAGTTAAGTCAGGCAAACAGGTGGTTAATTTGGTTAAATAAAAAAGGACCTGTTTGATTGGATTTTCTACAAATTTAAAAATCATCAGTCTTAATTCCACATAACTCATTTAGTATAGTTTTCTGTCCTTAAAAATGTCGACAGTATGACACCAAACTCTTGTCTCTCTCTCACCACTAATCAACTGCTTTCTTGATTGGTACATAATGATTTCTTCTCATTATAAAATGACTTGATTGTATCAGCATGTGCTTTTGATTTGCAGGCTTCTGGTAGCCACTTAACCGTACCAACAACCTATTTTGGTCCCTTTCTCTAAAAAAGAAAATGTCAGCAAATTCCATTTCTTTTCAATATAGTTTCAAGTGAAAAGCCATGGATTGTTCCTACAGCTAAAACATCTGAAGATTCTAGAGTTCTGCAGCCTCAAACTGGTAATTGCATTCTTTTTAAAAAATAGATTGTAACAAGAGTACTGAATAACTTCTTGTTTTTATTTTTATAGGTTCCTTAATTGATTATCAATATACTTTGTAGTAAATGGAAAACCTAGGATACATTTTTGGTGCTCAGATGAACCTCATTTTTTCCCCACTACAAAAACAAAATGGTTTTGCATTTGTTTTACATATATGTTTTCAATTTCTGGATACATTATTAGAAGTCTGGCTAGAACATGAACTATGAAGTAGCTGATTGATTTTCTAGAGATCTCTTTAGTGCCAAGAGCAATAAGAAAAATAAGCAGTACTATGGGTTGGATTTAACAGTATGAGCTTAATATTTCCCTTGCAGGGAGATATTTGCTTTTTCTTCAGCAGAATAATTCAGTAAACATTTGAGAGCTTACTATGTGCAATATATTCTACCAAATTATAAAATTTGTAGGTATATCATGATATAGAGGACAGAACTCAGGTCTCTGAAGTTAATAATAGACCTTGGTTCCATTCCTGTCTCTCTTACTAACCACATGATAGCTGTTTTTCTTTACTTTCTGGGCCTTTGTTTCTTCTTTTGTAAAATGTGGCAACTGACTTTTTTTTTTCCTCTTGAGAATTCTTGTGTTCTACCAGTAAAACTGTTTGAGACATCTTCCCTTTTTCAAAAAATAGATTTTTATCAACTAAAAATTTTTCTCCTATACATCTTCTCTTTGATGGCTAGCAGTAAATTAAAGAAGAGCATATTCAGCATATGAATTATAAGAAAACCTCAGAAACCATCCTTTGCCATTACTTCCATGATTTTCTCCTTTCATTTGTTTGTATTTTAATTTTTATGAAACTTCTGGTTGCTGTGACTTTATTTGAGGTACATATCATATAGTATATAATGTAGAAGTTCAGGTAATTGAAGTTAAACACACTAACATTTTGTGGTATTCTCCTGAGAAAGTTCAGCAGAAGACTGGGTTTGAGAAAGGATGAGAATGAGCCCTCAGACTCATAGATCTTAGTCAAAATATCCTTTATCTACTAAGTGTAATGGGCTCAGATCTCAGCAAAAGATAGAGGATAACATTAAATTGAGTAAGCATGTCTATTATGTTCTCCCCTAGTTTCCTTAAGCAGGAATGCACTTGAAAGTTGGCCATGGTTGTTAGCTTATCCAGAAAAGCCTGAAATCGGGTCTTCCTAAGCCTTAGTTTCTAGTCACTAACCCTAAAATTCTGGTGCAATTAACTAAAGTGGGTGCAAAACTCCTTTAGCAATCTGGGTCACCTAGGTCTAAAGTCTGGGTTCTGGGTAGAGTTCCATACTGATTCCCTGGGTCCTGCAGCCATCACACAGGTGCAGCTGCATTGTAACTAGGAAACAACTACTCTGGGGGCACATGTGATGGTCTATCTGCTGCACCTGGCTATGCCTCCTGCAACCCTCAGTAGAAGCCAAACCAAACATGTTTGGGGCTTTTGTGACTAGATAAACTTTTAAGTCCCTTTCATCTGTTAGCTTTAGGGTTATAATGTAGGGGACACGGGGTTCCCTGGGTCTCCTTTAAGTAGCATCTCATTTTTAGTTTCTATGATTATTCATGAGCAAAGTGATCAAAACCGCAAGGAAACCAGTTTTGAAATTTGAATGCCTACAATATGAACTATATATAAAGCCTCGGTTGAACCAAGTCTTGGGGAGAACATGTTGGGGAGTGTAGGTTACAGAGTTACAATGAGACAAAAATAGATGATATGGAAAATCCCAATAAAGGAAAGATTCCTTTTGTCTTTAATCCCAAAAAAGGAATATTCTGGTCTTTCCCTGATGGAGTATGAATAGTGGCTAATCAGGAAACAGATTCATTATTCAGCTGCTTGGCTACTGCCAGGGCAACTTCGGATTGCCAGAGAACTTCCGACTGAGAGCTCCCAACCCTCTCTGGAAAAAGTTGAGACTTATCATGAGCTGTAGCAACAATGCAGTAGGTGATGATGCAGACATGAACATGAGCCCCAGAAACTTCCCAGCCTGCCTTGTAACATTTAATTTTTATTAATATATCCCTGCTACTTGGTATGATCATTGGGCCAGCAGCATTTGGTGTCACGTGGGAACTTGTTGAAAAGATAGCACCTTGAGCTCTACTCTAGATCTATTGAACCAAGAGCTGCTTGCCATCAAGATCCCCAGGTGATCTGCGTGAATATTAAGGTCTGAGAAGCACTTTATCAATATAGTCTTACCAATGGTGCAGGTAAGAATTACCAGGTATATTCAAGTTATAGGACAGTAGACCTCAAATCAACATCAGATTGACTTCTCAAAGTGGGTGATGAATGTTTCTTGTTTCTGCTAATATGTAATGCTTCCATCTACACTCTAGTGTAAGTGTTGTGTGCCATCTTCTTATATTAAATTTCAAATTAAAATTAAACAACATGCATTATTTGTGATTTAAAGACTTGTATATTCACATAATCCTTTCATTTCAGCCTTTGTTTCTTTTGATTGATTTTGTGCAAATTTATACATGTACTAAGTAAGGTTCTCTATTTGATATTTAGTTTCAACATAAATAATTATTTATTTTCCAATTATTCAAATAGCTTCCTGATGCAACTGTTTTGAGAATTAAGAAAAGAGATAGGCAGAGATGCTGCTTGCATATTGGTCCACAAAACCGGAAGTCTTATTTTTAGTTGCTATATCCTTTGAAGAAACAATATATTTTAGCTGGAATTAATGACACTATTATAGCAAACACAGTACATTTTGTTTTATCTGTTGGGATATGATACATCTCCATTTACTATGTTAAGTTCCTTCGGCCAAAGGCCAGCAGAACACACTTTGTAGTTGAACAAATTTAGATTTATTTACTTATTGCAAAAATGGAAAACACAGACTATGAGGAACAGGGGAATCTCCTAGAGGATATTAGAAAGGATTTGGAAGATTTTGTCTGTGTTAAATGATTGGGGGAAGGGTCCAAGGAAGTGGAGCTTTGCTCTAGATTGGATGCAGTCAAAAAGTAGGAGTAATTCTGTGATTGAATGTCTTCATAATTCTTAACTAGAAAGCAAGATGAGCAGAGTGAAGCTGAAAGAGTCACTGATCAAAGAAGCGGCTCTTACTCATATTAGCCAGGATGTGGAGAGCATTGTGTTGTGCTTTGGAGGATGTTCATGTGTTTGTGTTCCACGTGATTACAGATGGGTCTTGGTTTTCCCTTGATCCATCACAATCACAAAGTAGTCTTGTCTGATATTGGCGTTCTTTGGAATTATTAATGTTCAACGGGAGAACACCACAGCCTACCTGTTAGGTGCCAAACCAGCACCTGGATGTCAGGGGCTCTTCTCTTTATCAACCATTAAACACAATTTGTCATGACCTTTTGTAAATTTTTTTCTGCTTTGACTTTTGTTTTTCATATACTCTGTATTAAAAAATCAGAATGCGTGTTCTCAAAAGGATTTCTGTACCACTTTTGGATATAGAAGACTTTATGGAAATTCTAAGTTGCATGCTGAATATTGAAATCCCTGGATCATTTCAATAGTTTTGGCAACAGTGAGACAGGATAATTTGGAGTTTGGAATATCCCAAGAAATCCGAGCTGTGTAGTCATCAAACATATTCTTCCCTGCTTTCAGTGTCTTTGCCCTAGTCTTTCAATAGTGCTGTATTTTGTGATTTAATTAGTTGGAATTGTGTTTGTATTAAACCTTCTGTGAAGTATGTTTAAGTAGGATTGATTGATTTTGATTCCCTTGGAAAATTTAATTTTCCTTAAAATATATAAAGGGAAATCATAAAAATCTGCTCTATAGTTACATACCAAAACATAAAGTTATTTATAAGTTTTGTATTAAAAGGAAGTTGGCCACACTTTAGAAATATTTAAGTACTTGTGACAAGCTTTCAGAAAAAGGCAGTCTTTCTGGTGATGCAATTCAGTTGGTCTTATGTTCTACTGGAAGGTGGCCAGTTAACTATGATATCAGCATTGTTTTAGAGTGAGTTCTAGAAAAGCTCTCAATATCTTTCACTCTCAGATGAATTGTGCATTTGTATGCATATGCACATGCTTGTTGGATTATTTCTCCACTGGAATAACACAATTTGTTTTTGCATGGCAGTTTTCTTCTAGAAGATTCAAGAGACTATGTATATACCATCATATTGACCCTTCCAAAGCTTCTGCAAGCTGACAGAGTTATTTTCTTTTATATTAAGGAGATACATGAGGAACTTAACTCTGAATGGGTACAGGAGCAAAATTAGACTCATTCACAGCTTTCCTAATCTTCTTCAATAAACTACTCCAAGTTAAAAGTGAAACAGTGTTCTGTAACTTGCTGTGAAAAATTGAGAACTGCTTTTACAACTGGAAGAATTAAATGTTCTTAGTGGGGCCGTAGGCCTTGCAAATGTGCTATATAAGAAATTTTACGTGATCTGTGAGAAGCTGGCCAGTCCCTAAAGTTTATTCTCACTGTGAATATGATTGCTAACTTGCAAGCTATAGGCTGAGACAGCTGAGCTAATAACCAGCTCAACTATTTACCTGTTAAATAACTTGTCTTACATTATTCAACCTCTCAGAACTTCAGTTTCTCCATCTATAAAATGGAATTAATATATAAATTTTTCATCAGTTATGTATTATAAATGTATAAATCATTTAATAGAATGCACAGTACACAAGGGGTACCTTGCTATCATTTCCTTGATGCAAGAGAATCTTGCATGGACTGCATCCCCTGTACACCACACTGCCCATCCCAGACTTCCTGAATTGCTTCATGTGGTCAATCATAATAACAACAGCAATTATGTTTTTAATAAAAGAAAAAGAAAGAATAGAGATGAAAAAACTCTAAGCTCATACATATATATGATCATACCAAATGATCCATGGGTTTTCATTACATTTGTAGAAAATGTTTAAGGAGAATGGAAAGGACATGTGCGGTGTTATTCACAGAGGTCCTGCACCTCCTTGGGAACAGCCTGGTGACCTGTTAGCCGAGGGCAGGGATGGTGCATCCTATCACACAGACTCTCTGTTCCATTTGAGTGGCAGCCTGAATCACTCTGTAAACTGGGCTCTGAGGTCCTGCCTAGGTTCAGTGAGTGAAACGATGCCACAATCAATTGTGCTTTCTGTGGGCACCAGGGGCAGGAGAAGTAGCATAGGTGCCATTGTTTATTATCCCACGGAAAGGTGTGTGCATGACCTCTAAAGACCCTGTGTGGTTTTGGGGTAAGGGTGGATGTGAGCTTTTAGTTTCTGGCTTGATAATACCATCAGGGTTAGGCCTCCTTAATTGACTTGATCATTTCCTTAAGAGACCATCAGTTAGCACAAGGAGGGTTTCAAAAGCAAATGAAAAAAAAATGTTCGCAAGCCCAAGAGGATTCTGTGTTTGTTTTCACCCTTAGAAAATTCTCCTGCCTGTTCTCCCCGAAAGTGTCCAGGTAAACCGAATTTCCTTCCAAATCTACTGTGACATTACTAAGACAATGACTTTTTCTGGTATGATTATTTCCCCTTGAACCATAAACAGTTATGACTTAGAGACTTCCCTTGACAGAGGGTCAGAACCAAGGAGGGTCGGCCTCAGTCTTTTCATTAGAATCTACTTTGGGAGCTTCCTTCAGGAGGTCATCACTGATTATTTTCAGTGTTAAATCCTTTCAATGCTCTCTTGAACTGTAGTAAACTGCAGTATGCCCTTAAGCTCTATAAATTATTTAAAGGCTTGAAAGCTGAAGTGATTGGCACACACGAGGATTGGTATATTTGTTAGAAAGTTTTGGCAGCAGGTTGTTTGCTCAGAGTGGTTGAAAAGAGGTAAGCTCTACATTTGGACCTTATTGCCTGCCCTGTAAGGTGTTGATTAGCACAGATCTGGCCCACCCAACTGGATTAAGCCCTAGAGAGGAGAAAAAGTAGGAATGAGTGGTGGTGTGGATGCTTTGAGAGCAGGAAAATAGAATTCAAGCATAGCAGATGGTTTACAGATTTACTGTGGTCTCTAAGAGATTTATAGCCTCAGCCTTTGATTTTATTTCACAAACATTTTCTTGCAGCCAGGATTTTAACAGATTTCAAGGCCAACTAGAAAGGTATTTGTTTTTCCATTAGCTGAAAAAGCATTATTATTTAATAATATATTTAAATGATACTGAGAACTTTGTGTGCGGTATTGTGTTTTTCTCTTCTAGCTCCTTTTTGATATATTTTTTCATTGCTTCCTCATATATAGTTTTAGAATTCTATTTCCATGGCAGGGAATGGCCCCACAAGCATATTACAGGTATTTGTGTAATAGAGGAAGAGATTTCTGTATCACAAAATAATTATAGTACATGTTCATTTATTCTCCAAACTAAGCCAGAAAGTCATTTATTCTAAGAACTTAAACTACCCAACTGTCAAACTCACTGCTGTCTGTTTGTTGCAATGGACATGTTGCAAATTTATTCCAATGGGTATACACCATGCACCAGACTCTGAAGTAGGCTCTGGAGTAAATAAACCTTGGAGTGCATAATGAGCAAGACAGACACAATTTCTGCATTAATGAAGTCTTCGGTCTAATAATTTGTGTTTAAAAAAGAAAGTCTTTCACATAGTTATCAATATTCAGAGAATTTGAAAGAAATGAAATGATAAATTCTTGATGATTTGAAATACTTTGGGTGCCATCACATGTTTCTAGAGTAATATCAGGGCATTTTTTCCCCACAGACTTTGTATTTAATCAGTTTTTCAAAGTAAAAATGTACAATTAACAAAACATAATTTTAATAAATGTGGCTTTAGGAAGTGATAAAGCAAATGGTAGTATAGATTATTTCATATTATTTTTTCTTTGGAAAATCTGAAAGTAAAATTGAGTTATCATAAAATTTAGTTACTGTTTTTTGAAAGAAACTAATATTGCTTTTTATAAACTTTGAATTGAACTGCTTATTTTACTTGTTGGATTCAATTCATCTGATAACTTTTGGTCCCACATATGTTCTGTGAATACAAGATCAAGATACTGCTTAATTTCAAATAGCTATAGCATTTCATCTACTAAAGGAAACAAAGGTGATAAAAGTTTGCCTTTAAACAATGATGTATGGCAGCATGTAGACTGTCTAATAACAGAAGGGTTCACCCCTAACTGTAATCAATTAACTGCAATTAATTGTATAGCCTTTTAGAAACTGGGTCTAACCATTGCAGGAATTTACTTTATCTGGTATAGAGGTACATATACAGGGTTTTATAAAGAAATCAAGTGCTGTTGAGTTTTAGAGAGGTTTTCAGAGAACTACATGTCAACAGTGTCCTCTCCCCTGACACCTATTTCTTCTAGGTTGAAAGATCTTATTTAAATCTTGAATGAATGAGATGGTGACAGGCTTCTCAACGCTGCTCAAACAACATAAAACTTAGAGAGAGTGGTATTTGTGGTTTTTTAGCACTCATTTGATTTGCTTTTCAACTCTCAGGAAATACAGAAATAGAAATATCAAGGATGAAGTCTACTGGCAGATGTGTTATTTTAATCTTGAGTATGTTTGAGAATGTGTTTGGGAATTAAGAGATTCCTGACAATTGGGAACTTCAAGACATGAGTCACCATTGCCAGGGGATGCTGAAAAGAGGGCTTCTTTCCCCAATAAATGCCTTTTGTGGGGATAACTTGAGGGAAGACAGCAGCCTGGCTTGAAACCTCAAAAATGAAAAGGAATTGTAAATATGAAAAATAAGTAAAAAGAGGGGAATAAATATCATCTCTTGGAACAAAAATGCAGGCTATAGGATAATTGGTACAATATAACTAGATGAAAGGGAGATTTCAGAGTTAGGATAACATAAAGACAAGCATGGCATTTTTCAAAAGCAGTAATATAAATAAAAAATTAAGCTATTCATAATTTCTTTTCTAGTGTGAGTGGGTTAAATACAATTTGGCAAGGCTTTCTGAATTTATTTAGTAGTAGATGAAGCTGACTTTGCTGGATCCATGACTTGAAATTGGATTAATGCAAGCCTAAGATCAGAAACTGCCAGCATTTTTTGTCCTTTAAGAGATCAGTCATTATTATCCAACCATTAAAATTGCAGCAACGCTAAAGAAGACTTTACAGTGCAATGGATGCACTCTCAGAAAGTACGCATATTTGAACTCACAATATTCTTTCTGGTTTTGAAGATTTTGTAAAGCAGGAGATTCGCCTTTACAAATTGCGATGTATTTCCGGCCTCTTTGGCATGTGGTGCAATATAAAATGCTGTCTATTTTCAGAGTATGTCACAGGGTCTGATAATATCTTTCTTACAGTTTCAATCAGCAATGGCTCAAAATCATTAGGTTGTCACTGAATTACAAGTAATGCCAATGAGTAAATCTTCCTGTGAGCCCCCTCCTTTTTATTTGATTTCCATATAGCTATTTTGAATGGGCAAGGAAAGTAACATCTACCTCGTACCTGTTCATGCTTTCTCTATACCACTCATGACCAGAGTGACAGCTCTTTTTGATGCTGTTTTTGCTTGCAGGTTCAACTTGTATGTGAACATGAAAATTATCCCCGTATTAAAATCATTAAAACTTTATGCTTACCCTCATCCTACTTTCTTCATTTCATGTAGAATAGAAAATTTATCTTGAAATCCACCTAGATTATAGAAGGGCTTGTGGCTCCATGAAAGAACACAGAAAGCTGCCTCTAGGTACCTGTCAGGAAGGATGGTGCCAAAAGAGTCCTAGTCTCAGCCCTGTTGTCTTTGGTCCTGCTGATAGAGTGGAAATGCACTGAGCTTGACGATTTCAGCATGTGACAGCTGGCAAATGTCTTCACTGCTGAAAATCTCAACTTTGTTATCTAGAAAATGGAGATAACATCCCATTATCTATAAAATGGGAGAAATGCCTGCCTCACCTATTTCTCGGGGATGTTGAGAGGGTTAAATAGGCTAATGTATGAGAAAGTGCTGTGTAAACCGTACAGTACTGTTCAAACGTAAGATATCATGACATAAATTTTACTAAGCTGAAAGACTAAGCAGTAGACTTTGGGCAAAGAGCCTCAATGTGACTGCTGTTTCTTTCTTTAGAAGTCTCTCCCCAAACTGCCATCTGACTTTATTTATATTTATATTCTTGAAGCTCTTTGATTTAGAGCTGGCACTACTCCACTGTAAATATGTAGCACTATGTTCACATCATCCCAAAAGCCAGTGGCAGGGCTTGCTATATAAAATCCTGCAGTTTAGAGCACGAAGGACCAAAGGCAAGCCCTGGTGATTGCTTACATGGTAGTGACAAGGCCAGTAGCCCAGAGCCAAAATCCACTAGCACCTACATAAAACTATCCTTCAGCCAGCATTAGAACATGTCATGAAATCTTTCAAAATTAATCAAAATCTAACATCTTTTTTGTTTTACCTTTTTATTTTAAAGCAACTTATGATGTTTTCTCAAGCTCTACAACAACAGATGAGCCTGAAATATCAGAGTCCCACACAGGTATACCCAGCCCCTCAGTTTTGTCTTTGGATCCCAGGTGCCCTGACAACACTTGGTGGTTTTTGCAGAGTAAAAATGTGTGCTCTCTAGAGATCTGCAGGAAGGAAATAGCCATCTGTGTCAGGGAGATGAGTTCTGCTCACCCCTCCCATGCAGTGGTTAGATCTTTATATCCATTAGTAAATAAGCTCTGTCACATGAGGGAGATGCAGATAGACTCAGTTGCCACTGAGGACAAATAATATAATGGCCTATCATTCTATTGTTCAGAATCACTGTAAAAAGGTCTTAAGAATCTTAGAGGGTATTCACTAGAGTAATATTAATAGTTCTTAAATTAAGATGATTTTGCCCTCCTCCCACCCAAGGACATCTGGTAATGTCTAGAGGCATTTTTTTGGTTTTCACAAGTGGGGGAGATGCTACTAGCATCTAGTGGATATACATTGAGGAAGATGCTAAACCCATATGGTGCACTGAGCAGCCTTCCATGACAGAATTATTCAACTCTAGATGTCAATAGTGCAAAGGTAAGAAATTATTTTCTGAAACAATCACATCATTCCTCTGTGGAGTTCAGTTGGGTCTAGTCTTTGTCATTTATTTGCTGACCCATCTATATCAAGTTACCTGAGCCTGACAGTCCCTTTGAGCAAGTGTTTCTTAAGCACCTATGAACCTAAGTACTCTAGGAGAGTCAGAGAGAGTAAGAGACTGGTCACTGCCAGGTGCAGATATATGTCTGATATTTTTTATACAAGTAGCTTTATCTCAGCATCATTTATGTCATAATAAAGGTGAATAATTTTAAACAGCAGCAGAAAACAAGACAAAAAAATAAAAGAGAGAATGCCAATAGTGGTTCAGTTAACAATTATGCAACAGAAGTGAAGAAACCAGAAAAACCAGTTGAAAATAAGTTGAAGGTATGAAACGCTGTTTTATCATGGTTTCTAGTATTTAAAGTATGAATATTTTTAAAAGTGAGCTCATCTTCAACTCCTAATAAATCATTTTCAAATGTTGATCAGCAATCCTTCAAGTGTCCTTGATATTTTTCCCCATGTGAAGCATAATTTATTACTCATGAATTTGTATTTTATTCCTGGGGCCTTCTACTACTTTTATAAATGTTGACATTTATTCCAACAGCAACAAGTGATCCTATTCTGGATTCTGTCCCACCTAAAACTTCTAGAACTCTTGAACAGCCAAGGGCAACACTGGGTAATGTTTTTAACAGAAAAATCACACTTTATTTTCCATCAAAAAAAAAAAATCCATGTGAATGCCTTTCTTCCAAATGACCATTTCATTCCATCACATCTAATCATTTCTTTCCTTTTTCTTAATATACATGTATAAAATATTTTAAATGCAGGCATCTTTTCTATTCCATTTTGGACTCGCACTTTTTTTTTCTTTGAACTGTAATGATATTTTCCCCATTCTTATAGCTGTGAAAAGCTTTGAAAACTGCATGGACATCATCTGCACCATCTCATGTCATATGTTTGTGGCCTGTATCATCTCACTTCCATGCATTGAATCTGTCTGGAGTCAGCTACTGAACAATCATCAATCTAGCCTTTTCCCCATAATTCCATTCACCAGCTTTCAAGACTACATGCATTTTTCATCCTTCATCATGTACTTCTAGCATGTGCTTTCTACCATCTAAAAGCATGTTAAAATTCTTAAAATATTTCATTTTAATGGGGATTATTTGGTGGGATGGGGTGTTTTGTGCTTTCAGCTCCAAGTGATATAACACCAGTTGTTCCTCAAAAACCGGAAATCTTTACCAGTCCCGAAATACAACCTACAACACCTGGTAACTAATGACATTTGTGTAGTTGTGTGGTTTGAAGAAACAGGTAATATGACAAAAAAAAGAGTCATGTTAGCTTTTTAAGAATAATTTTATCACTAAATATTTCTCATTATTCTCTACCATGAAATTTTTCAAAGAACTGAGTTACCTATCATATCTAACCTTATGATCCTCAAAGAATTTTCATAATCTTGATGTCTATATATTTTGAAGAATGGTTTCCTTCTAATACTTCTTTCAATGTTGCCTGGCAGAAAATAGCAAAAGAATTATAGATGGTAATTACTTTAAAATACATTGCCTTTTTTTTTTTTTAGCACATTTAAATACTCCTTGATCATGGTATTTCACCTGAAGTGCAGTCTAAATATAAGGAACACCAAGTAGGCTCTGTAGTCCAGGACTGCAGATGAGAAAAGGGAGGTAATACAACCTTCATTTTATAACAGAAAATTATTGGAATTTCCAAGTTCATTAACTTTTGGTGAGGGTTATAATGTGGTACAGAATTAAAGAAGTTCTGAACTATCCATTCTCTAAGTCCCAAATATTTTATTTTTGCTTGTCCCCTGCTATTCAGTGTCATCCTTCTTAACTGTACCTTGTGTTCTGAAATGCTTCCAGGGTGCTCATTTTCTGGTACATTTAATTGAACAGTGTATTTTTCAATTCTCATGTAGAAATGTAATACCTTTTGGCCCAGTCAACCCTTATTTATTGAGTGCCTACTATGTATTATATAAAGGAGGGTGCTGGACAGTCTAGAGATCCAAAGAAATATGAAGCAGTTCTTGCACTCAAGAAGTTCACAAGTTTATAGGCACAACCCGATTGGCCCCTGAGAAATACCATTTATCAAAGCTCTATTAAATCTTCTTCTTTCAGCTCCCCTGCAAACTACATCTATCCCTTCTACAACTAAACGACGCCAGAGGCCCAAAAGGCCAAGACCCAAACCCGGTAAATAAATGTCTTTTTAACCTTTCAGGATATTTAATTCCAAATGACAATGTTATCTCCTTATCACAAAAAGAAGAGAGGTGATTCTATAGCTTAATATCTTTGCAAAATTTGAAATTAACTAAAAGTGAATTATTAATAATACAAAATGACAAAAATCAAATGTCTCCAATAGGAGTTTACTGGAAATTATGTGATTTTTTTTTTTTTTGCATGTGAACTTTGTTATAAACCTAGAAACAAGTCCTACTGTCACCCTTATAGAGTGATATATATAGTGTAACTCATTTTTATATGCATCTATATTTAAGTGTTTTGGAGCTGATGGTCCTTACATTAATATTTTGGTGCCTACTATGTTTTCAGTTTTGCACCAGGGCAATGGCTAAGATGGAGAAGACATGACTCTGGCTTTCAAATAGCTTATAATCTTGAGAAGATAAGATAAAACCATCAGAGCATAACATGAGATTATGTAACGTATTTCTGAGACTGTATAATATTTGTTTAAAAGAAAGAGTTGAAGATGCAGGAATTAACATACATGTAGGGTTTGGACAGAGAAAAAGGAGAGGGAACAACATACATTATAGCACAGAGTTTGGGTGTTACAGATAAAATAGCTTAGCAACCTGAAGGTGATATCCTTCATCAGCACTCACTATATTCAGAATCATGCTCGACACACTAGCTTTTGCTTATTCCATTGTAATGTAAATATAATTTTGTATGACCCATACTGTTATGACAGTTTAAAAATTCTTTCCCCAAACTTTTACTCATTATATACTTTGTTAACTCTGACTACTAAATATGGCAGGATTTTAAACAGATCCTTCAGTTTGTCTTTGGAGGATATCTTTTTATCATCTCTAGGATATTTCAATATTTCTTTTTTCCTTTCCATCACCAGAAAGAACAACAAGTGCTGGAACAATTACATCTAAAATTTCTAAAAGCCCTGAACCTACACGGACAACACTGGGTAATAATGTGTTCTTAGTACATGTGTTACTCCAGTCTACCATGGGAAATTTTGTACCCTAGATTTATGTAATTATTTAAAATGGCTTATTTGAATGATAGGAAAAATCTCATAGAATACACCAACCCCATGGCTATCGTGGTTGTGGGTAGCTGGCCTATGTTTAGTAAATCTGAACTCGGCCTTCAGATAACATCCTGTGCCACCTGCTTCCTTGTCTTTTATCCAATTATTATATTTGAAGTTGGATCTTATATATTGTTTTCCTTTTTTTTTTTTTAAGTAAGGCCCTCAAGTTCAACTTCAGAGTTCATTTGGAAAAACGACTTTTAATATTGGTGTTATAGAACGTCTTTATGCCTCAGATCATAGCATTATACCTATCAATGAATACTAATTTTAAAACATGATGGATTTTTTCCTGGTGCTTAAAGACTTAGATGCAGCTGAGAAATAAGGGTACAAAATGATTTGACTGATTTTTTTTTTTAAATCATGGATTAATATCACTGTCTTTGAGGAGTTACTGTGACCGTCTAGTAGCAATGCTGTATCTGTCAGGTTAAATATAATCTTGAAATATTTTTCCAAACCAGATAAAAATTTTATGTATTTCCATTAAATAATTCTGTATGAATGTACCATGGAATATTTCCAAAATCTTCCACAATAAGTTCATTCCACTTAATGTATAGTTTATTTTTAGGTTTTCCTTCTATGGTTTTAGAAACTGAAATGCCTAAATATTGATCTGTTGATTATTTTGTGTCTTTATTTTTCCAGCTCCCAGTAAAACCCAATTTATTTCTTTGCAAACTAAAGTCCCTCTCAGCCCAGAAGTGACACACACCAAACCTGGTAATTACCCTAAACTTTTAAAATATTCTTAAGATAGGATTGAAAAATTGTTTCATGCAACTCTTTGGAGCAAGAATTTCTGATTTGTATTTTGAGATTTGTTACATTTTTCCAGGGAAAATGCAAATGTCAATGACATAATCTCATCATAAACAGCTACTGTGATAGTATCACAGCCTTGCAGTGAGCTGTGTAGTGGATCATTATGTTCAGGACCATTGCAGAGAAAACACAGAAATGTAACGATGTAAATGATTGAGGACTCTCTTGTCTAGGACTGCAAAATAGTTTCCAATACCAAAGTTGACTGGAATTCTAATCACACTGTACAATAGCCTTTTAGCTGAAAGAGGGGAAATGTTTCCACCCTCTAAGAACTCTGTCTTAGTTTGGGGCCTCTCAGTTCTCAGGCTGCAAAGCCAGAAAGGCCTGTATTTTCCTAATGCTCTAAGACTTCTAAATTGGGGCTGATTTCTGAACACTGACTTCTGTTTACCTCTCAGAGGATTTTAATGATGTTTTACAAAAGAAAAGAAATCTCTTTTTTCAGTAAAGGATTGTTCTATACATGTAATTAAAAACACCATTTCCTGCATAAGGATTGTGAAACATACGGAATGACCAAATCTTCCCATTTTCTATCTCTCGGGAATCTACACAACAGTCTTAAATGTTGACTGATAAGATTGGCTGTGGGGGAACTTTGTCATTACTCATTGTCATTGTTATATAAATTTTAAACCCTTAGCTCTGGAAAGAACATATTTTTCACTATGGTTAATGGATTTTGAGCTTGCATTTCCATTAATGGCATATTTACAAAGTAGGATTATTAAAGTGAGAGATGTTCTGCTAAAGTGGGCATGATTTATATTTGCAATGAAATAGGTAAGGAAGAAAAATGTAACTTTTCAAAAAAAGGAATTCTCATAACTTCCTTTAAAGAAGCAGTGAGATTTCCAGGTGTAGGTGCAGACTGAAGGAAATTAGGGATTAGGCAAAGGGAGTGTAGATGCTGTAACCATAGGTAAGGCCTCCAAGTCAGGGAAATGGAATGAAAAACTCCCAGAGAGGTATTGTTTCTTTTTCTTTTTCTTTTTCTTTTTTTTTTGGAGAAACAACCATAGCTAATAAAACTCAAAAGTCCTAACAGTGTAAATCAAAGAACTCTGACAATTAGCTGTATGAGAGTAGGGTTAAATATACATTTATTAAAAATCATGTTTAGAAGGCTTTGGAATAAGGCATAGTAACTATTTATGCTGTATTTTAAATAGAGGGCTATTACCAAGCAGATCAAGAATATTACTGTGTATTTGGGTCACCAAATTTTTTTTTTTTTTTTTTTTTTTTTTTTTTTTTTTGAGACAGAGTCTCGCTTTCTTGCCTAGGCTAGAGTGAGTGCCGTGGCGTCAGCCTAGCTCACAGCAACCTCAATCTCTGGGGCTCAGCAATCCTGCTGCCTCAGCCTCCCGAGTAGCTGGGACTACAGGCACGAGCCACCATGCCCGGCTGATTTTTATATTATATATATTAGTTGGCCAATTAAATTCTTTCTATTTTTTTTATGGTAGAGACGGGGTCTCGCTCAGGCTGGTTTTGAACTCCTGACCTTGAGCAATCCGCCCGCCTCGGCCTCCCAGAGTGCTAGGATTACAGGCGTGAGCCACCGCGCCCGGCCACCAAATTTTAATAAATGTTTCTTTATTCCTGTTATTATAAGATAAAATTTGAAAGTATCAAAAAATATCCCCAAATGTTGGTTACAGTTTATATATAAGTTACATCATTAATTTCACTGTTTTCTAAGAAAAGATTTCTCAGAGAAAATTTATTAATACAGATAAGGGTGGGGAGGACGTGTTCTTATCATTCTGAGGTATTTGAGAAAGAGACTTCTTAATTTGATATTTCCTTTTCAAATGGGAAAGATTACTTGGAAGCTAATGTGTTTATACTCCTTTGATTTCTAAACCTTCTAATCACCTAAGAGAATTCACCCTTTTGGCTCAGCAGCAAGTATAACCGCTTCAGAATCCAAGGCTGATCCCATGCCAACTCAAGTTGGCCTTAGGTGGTCCAAGGCAACACGGAGTAATGACTGCATCTCTGCAAACCATTGCTTTGGCTTTAGCTTCTTAAATTTTATTTCTTCATTTTTATTTAGGGCAGACATTATTTCTAGCTCCAGTAAAGATTTCTGTTCAGAAGAGCAAATAAACCACCAAAAGCTTTTTGATTTGAGTAATTCACTGCCTATCCCAGCCTTCTGCTCACACTCTGTTTTTCCATTTCACCTTCCACACAGGCTGCTTTTCCTTCAGCTTTCCTTGGCGATTACGTTAATGAACTGAAATCCATTTTGTTTTGAGCTTTGTTTATATGCAATTCAGTGCATTTCTCACAAACCCCAGTCGGGACTTGTCTACCTCATCCAATGAGAATCATTCATTCCCTTCCAGGCTTAATCTTTAAGGTGGTGGTGACATTCAGCTCTTCAACCTTCTAATAGACTGGAAAAAAAAAAAAGGAGAGCTCCCAATTACAGGTGTTTACTTTACACAGCTGTGTTCCACGGTGAACAGAATTGCAAATTGTTTTCATTATAAGCCATACGTCTGTGAGCTTTGTTTTGTGCTGAAGTGAGTGGCTTAGTCATTTGCAGGCCACTTAGCTTTGTGACAGAACATTTTATACCTTATCCCTAACACCTTAAGATTGTCAGACATGGGAAGTCTTGTCAGAAGATGTATTTGTTTTTACTAAATATCAACTTTACTATTTTTATTATATACTCAACTTTGAAGCTTAATTGATGGGGTTCCATTCCTATTTTGTCTGGGTCTTGTCAGGAATTCAAAAATGCAGATTTTTGTCTACAAAATTTAAAAAATAGAATTCTTTAATATTTGTGAGGGCTGAAAGATGTTATGAGTAGCAAATCTGGTTGACTTTTTCACACTTTTAGAAGGCAGTTTTGCAGAAAATATGAATTACAACCTCAACGTTTCAAAATAATTTTTTGTTTGCTATTTTCAGGTGTGGATGCTTGCTTAATGTTTATTGTATTTTACATATTGATGCTTATTTTCTCCTTTTCCTGTAGAATCTGAAACACTCGTTTTCTCTCACACAAAATTTTACTTTGTTACATGTACTTCAATCTGATACATCACTATTGTTTGCCTTTCATCTGTCATAATCTATTTCTGGACAGATTCTTGAGAAATCAGAATTTGGGTTTTTTTTTCAATAACTGCCTTTTAACTTTATTTTTTCAGGCCTAATTTGTACTATTCTACAGTCTCACACAAAGATTTTTTGGCCACAGACATGCTAATGAATGATGATGTCTTTATATAGCACCTTCTGCGGTTATTCATTGCTTTCAGAATATATGAAAATTCTCTACCTACATTATTTCTTGTTATATTTTTTGTAGTTGCTACATAGAAACTATTATTGTAATAGTTTCTTTTTTAATCACTACATCCCCCAAACCTGCCATATTCCCTTTATCCAGTAAAATCAGAGGTAATTCCTGATAAATGTAATATTAGAAATGTATAAGTAGAATGTTTACGTTCTGTTAAGATGGTCAGGGAATGCCCTATTAATTAATTTCTATAAGAAAAAAAGTCAAAGAATCTTCACTTTATCTTCTATTTCAAAAATAAGTTGAATTCCTTTATTTTCTTCTTGCAAAACAATTATTTTTATTCATAGAATAATAACAAAAACTATTGGATAATCTTCTTAAAAATTCATATAAATATTGTAACCAAGCTACTTTTAGCACGAAGTATAATTTGCTTACTGCCAGTTTGAACATCAGAGGGTTTGTTACCTGTTAGGATATTTAAATAATGTTCAGGTCAGCCTTTCATGAAATCTGAGGCTGCTTTCAGACAATAGGTGCTGGTAAATACAGGAGCACCAAATGAACACTCGTGGTCTCTTCTAAACCAATAAGTTTAATTCCTATCTTTTGTGAAAGAAAGTCCGGTCCATCCAAGCTGGAGATCATTCTAAACTAACAGAGCACAGACACAGACAGATCTGATGAGTCTCTTGCCTTTTCTTCCACCTTTGGGTGAACCTGGCTGTCTTGTAAGGAACAAAATGGCATTTGACAAGACACTCATGGCAACCTCAGAGAGGCCACCCAGAACTCCCTTTCAGTTAGTATTTCCTCAGCCACCAGGGGCAGTCTTCAGAATATTGAGCAGTGAGGGCAATAGCTCAGGATCAACAACAAAAATGAAAATACTCAATTCTTTTATTGTGGTTTGTGAAGAAGATATGGGGTGATGGAACGTCACTGTCATAAGCTAGTAGAACCTAATCATTCACCAAGGAGAAAACACTGTTTATGGTAAAAAAAAAAAAAAAAAAAAAAAACACCACCATGTAATTTCTCTCTTAAATGGTGCTCCTCAGCATTGCTTTCGATATTACTTGCTTTTATTGTAGCCCCCGAACCTCAGACTCTACCACCATTACAGTCAGCAATAGGTAATGAAGCTTTCTTTAATGAGCGAGAAAAATACATGTCTTTAACACCCTTTATGTCAACTTTGTCCTTAGCTTTGGGTTATATATTTTTTTAAATATTAGTTGTCCTTCAGATGCGTTTCTAGCCATTTTTCTCAGAAGATACACTCTCTGCGTGCGCTTAACTAAGCAGAGGCTCTGAGACAGCTTCAAAAGCTGTAATGATTTTGATTTGATACATTTTCTTATATTTGAGGAATATGCCCTGAGCTTGTTCTAACCTGGTTTTTGCCAGTAGAAGACCCTGGCTTCCCTAAGACTAGGACATGTTTGTGCTTTCACTTTTAGAGGGTTTTTTCTTACTTTCAAAACTTTAACATTTGCAGATTTTCTTGAAAAGCACTATAGTCTTTCCAGACCTAAATATACTGATGTGTCACTAGGAAATCCATTGAAAGAGAAAAATAGAAAAACCAACCCCAACCTTTATAGCTTCTTTTTCTTCCAAAGAGAAAAAAATATGTTCTGGTGCCATCTTAGCCAATTACCCATATTTTCCTTCATAGCATGTACTGCTGGTTACTGTATTACAGTCACATATTCCAAATGAGGATTGTGCCTTTTTTTGTTTTTTCCATTTCTCTTTCCAAACTTAACTGGCTACATTTCTGTTCACTTTGTTTGAAAACACAGGAATCTATTAAAATAGAGAAAGAACTTCTTATGATGATAAAGTTTCACCATTTATATTTGCTCAACCTAGTAATTAGAAATTAAGCATATTCCACATTTAAATAGATTTCATCATTTTCCCTTTTATCTTGAATCTTTCTCGATGATTTTTCATACAATCTTAGGACACAGAACAAAGAGACCCACACCTTCAACAAGAACATTAGGTAATAAGGTTATTGAGTGGGTGACCTTGGTTCTTTTCCTGATGCTATATCTCTATTGGCAGGTTCACATTAATGAATTAATATATTACCATCCACTTGTGTGTGTGTTTTTCTCAAAAAGAATTTAAATACTTTAGTTTATAATCAAATATATCTTATTTTTTAAAAGTTGCCTCCTTTGGAATTTCTGAATTCAAATCTTTTCGGCATGCATTGTAAATTTGTGGATTTTTTTTATGCTAAGTGAAAATCTTCTTCTTTTGAATCTTAAGCCAAAGACTTTTAATTTTTTTTGCAAATGACTTCTTAAAAGCAACCTTTCTCATGTTCCTCTTGTACATATACCTTTAATACTTTTATGTGACTATCTTCTCTAAGTTGTACAAAATTTTGAGAATTTCCATCTCAAAATGCAAAAATAAGGAAATCTCTTGAATAGTTTATCAATCTTTGACAAAAAATTATTTAAGACCACATTTAGGTAAATACTGATAGAAATTTACAAAACAGATGGATTTGTGTCCACAATAAATCAAAGGGCTTAAATGTGCTTCTAAGATAGATATTTGTTATCAGTTTGTGCAGCCACTCTTCCTGTATTAACTCGCTAATTTTCTTTCTTCAGCTCCACCAAAGACCAAACGACCAGGTCGTCGTCCCCGCCCTAAAACAACACCTAGTCCAGAGGTGCCCAAGCTCAAACCTGGTAAATGTGATGTTTAGGGTTCCACTTAACATAGAAAATGGAATATGGCAGCTTCTGATTTAGTAGTCATCAGCTACTTAAGTAGTTGTGTTTTAGGAACCAGTGGAGTCGATTTTTATGTCGGAGAATCTGTACTCATTTTCTGTATTCATATGATACAAATATTTTATAATTCATATTTCTAGTTGTAGGTACTAGGTACACACAGCAGAAACCAACCCATTATGTGAATTATTAAAATAAGGCACCTTAAAATCTTACATGCGATACATATTCAAGGCAGATGAGTATGGGAAAGCCATAAGGAGAAAAGGGGTAAATGGGGAAAATAGGAGGGAAAATCACATTGAGGAAAAAGTACACAGTTTAGGTAGAACATCCTAGCATGAAGCATAATATTTCCTTCCACAAGGTGCCACTTCCTGATATAATTAGTGCTTTTGGTTTTTTGCTTCTATAGCTTTGGAACCTGCCACAGCACAACCGGAGCTCTTGGTGCCCACGTTCGGTAATTCTACCCCCTCCAATTGCTTTCAAAGATTGTCACGCTTGCTTTTCCCACTCTCCACCCCAGGCATAACTGCAGTTCTACCACCCTTTACAATTTCATCCCACGCTTCCCCTCACATTTCCTATCTGGATCTGAAGATCCTAAAGATAGGAGAATTCTTCTAGAAGAATCCAGTGTGCTCCTTTAGGGAAGGTCTGTGGTCTTGGACAGAACTTCCTGGTTCTCTGTTGACTCTTCTGTCTATCTATCATGTGTGTCCTGTTGCATGGTGAGAAAGCCACGGACTCTTCCTCAGACGGAGACATCTGCGCTCATCCTGGAATGAACAAATGGCAAAGTTTTATTCCAGTACCGTGGTTAACATTTCATTGCTTCACTCATTCAACTTGTCAGACTTTCTCCTTTTATAAAACTGCATGACATAATGGCTTCTTCAATTGTTCTGTTTCTTTGAAAAATATTTTTGAATATGTTTGGGTAACTAGAAGTACAAAGATTGTTCTTGGCCTAGGGTCCCATACAAAACTAGTTATGGTCTTTGTAACTTGAGAACATTAAAAGTCCCAAGCTGGTTTTATTGTTTTTAATACAAATACTATTTGATCATAATAATTTCACTATGATTTTTCAGCATTCACAATCTATCTATCTACTTTGGAACATTTCAGAAATCAGTAGCCTTGTAACAATTTCTCATGTGTGATTTCAAGTGTTTATGGATTATTTTACAGGTTTCCTCCTAAGCAAATCTCAAATTTCTACCTTACTGTTTTTATATAAGAAAAAACCTATCAAAGAAATAGAGCTAATACACTTTGTATTTTTGGAAATTATATAGGAAAAATGTCCTATGACAGTTCTCATTACTTTTGCTCAAAGACACATTTCCTGAAGATTCTTCCTTTCAGGAAAAACTAATGATGCAAAGGGATAGTTAAAATAGACTCTTTTTTATCCTTTCCATACCACAGGAAATAATTTTTAATATTTGTTGAATTTATATAGTGTCTTTGCTTGGCATATATGTCCTTAATTTTGAAAATCACAGCCATGACCATTATGCTAATTTTAATACTTTTTTCTTTAGCCCCAAAACCATCCAAGAGACCTAAAACCACACACAGACCAGATGTACCTCAAATACAGCCTGGTAAACACTACTTTCAATGCCTTGCTCTATAAATAGGAAAACAGTATGTAAGTAACACTAATCTTCACATTCACAGCTCAGCTATGACACTAATTTTGGTACTCTTTTTTCCTTCAGATTCAAAACCACCAAAGCAATTACTTCCTAAACCCAAAACCACTGCAAAACCAGATATGCTACCAACTAAATCCGGTAAACATAATTTTCAGTGCTTTAGCTTAACAGGATTTTCTTTGGAAACATTGCTGAAAATGTTTCCAATCTGTCATATCAAGTATAGAAATCCAAATACAATGATTTTGTTCATTATCTTCTCAAAGTAGCCACACTGATGTTTTATGTGCTAAATAAATCAATGTGTGGAAAATTAGATATAATATAAATATTATATATAAAATAAATTGTATACTTCATTGACAGATTCCATTTTCTTAAAGCATTTTTAAACCTTATTTTCTGAACTTATAGAAAAATCAGGCTTCTATTTATTGTATCTGGAACATTTTTTAAAGTGATTTTATTTTAGTTAGTAACCACTAGTAGACAGTTTGCCCAGTAGGATGACACTGTTCTTTCTTTATAGGCACAACTGAAAAAAAAAAAACTGTTAGTCTGGGATTGTCTTCCTCTAAAATACCCTATTGGCATTAACTGAGTGATTTTTCTACCACATAAGAAAATGCTTATATAACAGTTCTGAAAATTCACCTCTTTACAATTGAAATTGTTTTGTAAGATTCCAATTAACATAAAATTCTGACTTGCACAAGCCTATCAAAAAGGGAATTTATATAAACTTAGAATAAACTAGGTTCTGTATCCTCTAAGTTAAATTTCAGTGAGTGCCTAAAAGTTTAGACTTTCTTACTTTTATTACTTATATCTGTTTATTTTTTATGATGCAGTCTTTGACCCTGTTCCATTTGAAACTGAAGCTCCCTTGATGACCATAGGTAATGTTTTCTTTCTTCTAGGCTGATGTTTCTCTGAGCTTGCCTCTCTAGTTTCTTTTGTCATCATCTGTATTCTCTTGTATGCATTATTGTTACTCACATTTTTCATTCATTTCCAAAAATCGTTTACTGTTGTCAACGGGGATCTTTTTAACATCAAGTTAGGTGTTCCTGTGTCTGCTGCCCAGATCATAACACCTGAATGTTATTCTTTCTTCAATCACCTTTGGAGACATTCAGATTGCTTGCAGCACGTGATTCTGTCAAGAGTCACAGGGGCTCTGTCCATCCACCCATCAAACCAGAAAATTTTTTAAATTTCCACTTGTGTGTGTGTACAATTTGTGGATGTGGGAGGGAAGCAATGAAAAAGCTGGTTGAATCTTGTGATAGTACATCATCATCTCTTTCTTGCAAAAGTCCTTTCTTCCTTGATTCCATACTATTCCAATGCAACTGGAATGCAAAATTCATCTTGTGGTGCTAATTTCCAAACAAAGTAGGAATTCCCTGTTTGTTTGAAGGCAATCGCTTATAAATATTGCTTTTATTCTGTTGTCCAGGCTTCCCCTATCTCTTCTGTATGCCATTAGTTCAGAAGATGCTCTCAGATGCAGTTTAAACCAACTTTGTGCTATGATGTCTTGTGCGATCAGAGAAAGTCAGTCTCTGTATAAATGCTGAAAGGGATTTTGGTGATGAGATGTTTGAGGGTTACATTTGGTCTTCTGGATTTAATGAAAAATGGAGACTAATTTAATGGCAAAAAGTTAAAATTCTTCATTTCATATCCATGCATAATCATTTCAGAATATTATAGAAATTTTATTTCTCCAGGCAAAAAGTTGAATTGTTATCTTTCAGACTTTTTTCTGGATCATCTTTGTTCCTTATTTGAATAATTACTTCCTAATTATCCATTTGAAATAAATGAATAAATAGAGTAAGAAGCAATATCACATTTATTAAGAAAAGGCACAAGTTTATCTTCGTATAACTGTCCCAGATCTCCAGTAAATAGACTGATGAAGAACATTGTTCTCACTCTCCTCACAACCACCACCTTCAAAGCTAATAATGGTGGTGAAAACCTTTCAAATACCAACAGAAGCTTTTGTAATAATTTTTCAGAGTAATTTAAAATTATGTATCAGACAACTAATACATTTTCTTGGACCCAAGTCTTTGATACTGTTAGAATCAGATAATCAAACACAGAAAAATACTTTTTATTGCCCTCAAAGGGTTGCACATTGCGAAGGGTATGGCTATTTTGTGAGATAAAGGGATATGGGAGTATGGTCAGTTATTGGGGAAACAAATACTGTTTTCCTAGAGTTCAGAAATGCTTTTCAGATATTACAGGGTTAAGAAGAATCATTTTCAAGATAATTTTCTATATTAATCTCCATCATTTATTGTTTTTGGTTAGTTCCTACCGCAGACATTGAACCTATAACTCTGAGAACTGAGGCTCCAGTGACAAGATTAGGTAATGGCCTTTTATGTTTTTAAGCACATGCTTTTTCTGCTCATCTAGTCTTTTCCCACTAACTCAGTCAAGGGGTTTTCTCTTTCATAAGATTGTTCTCATCCTCTTGTCATTCAACTATGTTCTTCATTTCAAATGTTTTGAAAGTGCTTAAAATAAGTTACTTAGCTATGCCTACATACAGCTAGTGAAGACTATCCATCTCCCATTTTTCCCATTATCCAGCTTTATTAATGTTTTTCAGAGCCTATGATTCTGCTTGAGTAGTGTTCTATGTTAAAGCTGAATTTCAAATACAGCTAGAAATGTCTGCCCTATAGATACCAGTTATAATTCTATAGGCATCTTGCTTTCTGTTGTTGTAAGATGTGTGGGCATTTTTATTGTCTACTATTTTAGGAAATGAAATGTGCTTGTTCTAATAATTTTTAATGGAATGTATGCCTAAGCCAACTAAGTTCTAAGTACACTCTCCCGAAAGCAGGTAAGCCTGGATCGCTCTCTGATGTAATGTCAACATACTTCCCTTGAGTCTAGGCCCTTGTTGAAAATCTGATACCAAAATCTAATAATAAAGTTTTCAGATTATTTAAAAAAAAAAAAACGATGTACATTCTCTTTCAAAATAACTGTCAGTAGACCAAAACAAAAATGTTTTTGCATGTAGATGACCAGAAGAAAATTCTAAACCAAAGAGACAAATTTCTCAAGGCTCAAGAAAATCTAGGAAAATTTTAGAAACCCTAATGTCATGTGGAATCTTTTCTTCAGTTTCTGGAGTCATAAGACTACAATAACCAGTTTCTCTTCTTTAGCTCCAAAAACATCACAAAGAGCAAGAACTCGTCGTCCCCGTCCCAAACATAAAACCACGCCACGCCCAGAGACACCTCAGACCAAACTAGGTAAATAATATGTGGTTCTTGGACCTGTAGAACCTTGTTGGATGTGACATGGGAGTGGCAGTTTAACATGCCACCTAATAACCCCTGTGACCCTTGAGGGTAAAGATTCAAGTCATGGAAAGCAGCTGCTACCAACACAACGCTCTGGCCCATAACTGTGATTTCCTCGTGCTGTTTGCATGAGGATATCTTTGGTGTCTGGGTGTTTCATTTGCATCTCTGACATTTGATTACATTTTTCTCTTTGATTCTAGCTCAACATAAACTTATCTAGTTAGTTGTCTAGTCATCATATTTAGTTTAACTTGTCATGCATTTTATTAAATGCCGCATTTGTATCTGTGGGGAATAATTTAGAAATAACAGATGACTTAATTGAAGAAGGAAGATACTCTTGTATGAAATGATTCATAAATAGATATGAAAATGTGGAGAAAACCAAATATTAAGTTTAACCAACTGTTGGGCACATAGTTAATTCTTAAAGAAGTAATCTGTGGGCTGAGAAGTGTAATATGGATCTTAAAATTTGTGGAGTTGGTAGATTCGTTGGTGGCTGGGCAGGAATCTTACAGAGGCAGGAAGGTGTCATGTATGGGTGACAGCAGAAGGATAGGAATTAGAAGGGCAACCTGATTGGGAGAAAGGCAACATTTCCTTAGCTTGACAGTGATGCTACTTTTGGATGGGTCCACAAAGAGCACCTCAAATGCCTGCCTTCAGTGATTGGATTTGAGCCAACTGGCTGCAGCATGCTCTCCTATCCTAAGGGTCAGACCATTTCTGTCATGATAACAGAGAGATGCACTAACAAATTCAGTGGACTAAATAACCCTCTATATCTATCTCTTTGTATACCTTTGTTTGGACAAAGGTCTTCGCCTTTTTCCAAAGTGGACTATCAACAAAGAAAAGCATTGTCTATTTGGGTTATTCATCACTTGTTCTGCTTAAATATATCAATGACTGTATCTATCATGACTTAGTGCTTTATTTTCCAGTCTATAGTATTATCAATTATACTTTCATATTCTTTTCTCATAATTGTTAAATGTTATTAGAAGATGCCTAAAGATTTTTCTGAGTAGGGTTTTCTACTGTATCATCAGATAATATAAAAACAAGAAAAACTGGTAGTTAACCATGTGGAGATGCTAAGGATATATCCATTTTATTAGAATAAATATCTGTACCCTCACTTTAGAACTTTAAAATGTTTGCTTTTTGGGTGTGGAGCAAATGCTATACTGGTGAAGTTCATTTTGAAGAGAATTTTATGGATTTTCTCATGTGTTTAATGTTTCTTTTTTTAATTGTTTTTTACAACATTTTTTACAACAGACTTTGGACCTGTTACTCCTGAGACTTCTTTAGGTAATGACTCTTGACGTCCTTCAGCAAATGGCTTTTTCTTATTCATTGTGAAACTTAGCTATGGTGCTGTATAGATGACTGTCATCTCCTCCATTGTTATCCTCTCATAGTATTCATCTTAAAATATTGAAGGCTTTCTTACTTTTTAACAGAAGTGTGCATGGACTCAATTCAAGACAGCTATCCACTCTATATCTCAGACTAAAATCACACTGTCTATCAATCTGAGTCTCTAAGCAGTAATGTTTGTTAGAGCCAAGATCCAACATATAGCCCTTATTTAGACTGCCAATGCAGGATCAATGATGATAGCTTGAAATCTCTTCAAGCATCTTACTTATTATATTTCAAGTTCTATGTAACCTTTTTTGTGTTTTGTTGATGTTTCAGTGAATTTTTTTAAACTTATTTTAGTAAATTAGCAAAGTGGAAAATTTGCCCAAGCCTAATTGTCTTAAATTATAAGTGAGCACTTTAAGTTGGATTTGAACCTCTCTCACACCATCAGAGTTGAGCAGTGATGTGTTTTAGTCAGGACACTTCTAAGAAAATAATACTGCCTAATCTTCATTTCTTAAATGTAATTGTAGATATAATTTGGGTCTCTACAGAACTTTCACTTATCAGAGAAAAACCTACAAATATACTAAAGGAGAAAATTTCATACTAAACAGACAAAGTCTCTTCAACTCTAACAAGTTTTTAAAAACTTAAGGTCATGTTATATTATCCTATACACAGTTTGTGGAGCCGTCGGCCCTATATTAATGCTAAATTTTCTTCCTTTAGCTCCAGCAACAACAAAAAGAACCCGTCGTCCACATCCCAAACCTAAAATCACACCCCAGCCAGAAGTACCTCACACCAAACTGGGTAAATATGTGGTTTTCGGTTTAAAGAATCTTAGTAGTCTACCTCAGCTGGAACTCTAAATTCTATGCACATCTAATGCATCGGGACATACCCTGTCTCTCTCTTAAGAGTAAAAGCTACTTGTTAAGAAAACATGAGATAGCTGAGCACCTCCTGCTCCCTTCATGGAAATCTTCTCAATTAATGATCATACTTACTTTTCTTGCCATATGATTCCATTTGTGTATTAAAGATAAAGCTGTAAAATGTTGAGCCAGCACAATCAATTCAAATCAACTACTTTTATTAAGTTCCTTTTAATTCCCCAAAGCCATATGGGCCCATATATCAGAAGTAGGAGGTATTTTTTATAATATTTCCCAACCTATTTGCACGATAGTTGTAAACAAAAGCTGTTCCATCACAACCAGGTAGAAAGTAATATAAGGCAGCATGTTTATGCAAACATACGATGATTTCTTGCCTAATACCCAAGCTATATGCTAGCCAAGGCAAATATTTAGAGGATGAAAGATTCAGTATAATTAGGGAGAAATCAGTGTGGAAGTTGCATGAGTGGAGGGCTGAGGGAACAAAGGCTCACAAGCAGGGAGTGTGTTGTAGCTGGCCCCCCAGGCACAGGGTAACTTGTTGACACACTCCTGTTCAGTGGGCCCACAGGATGAATAAAAGAGGGCTGGGGTGTCTCCTCAAGAGCTTAAATTTGATCCAGTGGGCTTTAGTAATTCCTACCTCTGCACAGGATCATGCTTTTGCTGTTCTTAGAAGTGAAGATAACTCGCCTAATAATAGAAAAAACTGAGAGGTGGTTCTTCATCTCATTAAGTAGTGCTGTATTCACGAAAGACTCTCTTAATGAACATAGTCTCAGCTTGCTTTTGGTGATCTGTTAGTATGTGTGGTGAACACACCCTAGTGTGACCCCCAACAATTCCCCCTCCTGGGAGTAATGCCTTTGTATAATCCATCCTCTCCCTCTCCTTCTCACCCTCCTTACCTCCTTCTCTATCTCTCTCTCCTCTGTGCTAGCATGACAGGCATGTACATAGGTACACACACAGGTACACCTAATCAGGGGAGTGACATCCATCATTTTTGCCTTTATTCTATCAGAAGCAAGTCAGAGGTCCAGTGCACACTCAAGAGGATGGGATTGCACAAAGGTTAATACCAGGAGGCAGGAAGTCCTGGGGATCACCAAAGGGTCTGCCACACTGCATTTACATTCAAACATAGGAACTGTCTATTGTATCTGTCATTATTGATTACTGCTTATAACTGATGCTCTTTTGTTTTTTGCTTCCACAAAAGCACTAGTTCCTTCTAAATTCCCAAAACCATATGAGCACATATATAAGAAGTAGGAGGTGTGTTTTATAATGCCACGTATTTTTCTAAGAAAATGACTAACCAGGTTTTCTAGCATATAGGTATTCATGTTAGTTTACATCAGGTAATTAACGAACAATGAGATCTTACTGTTGACATCAGTGAGATGTTGGATAGAGTTCAAAGGCTGTGACTGACTAAATTCTGAATGAAATGAGTGCCTGGTTAAAGTTTGGAGAAAGAGTCAAAGAAAAAAATACATCTACTTTCTCTTGAGTTAAGAACATTAACAATTAACTTTGCAGCCTTAGAAACCTTTTTTTCTTACTGGTAAGATGAATTTTCTGACATTTTATATATTCACAAAATCTCTTTGGTTTCTTTCATTACCTTTGATCAGTTCCTGACACAATCCTCAAACCAATTCTTGGAACTGAGGCTCCAGAGACGACACTAGGTAATGCCATGTTACATCCATCAGCATGTGCTTTTCTTGTTCATTTCCATCCCATTTCATCCCATCATAACCATAGCTTCTCACATGTCACAAGACTTCTATGTCATCCTGTCATTCAATTACTTTTTAATATATTGAAGAGTATTAAAACACTTTCTTGTTTTTTAAGAGAGTCAAGCATGAACTTAGTTCGGTTTATATATCTGCGATGTAACACCTTTGAATTTGCGATGACTTGCTCCCATGTACCATTTTAATCACATTCTTTGTTACTGAGTTTCATAATCAATATGGGGGTGGGAATGAAGGTGTCTATCCCTGATGTAGGCTGAGTAAATTGGCACAGCTGTTGTGTTGTAATGTAGTTATTTTGCAGATCTAAACTTCTACATTTTTACCATCTACATGATTTTGTTTTTGTTTTGCCATCTTATGTAATGATGTGCTCTTGTTTTAGTAAGGAGTAAAGTAGAAAATATGCCAAGGCTGGTAAATTTAAATTATAAGCACCACCATGAGTATGAAATCACCTGTAGCTCCCCCTTCCACCATAACCTGGCAAGGTTTCTGGAACTTTTTTCATTCAAGAAACCCTGTGAGGCCAGGTGTGGTGGCTCACACCTATAATCCTAGCATTCTGGGAGGCAGAGGCAGGAGGATCGCTCAAGGTCAGGAGTTCAAGACCAGCCTGAGCAAGAGTAAGACCCCCGTCTCTACTAAAAATAGAAAGAAATTAGCTGGACAACTAAATCTTTTTTTTTCTTTTAAAAATAAAATTAAAAAAAAAAAAAGAAACCCTGTGAGAAGCTCCTTAAAATACCCTTGGTATATCAATTCATGTTTCTGCGTGAGTTTTGTCCTTTAGAGAAACATAAATGATAGAAAGAGGCACATTATCAAAATAGTAATGAATATTTCATCAAACTCAATTTCCTGAAACTCAAGAAATTATAACAGGTATAATCCTGTCCATAGCTTCTGGAACCCAAAACACCGTGTTAACCTGAGGTTTTCTTCCTTCAGCTCCCAAAGTGCCTGAACGAACTCGTCGTCCACATCCCAAACCTAAAACCACACCAAGGCCTGAAGCACCTCAGACTAAACTGGGTAAATGTGTAGGTCCTGCTCAAGGACCCCTAGGAGCCCACCTCAGTGGGGCCCAAAGAAAGCAGAGTGGCAAGTCAGAGTCCACAGCTCATCCCACATCAGACCAGGCAACGAGGAGCGGGGTGGGGGGAGATGCTGTGGTAGCCAAATCCTCTGTTTTGTCCATTAGGGGCTTCACCCTCAATGTCTATTTAATTTACTTCTCGTTCAATTCTCTTCATCCTTTCTGTATTGAATGTATGTGATAAACCAAAACAGAGAGTGTATGTTCATGCAAATGGGAGTTCATTTTTTGGTAACTATAAAAGTCATGTAAGTCAAGGTAAGGATTCTAGGCAGGTTCTGTTGGCAAACATTTTCTAGAAAGGGCCAGATAGTAAATATTTTAGGCCGTATAGTCTCTGTTGCATGTGTATGTATGTATATATTTATTTATTTATATTTTGTTTTTTTTTATAATCACTTAAAAATCACTCTGGGGAAAGGATAATGGAGAAGTTCCGAAAGGCAGAGTGTGTGGAAGCCAGTTGGAGGGGACAGAGTTTCTCCGACTGATGGAGGCTGTCAGGCTTCTAAGTGGCCCCAGAGGACCAATAAGAAGAAGTTCAGAATGCTGGACTGTGAGGAGTCTGGATTCCATCTAAGAATCATTAGTATCCGTAGGGTCAAGCTTTCTCTGGGTGTTGGACAGATGGATGCCCGATATACCATAGACTGAGTGGCTGTCTTGTATCTTGCTCTCTTAAGAACCCAGGTGGGACAAAGCTCATGTTCTGTTTCCAAAGATGAGTTTTCAGCAAGATGGGTATGGTCTACTGTGGTATCTTAGTTAGGCTCAGATCACCAAAGAATGAGAAAAACTTCTAGGGTACTTCACATGGGCTGTTATCTGAATACAAAATTGATGGCACTCTCTCCTAAGAGTTAAACTGGTGCCAAGGGGAGAGGCACCAAATCCCCTCAGCTCAGAAGGGTAATCGTGTTTGCTTTGTGCTCTGAGCACATCAGATCCTGGTAAAATTCTTTTTGAAGTGCATGTTCTGAGTTTTTATAAATATTTAGTGTTTCAATGTTTTTTGGTTTTTTTTTTTAATTATTTTGCCAGTTCCTGCTACAGTCTTTGAACCAGTTTCTCCTACAAGAGAGACTCCAGAAACAGCACTTGGTAATGCTACTTTCTGACCTTCAGAAAGCGCTTTTTCTGCTCGTTGTCAAGCTCATTCCACTGTATGTTGCCATCCAGTTACATTTTTCATTTTATGAGGGTTGAGCATGCATAAAACAAGTTGCCAGGCCTAACTATTGTGGGATCTCTTCCTGCCCTATAACTGACTGAAAATTTGCTGTGTGTCACTTTATGTTTTTGGCATAATCAGAATTCTCTGTTAAGGTAAATTTCATATATCCTTGATAGTGTCTGACCCTGATCTATCCTAACCAGGCTGTAACACAGAATATTCTTTATATACTCTTTGTACATCTACCTTTTGTATCTGCCTTTTATTTTTGTTGTTTTGTTAACATTTTGTTATTATGTTTTTAGTAAATTATCTAACAGAAAATGTAATCAAAGCTTATCAGTATGAATAATAAGCCCCATTCTTAGTGTGAATCTGATTCCTCTTAGTCTCCATCATAGTTAGATTATATACACACACACACACACACACACATACATACACACACATTGTTTTTTGAGACAGGGCTTAGCTCTGTCCCCTGGTATAGAGTACAATTGCATGATTGTCACTCACTGCAGTCTCAAACTTGTGGGCTGAGCTCAAATGATCCTCCTGTCTCAGTGTCCAAAAGTTCTGAGATGATAGGCATGAGCCACCACACCTGGCCTAGATGATTTTTAACCTTTTAAATCCAGGCAAGGAATTTTAGGAGAATGTGATTTAAAAATATCAATTCTGACTCTCTGAATTAATAACTTCATTTAAAATGTCAATTTTACACTCAAACTATCTTGAATAAAAAGAAAATAAAAGCGTAGTAGTAGCAAAAATTTTGCATTAGAAAGATATGTTTTCTGAAGCTCAGGAATAACTTATGAAGCTTTGGAAAATTTGAAGATTTTGTAAAAGCCTATGATTTGTAGAACCATAAGCCTTAAAATAATTAAAGGTTATCTTTTTCTTACCTCCAAAAACCTCCCAATGGGCATATTATTCACAGCACAAACTTAAAACCACTCCAAGTCCAGCCATAACTGAGACTACACCAAATAAATACAGAGAAGCCTAGAAACCTGTTACTATTTGAAATGGAAACCCACACACTCCCTTGTGAGGGCACCCTGAGGATCCTTTATACCCCAGGGTTGGCAAGGAGTATATGTTTAGTAGACACCTGTAGGATCTTCCCTCCAACTGCATAATAAGAGACATGTTTTACTTCTCAGTCTGTAGACTAGTTAAGCACAAAACCTTTTTGTGCATGAAAAGTCTGGAAAATGAGAATAAAGCAGGGAGTTTTAGCAAATTCAAGATTTTTCTTGGGTATATAAATGTTAAGTGTTAGACTCATTATAAAATCTTGAAGTAAAATATCCATGTGGGTTTCAATACAGCAGGAAGAAAGTTTTGGCCTTGAGGTCACATCAGAATATGTACAAATGGGGAGGTGAGAATGAGCAAAGATGAAAAAAATAGAATATGTGTAGAGGCAACCAGAGAGGGCAGAGATCTTACTCACTGAGTCTGCCATTGCTCTATGAGCATCAGAAACCTCTTCTTTTCACACTGGACAATGTTTTCACCCAGCAGAGAATAGACAAGTGATTTACTGGATGCCACAGACTAAGTGGCCGCCCCTTACCCAGTCATCTTGAATACCTTTGTTTGAACAGAAATGACAAGCTGTTTCCAAAGCTGAGTTCTCGGCAAGACCATAAGAGTTCATCATAGTCATTTTTAGTTATTTGTGTAGTGACTGCTTGGACATTGCGAACTTTTTCTGCAACCATAATTTGATAAACATAGTAGATATTCTCTTTATTCAGCATCTTCTGGTGTAAATTAGTTTTTTACCTGCTTGAGAATGGTTAGAAACCTATTTAAATAAATTCCTGAAAATGTCCTAAAGTCTTCTGTGTTATATTCGGATAGTCAAGCAGTATAACCAGAGAAATTGTTTGCCTCATGTGGTGCTACACAGAGAGGTATGAGATGGCATGGCTGGCTACAACTTGGCCGAGGCTGACAAAATGATTGATTTCCCTTTGAATTAGTTTCCTAAGGCTACCATAACAAAATAGGACAGATTAGGTGGTTTAAACAGCAGAAATCTTTTCTCAGAGCTCTAGAGGCTGGTAGTTCAAGATCAAGGTGTCCACAGGTTTGGTTTCTCCTGAGGCCTCTCTCCCTGGCTTACTGATGGCTGCCTTCTCTCTGTGTCCCCACATGGCCTTTTCTCTGTCTGTGCATATCCCTGATGTCTCTTCCTCCTCATATAAGGCCATCAGTCTTACTAGATTAGGGTCTCACTCTTATGACCTCATTTAACCTTGACTAACTCTTTAAAGTTCCTATCTCCAAATATAGTCACTTACAGGGATTAAGGCTTCAACATATGACTTTAGGGGGAAAATGCAATTCAGTCCATAATGCCCATCATCCAGAAATTTTTAAAAAATTATCGTAGGGGCAATGTTATAGTAGCAAAATTCATTTTGAAGTGAATTATTGTAGCTCTTCCTACAATGTTTTTTAAAAACTCTCTATTTCATTACTTCAGTTCCTGCTACAAACTTTGAACCTGTCAATATTATAACCGAGACCCCTGGGACAACCTTAGGTAATGACCCTGCCATTACTAGGCTGCTTGCCATGTTCTTTTGCTGTTCATTGTGCAATCCATTCAGTCTCCATCCCTGTAACATGGCTTTTGTCCTCTGTGAGATACTGAACATTGTCTCCTTTTGCCATTCGTTCATTTTGATCATGTGACGAATCCTGAAGCCTCTTAAAAACAAGTTTCCTGTTGTTTTTATGAGAGCCAGGCATGGGCTTTGTTCCAAATGTTACCTGCCATGTGGTGCATTTGAAATTGTCATGTCATCTTATGCTTCGTTTAACAGTGTTCTGTATTGACACTGCATTTAAAACAAATTGGGATTTACTTCTTATCTAGGCTGATCAGCAATAATGACTACTCCTATGCTCCTTTGCACATCTAAGTTTCTACATTTAGAAAGCTATTTGTGTGGTATGTTTGTTTCTTTGTGGGTGCTTTCAGTAATGGTATATGTTATTACTAATTTGACAAATAGGAAATTACCCAAATCTGAAATTTTAAATTATAAGCCTCTTCCCTAGTGTGACCCTAACTTCCTCTCTTCTTTCAATGAACACTGTCTCAATCATTGCTCTCAATGAGGAATTTCATGAATTTCTCAATATAAATGCTAATCTTCATGCCTTGGGTGAGCAACTCAACTGTATACATGAGTTTGTCCCCAAAGTACTACCAATGATAAAAAGAAAACACATTGGCGTAAAAGAAGTGAAAAGTAAAACTAAAAAGACAATTTCCTGGAACTTTAGGAAATCTGGCAAATTTGGGGGAAAACTCTCCTTAGTATACAGTACCATAAGGCCTAGAGTAATACAAGGCTTTTCTTTCTTCAGCTACAAAAACATCACAAAGAACCCGTCGTCCGCGTCCCAGACCTAAAACCACACCAACCCCTCAAGCACCTCAGATCAAACCGGGTAAATGTGTGATTCGTTGGTTTAAGGCTGAACCTTGGCAGCCTGTCCTGGGGGACCCAAAGCAATGACTGTTCTTTGAAACTATATATTTAGTATATTTCTTACTATCAAATTCCATTCAGATCTTAAAGGTAAAACCTCTTTAGCAGAGCCAACGTGTTCAGTTTAAGTAAATAAAGTCTGAGTCTTGTGTATTCCTGTTCCCACATTGGTGACCATGGCTGATGCTCCAACTGTAGGAGACTTATTCTACTTCTAAAACAGTAGAATTGAGGACATGCTTGCTGAATACAAGCATGAAGTAATGATCTAGCAAAGGAAAAGATCAAGGTGGGCTGGACTTGGACGTTGGACCCACTATAGGATTTGGATGAAAGGAGGGAAGAATGAAGCAAGGCAGAAGGACTGAATGTGTGTGAAGGTCAGCCAGGTGGCAGTCCAGTCTAGATGTACTACTTCTAGATGGCCAAACTATGGCTGTTGATGATGCTTCATTTGGAAGCATATATCAAGCCAGTTGGAGGATTTTGAGGAACTGATTCAGGTGCTTAGATAGATACAGAGACATCTAAAGTCTTTGTCCACTTTTTCTGAGCTGAGGGCAGACAGCATTTCCACTGGATATTACAGACAGTGACTGTCTTTATCCTCTTATGTACCATAGTTTAGACAGAGGCCTCAGACTCTGACCATAAACGAGTTCCTGGCAAGATCAACATAGTTCACTTTGATTAATTTTTTATATCTATTTCAAACTTATAAACAGTCTATTGCATCCAAGTTTACTTATACATACTGCTCATGTTCAGAAGTACAGGGTAATCATGTTTTTTAACATACTGTCTAAGTGTATATTACATAAATGCATTAAAATATTTTCCAGTGCAGTTTTTGGTATCAGTTAATATTCATTAGTTAAAGCCAAGGAGAATTTCACGTGGAATTCTTTAAGCTGCTCAAGATAGTTCAAAAGCTAAGCCTAAGACTGACCATGACTATAGTTTGGCCAAATCCTCTTGGTGAAAAAGCTAATTTTTTCCTTTATTTTTCTAGAAAAATCAATATATTAAGATTTGTTGGCATGCAAATTCTCTAACTTCTCATACATTTTAAAATATCTTTGACTTACTGTGTTTTTGATCAGTTCCTGCTACAGTCCTAGAACCTGTGACTCTTAAACCTGAGGCCCCACAGACAACATTAGGTAATGTTAATACATTGCATTTTCAACAAGTCGTCTGCTTATTGTCAAACCTGGAGTTTCAATTTGTCTCGTGTGACAGCATTGTCATTCTTTGTGGCCATTCGATTATATTTTTCTTAAAATTATGAAGACTTTAAATTATCTGTTGTTTTTTAAGAAAACCAGCTAGGTATAAACCTACCTGAGGACATTTATTTGCCATATGACCTACTTGAAATTGTGTCATGGCAGTCTGTATGTTGTTTAAGCAGTGTTTGTGATAAAGCTGTGTTTCAAACATATCACAGGTCTCTATCTCTTATCTAGATAGAAAAAGTCATCAACAGCTCTCATAGGGCCAAGAGGATTCATTGTGCATCTATATTTGTACCATTTTTCCTACTTATATAGGATTTTATTATTTTATTTCTATTAAGGTAATAATATGTTCTTATATTAATAGTTATATAGAAAACATGCTAAAGATCAAAATATTAAATTATAATTCCAGATTCAGTGGGGCTGTTCTTCATTATCGGTTCAAATTAAGCAATGGTTCTTAACCTTTTCAATGCCTAGTCAAGCTGCCCTATGAGGCTTTGATTACGATTACTATCTTTATTTCTTGAGTTACAAAGTGATTTGGGTCTTCAGAGAATTTTCTGTGATAAAAGATCTGTAAGGATACTTCTTTTAACCTAAAAACATCTAATAATCTGTAGAAAGTCTGGAGTCATGTTGTCACCTACCATGGCTTCCAGAACCATAGGAAATGTAGTTACGTAGTAACCTGAGAATTTCTTCCTTCAGCTTCCAAAACGTCGCAACGCACGCGTCGTCCACGTCCCAGACAAAAAACCACACCGAGTCCTGAAGCACCCCAGTCCAAACCAGGTAAACCATGTGTTCCTGGTTTAAAGAGTCCCAGCAGCCTAACCCAGCAGAGTCTCAAGAGTAATCTCAGTGGTTGGGAGTAACCGATAGGCCCCTGTGGGAGTGAAGATACAACTCGTGGTCAGCGACAGGTCCCACTGCCTCATTCTTCCCGTGTGCAATCTTCTCTATCACTGTGTATTTTATTAACTTCTGTTTAGCTCTTTAAAATAAAACTTCTTTAGAAAATTTAGGCATATTTGGTTCAAATCAACATTTATGTAGTGCTTTCTGTGTCTTCCAAATCCTATTAGCACCTTTAGGTTAGGTGTATGCATCAGATGTGGGAGACATGTAAGTTCTCAAACCTGCAAGATAGTTGAGAACAGAAGGCTTGCCTTAATAAATAAAGTGGAAAATGGCATTAGGCAGTATCTGTACAAATATAAGATTGGTTTTGGAGTGTTACCAACAAGATGGGCTGGATACATAAATCTTTGGAGCAGAGAAGCATAGATTTAAGAGGGAGCTGGAGTCTTGAAATCACTGTAGTACATGGATTAGTAGAAGGGTGGGAGGAATAAAATCATAAAGAAGAGACCTAAGTAGAGACCAACAAGAGGAGAGAGTCTAACTGGAAAACTTACATAGAGGTGTCTGTCTTTGAGACAATACTCAAAACCTTTCTGTGTGTCATTGGGTCCATGGATACCCATGGTGGAGAGGCCTAGGCGCCTTGTGGAGCAGTTGAGATTTGATCTAGAAGACATCAGCAGGCTCTTCTTCCTCCTGAAGGCATGCGCTCTCTTTCCTTGGACTGGAGGGATACCCTACTTGATCCATCATGCTGAGGCCTCAGTCTCTTTCCAAAGATGAGTTCTTAGCAATATCCATACAGTCCACTTTGGATTATTATTTAAGTAATCAAAGAATGAGGAATAAGAAAATAGGTGCCTGACTTAGGTATGGCCAAATTTTAGGAAATCAACTGTCTGCTTTTTCAGTTCAACAGTTTTTGAAAGTTGCTATATATATATATATATATATATATATATTTCTATAAATCATGTTATATTAGTAAGATTAATTTTGAACAAAAAGTTTTGAGTTTTATTCATTTAAAACAATCATTTGGCTTACTTTAATGCTTTTGGTCAGTTCCTACTGCAGAGTTTGAACCTGTTACACTCAGAACTGCGACTTGGGTGACAACACAAGGTAATAACACATTGTGATCCTCAGTGTTCTGCCTTCTCATTGTCAAAGCCATTCCATCAACATCATAGCCACAGATTCTTCCACTTTGTAAGACTATGTCATCATCATCATCTATTGTCATTCCATTATATTCTTCATCCTAAAACTATTAAAAACTCTGACTCTTAAAACAAGTCGCTGCTTGTTTTTAAGAGAGCCATGCATGAACCTAACTCTGGTTATCTTTGGGGCATGTAACCATCCGAAATTGTTTTTTCATCTTGTGTGTTTTTTAACCAATGTTTTATTAAAGGTAATTTTAAAAAGCAACTTTTTTATTCTAACAATTATTGTGGTGCCAGGGAGTTTCTTTGTGGATCTGAAGTTCTATCTATTTATTTATGCTATGTGATATTCTTTGATATTTTAGTTGATTATGTGGTTTTATTTTAGTAAACCGTCAAAGAGCTTGTAAGTGACCACTACTGCCAGCAGCATGGTATTTTAGCAGTTTTTTATTTGATGAGCCCGATTAGCTGTTCTTCTCTTCTTGAATTAATGATTTCATTTTATATATGAAACATCCTCCTAATGCACTTTCAATTGTAAAAGCAGACACACTATTATAATAAGGGTAAAAGTTTCTAAGTAAATAGTTGAGATGAATTTCCTGAAATTCATCTCAGGAAAATTCAATTCAGGAAAATTCAGTAAGTTTTGAAAATCTAGAGTGGTGTGTCGTACTACCCTTAGCTTCTGAGCTAGACTCTGTAGTAACTAAAGATTTTCTTTCTTCAGCTCCTAAAACATCAAAACGAACTCGTCGTCCACGTCCCAAACCTAAAACCACAGCGAGTCCTGAGGCTCCTCAAACCAGACCGGGTAAATGTGGGTTTCTGATTAAAGAAGCACATCCTAGCAGCTCTTGGGAATCCATGACTGAGGTGCATGGTGGGAGTGATGCCCGTGTGAGCCTTGTGTGGGCAAAGGCATGAAATGATCTGCTGCTCCCACTATTGAGTTAGCAAAGGAAAGCACATTTTGGGGTGTGGCAGCAGCATTCCTGTGCTTTCTACACAAGGGTCTTCTCTTTTTCTGTGTATCTTATTTACTGATTATTTCATTCAATTCTTCTTTGAAAGACAAGGTAGAACCAAGCATTTTTATTCCTAGAAACAAATATTAAGTGCCTTCTATCTTCCCACAGCCACAGCAACAGCTGTGAGGATATTACAGGAGGAAGCGGTGGCTTATTTGTAACTTCTTGCTCTGTAGTATAGTCAGGGTCAAAACCTGCCCCAGTCTGAAATATTCAAAGATGGAACCAAGGCAGTGTGTGTGCGCAAATCAAACTTGGTTTCGGGGTACTATAAACATCTATGAGCTTAGAGAAAGAGAAGTTTGTGAAGAACAGCAATAAAGAGTTGGAAAGAAGTTGTGTCTTAAAATCTTGGAGATGAAAAGAGGCAGAAAGAAAGGAGGTGTAGAGGCCACTCAAAGGGCACAAGCTTCCTGAAATAAGCAGGATTCTGCTTCCAAGTGGCGATGATAGTGCTCCATTTGGAAGAGTCCATAACAGCAGCTGAAGAAAGCCCTTGACGCTAAGATTCAGAATTTTGCATCTGACCCAAAAAGCAACAGCAATCTCTCCAATCTAGGATACTGCATTTTTGCAATTAGAGCAGAGAGCTACTCTACTGGGTACCGCACACTGATTGTCCTTTATCCTGATTTGTTGAGTGACTTTGCCTCCAATGACATCTCAGCCTATTTCTAAATATGAGTTCTCAACAAGATGAGCATAGTTCACTTTGCTTTATTCTTTGCTATGTTTCCTCTCAAACAGAAAGGCTATTGATTGTATCCATGCTCACATAGACATGCTATTTTCTTAAAGCTTCCACAGAAAAGCCAATGGTTGCCAGCACAGTTACATAAGTTTATATTTGTAAAATATATAGATAAGCTTCTAGGCCGGTCTTCTACAGTAGCTAGAATTAGGTACTTAGATGCCTAGAAAACTAGTGAGTTGGCATTGAGGTGTTTACCAGATTGTGTAAGCTATCCCTGGGTGCCTCTTAAAAGATTGTTTACCTGGCTATAACGTGATCAAATCTTCAAATAATATTAAATTTCATTAAATTTCTTAAAATTGTTGTACATTTTTGAAGCAGTATTATAATAGTAATATTTAATTACCTGATTTTTCACAAGTGTTTATTTCATTGCTTTTAATTAGTTCCTACTACAGATCTTGAACCTGATACTCTTAGAACCGAAGCTCCAGAAACCATGGGTAATGAGAATGTGTGTCCTTCAAGTAGAGCTTTTCCTGCTCATTGTCATACCACTGTAGTCAGATTTTTCTGCATCTCAAGACCATCCCATCATCCTTTGTTGTCATCCATTCCAGTCTTTATCTTGAAACTGTGGTAGGCTCTGTGTCAAGTTATCAGTTGAATTTAAAAGAACTGCATGAACTAATTTCAGGACATCAAACTGCTATGCAGCTGCTCAACTTTGTCTCATGATCATGTGCATTTGTTTAAACAGCATTAATTAACTATTTTAAACTGAATCTCCATCTATCCCTTATCTACACTGCTTATCCCTCTTTAATTGTGGAAATACAATGTTTATTTGCTCATATTATTTTTGTCATATAAGGATCTGTGTGATATATTGGTGGATTTGTTGTTTCAAGGAATGTTGTTTTTAATAAATTGTCAAATTTTAAAATGTACCCAAGTTGAGAAAATATATATGGTAGGCTTCTTTAGTAGTGTAGACCTTTTTCCTCCTTGAACAGGGCTTAACTGTATTTCTTAACTTTTATTTAATCAAGAACTACTTTGAGATTTTGATGCACACAGTTCAATAATTATGAGTTACTCTTTATGCTTTCAAACACACAAAATCTTTGTTGTACCCATAATGATTTAAATAGTAAACAAAAACAGTAGGCATTAATCTGAACTTTTATAGAAGTGCAAGCAGACTGCTAAATGCTTTTTTGGTAGAGTTAGAAAAGCATGTATGAAGTAAGTGTGTAAAAAGCTTGTCCAGCAGTCGTCTACATTAGCAAGGGTTAGGTTATCAGATGTCCAGAACATCTTGTTGACCACATAGTGCTATTTAGCTGAGTGTAATGCTGTCTTGCAAGTCTGTCTTATGAGATTAATGGGTACCTGGCCACAGTTTGGCCAAATCTGCAAAGAACAAGTGTCAGTTTTCTCTTTGTTCTGAAGCTTACGATTGACTTGTGAAATTAATCTGCAAATGAATTTGTTAAATCTCTGGTTTATTTTATTATTTTTTGGCCAGTTCTTGCTACAGTCCTTGAACCTGTCACTTTTAGAACTGAGGCCCCAGAAACAACATTAGGTAATGATATTCAGTGTTCCTCAACAATTTTTCTCTGCTTATTTCCAAACCCATTCCATCATCATCTTAATCACATTGCCATCTGCTTTATGAGACTGTCTCGTCACCCTCTACTATCATTCGGCTTTATATTGCTCCAAAGCTACCTGCACTAAAGTAATCAAAAGTTTCTTCCTTCAGCTCCTAAAACACAACGAACACGTCCACGTCCACGTCCACGTCCCAGACCTAAAACCACACCAAGCCCTGAAGTACCTCAGACCAAATCGGGTAAATGTATGATTCTGTGGTTTGAGGGGTGTACCCTGGCAGCTTGTCCAAGTGGGGCCTAAAGCAGAGCCTATAAAGAGAGGTAACTGGCATCATGTTCTCTATGGATCAAGTTATGCTGTATGGTTAGCAGCTGCTTCTCCTACAGAGCTGTCCAGGAGAATATGGCTTGAGGAAACTTGTGTGCCTGATTTCTTAAATGACTTGGTTTGGATGAAGTTCTTGGTCTCTTTTTAAAGATGTATCTGCAGCAAGATTGGCAGAGTCACTCATGATTATTTATGGCTATATCTGCATTGAAACATATGATCTATTCGTTGTAGCCATGATTATGTTAAGCAGGTATTTTTTCAACTTCCAAGAAATGCAGCAAGTTGCTTTCATATATATTTATATATATATATTCATTTATATGTATTCATTTATATATATATATACACACAATATGTATCCATTTATATATATTGCCTAAACAGATTTCCAAAGCAAACTTCCACATTAGTTACAATCAGAAAGCCAAATACTAGGAAAACCTCACGTGGACAATACTAAAACATACAGCAGAGTTCAAGTCTTGTGACTGCCTTCTGCAATGAATTGTTCTGGCTAGTGTGGCAAAATCTCCAAAAAGCAGCTATTTGCTTCGAAATTCCAAAGTTTTTAAAAAATTTTATTCGAAACTCATGTTTTAAGAAAAAAACTAATAGTTTTCATGTGTGTTTAAGCTTTCTTATGTTCATGTTGTTGCTTTTGGTTAGTTCCTGTTCCAGGCTTCGAACCTGTCATTCATAGTACTGAGGCTCCAGGAATAACATTAGGTAATAATTTTTGAGACTTTTGTTGAATGCTTTATCTTGCTGATTAAAAACCCACTCATGACTATCATGACCGAGCTGCTCCTGCTTCCTGAGACTGCTGTTGCCATTCCATTTTACACTTCCTCCTATGAGTAGTCAGGAGTCTTAACTCAAGTGTTACCTGTTTTTAACAGATGTCCCTGGATTCAGTGAAGGGCATCCCTCTGCTGCGAAACCCTCATTAAAATTGCACCATATGATTCAGTGTTAAATCTGAGGTCCAATTGTTCCCCTTCTATCTGATACTTAGATTTATAAAGCAACAACAATTAAGCACCATGAACTCCCCCTCAGTAATTTACTTTCTACAAGATCTTATGTGCTATTCTCATCATTCTCTTCTTAAAGAACAAGATGTCCCCATTAACAACAGCAAAAAGTTTTTCCATGAAAGTTCCAGGCTCCTCAATCATCAATGAGCCAGAGTTCTCCTCTTCTCTGCCACAGTTTAGCAATGGCTCTTAATCTTTACTGAGCAGGGATCCTTCTGAGTATCTATGCATATTAATATTTAGTTTTTTAATTAACTCATAAACTTTGTATGTGATTTTGGTCTCTAAAGGAGCCCTCAGTGATAAGAAACAAAATCATATTTTTTAATTTAGGAAATAAACTCAAGAAAATTCTAATATATTTTAGAAAACACAGATCCATATAAAATGCTGTTAATGGTTTCTAGACCTATAAACACGATAGCAACCCAAGATCTTCTTTCTTTAGTTTCAAAAACACAAAGGTAGATGGGAGGGAAGCCCCAATCAACCTCCTGCCAACATTAAACTTCCTGAAGCTTCTTGGTTGAAATAAGGAAAACTGATAATTTCTGGAGTAAGGAGTCCTTCTTGCATGTTGCATTTGGGTCCCAGGAATGACAATAAGGTGGCTTGAACATCCCACCCCTATGCCTTCTGAGAGAAAAGGTGCTAATAATGGACAACAGTTTGACAACTGCAGGGTTCATCATTAAGTTCATTGTTGAGGGAGATCTATGTTGCGACTAAATTCATCTTGTATACCCTACGTAAAGATCATCTCTAACGAAGGATGCATCTTACTCAGTTTTCTTATACCATTTCATTCATCCCTTTTTAGACTCTGCTGTTGCTTTTGCTTAAGTAACAGTCCTTTTCTTGCTTTCTCTGTCTCCAGCACCATATTAGCAGTGGAGTAGGATAGGATAAGGAGCAGAGGTGGAGATGAAAAGTAAGGGCATGTTTCACCTCTTAAACAGAGTGCCATGTGGTTGTAAAGAACACCTAAGGTTTTCTTAGGTATAGTTTTCTAGATGTAGAACAATTTGCCTATACAAGAGCAGCCTAACAGAGTTGTAAAAATAGAAATTATTCAAAGGAGTCAAGAATAATTGTGGGCCAACAGTAGTTGGGCTTTGAAATAATTATAGGATTTAGATTAGTGGGTGGGAGAGTGGGAACAGCAAAAATAAAACAAAAAGTCTCAATACCTGTTGAGGGTAGCCAAGGAGGTAGTGAAGCTGAAATATAGAACAAAACACTCTTAGATAATATTCAACATTTTGTTAATGTTACTGTCATGAGATCAGCTATAGAAACCTCTTAGAAAGCCCTCATGGGAATTAAGGTTCAAATATAATAGTACATGAGAACCTAATTTTGCCAAATAGGCTCTTGCTTTTCCAGAAGGATTCTTTAAGTCAGGGATAGGCAATATTTTTGTGGAGGGTTAGAGAGTAAATGTTTTAGACCTTGTAGGTTGATCAGTCTCTGTCACAACTACTCAATTTGCTACTGTAGCTTAAAGGCAACCAAAGCTGATAAGATAAATTTGACCTGAATCATTCTAGTTTCTGATGTGGCTTTGTTCCAATAAAACTTTATTTGAATTTCATACCATTTTCACATGTCATGAAATACTCTTCATTTTTTCCTATCATTCACAAAATGTAAAAACTATTCTCAGCTCACAGGCCAGGCAGAGGACTGAATTTGGGAAGGACATAGTTTGCTGACCTCCACTTTATATAGTGCACAATCTGCATGGCTTTCCATTACCTTGTGCTTTCCACATACCTGTGTATTTCAGTTCATTACCACTTCTGTCTAAACATTGTGAAATAGATTATTCATAATTGTTTTTACAACTTAAACCCTGTCCTTACAGCTCACACTGAAATGCAAACTCTTATTTTGAAACCAGTGACATCACCAAGCCTAGAAATGACACAAAGTCAACCTGGTAAATAGACTCTTTTATCTGTCTGGGTACACTGTGAGCGTCAGGGAACACACTATAATCCTCTAAGCATTGTATTTACAAATATAAAAAGTCATATTTGGAAATGATATAATACACATTTAATAGCTCTCTATAAATATTGTACAATGCTCTTTCCATGATTGTATATTGGTGTTAAATTAGCAATACATTATATTAATATTATGTTATTCAACTGTATAAAAATACTAAGTTTGCTCTGCATCATTTTAGAAAATCACCTATCTGGTTAAGTGGTCAATCAGAAGAACTGATTTTATACTTTATTTTTCATTAACAATCACAAATTTGTGGTTCTCTTTAGTGGTAAACTAAATTTGTGCTCTGCTTTTGTCTGAAAAAAAATTATAGTTGTGACCATCAAGAAAGGACAAAATTCTCACTTCAGCAAAGATAGTCTTCTGTAAAGACTTACCCTCAAAATTGGAGACAAATTGTTTAAATTGGTGTTAGCAATGCTGTTGCTATTTCCTGACATTTATTTTGAAGCACTGGATCCAATTTTTTTCTAGCATAGGATTGTAATTTATTTTTGTCCCTTTGAAGTATCCTCTAATTAGATAAATGACATTTGGGTACTCATGTTAAAGGTACAAAGTATGGCTGTTAATGGTAAGCTACAACAGTTAAAATATTGTGAGTTCAATGCAGTTATTAGAGCTCCTCTTAGTGTTATTGATAATGTTATTGTAACAGTTAACACTGAGTACTTGCTAGGTACACGGCATTTTTCTAAATACTTAAGTTTGTATTAATTCATTCAATGCTCACAACAACCCATCCTTGATCAATTGTACTGTTTTGTGTTTTTTTGCTAGCTTCTGATGTTCTGGAATCGGTTACATTTAGCACTGAGTCATCAAAGGAGACTATAGGTAAAAAATGTCTCCCAATGGGAAGTCAGGCATATGTGCTTTTCCATCTCATTGCAAAGGTCATCTTTGGATGTCCTCATGCTTTGTAACATTTCATAGCCTCCTGCCCGTGCTCATCCACTGGGTCTTGAAAGACAAGATATATAACACATCATGCTAGTGTCTGCTGCATTGCTAAGCGAGGTTCAGATTTACCTTATTTACTTTCTTCTCACTCTGAGTGCCAAATTTAATCTTTTAATACTCTGGTCACTCTTTCAATATGAATATGTACATCTTATTTTTCATTTTTATATCATTTTTAGGATTCATGCTTTCAAGGGACTCACTCTATGTCTTTTTCTTACCAAATTCCTTATACCAAATATGCAAGGAAGTGAAATTATACGTTTTGCTTCAGGTAGAAATTGCTGTAGACTCCGCCAGTTCGCGTGTGTGCGTGTGTGTGTGTGTGTGTGTGTGTCTCCCACACAGCATGCTGCCTTCTCTTCCTGCCTTCATTTCTGCCTTCCTCAACTGTAGCCATCTTTATAATCTACCAATATGTTACTCTCAAGAATGTATCTGCTTAAAATAGCTAACCTCTGTTTGCAGATTACATGCAGGATTCCATTACAGCGTACTTGGGGCTGCCCACCACTAACCAGCCATTCCCTGTTTCTTCCCTAGCACCTGCCGAAACAGATTATGTATCTCCCACTGCCAAAGCACCACTCAGGCCAGAGGAGTCAAAGACTGAAGGTGGTAAAGGTTTACATGCTTTAATTTGTTATTCAACACATTTTTACTTGGCATATGCTACATCCATGGAACATGAAAGTTCTAACCATAGTACTTGATCTACAATTGAACAGATATGAAGAGCCATAGGTTCCAACATTCTTGCATTCTTAAACTGGTAATTAATGCTCTGAATACAGAAACAAACTCCTGTTTGTCTGCCAGTATCTAAAGATTGAGGCATAATAATGTTTGAAAGCCAGCAAATGACAGTTATAACAGAAGTATTGGTTGGAGGATTAGTATTATAGAAATTTCTTCCTGAGTCTCTCTTTTTTACTAAATCCATTGTGCTATCTGTAAAATGATGATGAAAATTCTTTAGAGAACAAGGTATTTACATTCAAGAAAGAAATACTTGACTATAGCTTAATATCTTACAGTTTTTAAAATTGTTCTCCTTTGTTTTGATACAGTTGTGGAATTTGTTACATATGTGTCTGAACCACCTGAGACCACATTAGGTAATAGCCTCACCAGCCCAACCTTGTGTGCTTTCTGTCCTTGTTGCCACCATCACTGGAGAACCTCAGGGTCTCTCTCATTGTGAATTCATGTTGCACCATCATTCTTTGTCATGGCAGTTACTTTTCTTTCTAGGTGCTCCTATCCATAACCATTGTCCAAACATGGCTCTCCTCCCATTCAGTTCTGTATCAAGACCTTGCTCTCTTTTTCTACTTAAGTCAGCAAAACTTGAATCTATAGCATCTTTCCCCCTAACATTGAACATGATGCCAGCATGGTATTATGTTGAATGTTTTAGATCATACATTTTTTGTATGATGATCCATTTATACATTGACCTAGCAACATGCTGTCAATTAACATTCATTCCATCACTTTCATTTCCATGCTGGATTTTTGTTCACTATGGTTTAATTGAAATTCAGTGTTTCTTAACTAGCTCATGCTGTAACATTTTTAAATTACTTTTTCCCTCCATAATTCCTATTGAATATATCTTTCTACCATTATTGAGGAGGTAGGATCCAAATGTGGTGTGAGGATTTCAAAAGTACTTTGTAACCTGGCATCTCTAAGTTTTTTTTAAGCCAAATTATAAAGAAGTCAGTCTGAGGTATTTTGCTGCAAATTTACAATTTTCCTTATTTTTAAAAATCTATTTGTTACCATCCTGTGTGTCATCTATATTCAAGCTGTGTCAAGCACTATAGTAACTTAAGTACTTTCCTTCAGTTGTCATAGAAGCATCACCTCTGCCTTCTGAACCTATAATCCTACCCAGCCCAGATGAGCCTCAGACTGAACCTGGTAAATACATTATTTTGTATTTCATGTATGAGGTGAGTGTTTGCAGAATGACAATAAGGTCACTTCTAGATATTGAAGGCCCTGACTTCCTCACTCTGCTCACAGTCTTTGATGGGTGATTCTATCTGTCTAATGTCTCACTTTCTTCAATAAGCACCCGACTGGCCGTGTTGTGAATTTTCTTTAAGATATGACAGAAAAACACCTACTCTGCAAGTGTTTAATTTAGGAAATAGGAATGTTTCTGAGGAAGAACATTTATATTCTATTTACATATATTCTAATTTTATTTACTTTATCATCTTGACTAGGTTCACAACTTCTATGGTCATGTAAAAAGTATTTTAAGATATCTAATTTGTGTTTGAAGTTAAGAGAAACCTCCAGAAACAGGATTCACTGTTCAATACACATAAAAGGAGAGTATTACTGGCCAGTCACCTCGTAATTATTTAGGTATCATACTTCTTTCCTCTCCTTCCTACAACGGTTTGGCCATTTCGCTGTATACAAATAAGAGAAACTGAAATTAAACCAATTACTTTTGCTGGTCATAAAGGTATGAGACAGTGGAGTTTGAAATGAACAAAAATAAATCATCAACATGGACAACTAAATGTGCCTCTTGTTGCAAGGAAAACTCTCAATAGCTATAGGTTTCCATGAAACAGAAGTTTATCTTAAATAAGCCCAAACTTCTGTTTTGATTGTCATTATACTATTTTATATGGTTCTATTTCCAAGGGAGATGTGAATATTAATTTTACTCATTATCCTCTGGAATGTCCTACTAAGCATTGCCTATAAACTCTACAGTTTAAATTTAATCGGTAGAAAAAATTCTACCATGACTACATTAATTGACTCTGTATCAGCTGTATCTAACTTTTCTAGTTTTGTTTTTAATAGCTATAGTAATTATCAAAACGTCTAATTGCAAATATTGCTACTAGTGACTCTTATTCTCTATCAATTTTCATGGAATTGCTTCATGACATGTCTTTACCTTCAAGTGATCTTTCTTATACCCGGAGGGAAGCAAATAGCATATCAGATCTTCAGTAAGCAAAGAAGTTGAGATTCAGAAAATCACAAGAGTGTAAGAAACTAGAATCATAGGATTTGGGGTTCTTAAAAACTGTGTAACTTTTGATGGAAAACCTGAGACTGTAGACCCAGTCATTAGCAAAGGGAGCTCTAAACCCCCAAATTCCAGGTTTCTAAACCAGTAAACATATCCTGGTGTTCATCTCTCTGCAAACGAGAAGATTCCACTGAAACCACTGTATATCTTATATATTTTGATTTAGTATCAGAAAGAACCCTCTACAGAGTCCTTCAGAAATTTCTGGTGTCTAAAAACTCTTATTTTCAGCAATCTTTTGTTAAGGTGTCTGAAACTGCATGACATTAACACCATTTTGTTTCTTTTTCATCCCAAACACTAGTTCAACCAAATCAGGTGTTTCCGTAAGCTGCAAACTTGCATCTGATAATTTCTTTCCTTTAACAGGATATGCTTTTAATTTTCTTGATGAAGAAACAATTGGTTTTTACACTGAATGCCCTAGAACTTCTTTAGGAATTGCCCAGGAAAGGAATAACTCTTCATTGAAAAATATCCACAGTGTTCAATTTCTCTTCCCTAACAACCAACAGAAATTGTGTTTTGTTTGGCAGATTTATTTTTTCCATTAGCACTTGCTGTGAAAATACATTCTATATTTGGACTATAACATGGTATTTTGTTTTTTATTTAGAAAACATTGTATGTGTTTGCTTTTAAATAATATACCTGGATATTCTGATAAAATGATGTGAACTTGTAATAAGGAATTCTTATGAAATTTATTTTCAACCTATTTAAAAGGTATTTGATGAAGCTATTTCTGAGGTTCCAACAGTTTCATTTTGCCAGCTGAATATCTTGGATGTCATTTAATGTGCTTTTTTTGTTTTGTTTTCCATTATATACAAAAATTATCTTCGTATACTTACCTGATCTTTAGGAGCTTTCATTGCATTAATTGCTGTGAATTTAGATCTTCAGTCACTCCACAAATGTCTCTGAGCTCCTAGAGGCTTAGGTACTGTCATTCTTGAAGGCCTCAAGAGCTCCGAACCTATATCCTTTCTTTTAGCTCCCAAGCAGACACCACGTGCTCCTGCCAAGCCAAAAACATCACCACACCCAAGAGTGCCACAGACGCAACCAGGTAAATATGTATTTTATATTTTAACTTGAAAAGTTTAAGGTTAATGGGCTTATTCTGTTGAATGACAGCAGATTGAGTTTAACCCTTATAAAACAAGTTGTCCTCCGTAACCTAGTAAATATTTAAATTTATTTTTAGACATGATCAAAAAGCTCATCATTGGAAGAGCTTACTCCACAGAGCTTCCCTAATGTTACGTTATTTGATATGGGATAGACAGGAATGGCATTTCTTAGAATGAGGCACCTGTCTACTCCCTTTTCTTCTCCCAGCCTCAGACTATACTCCTATGCCTCCCTGTCTATGCCTGAATGTGATTTCTCTTGATAATCATCTAATTTGAAATTTTCATCAATAGTTTGCCTGCCTACAAAAAATATCTGAGGTATGTCCATCCAGTATACCAGGAAAGGAATCTTTACTACCACTAATGATCTAGGGAAAGGAAAATGTTTAAATCATCAAAATTATACATGATCTAGGTAGTGATTCTGGATTCCGCCACAAATACTTTAGTCATATCTCAGAATTTGTTCTGAGAAAGAAAAAAAAAAACTATAGTTTAGGTATGGTATCTAGTATCTGATTCTGAGAGAAATTTTACCGATCAATTTTTTTCTTTAAAGGAAAATTCCCTAAACGACTATTCTGTGTTCCATGTCTAGCTAATGAGTTTAAATCTGCCTTATTTCATATATTTTTAACATATCAACTGCCCTGTAAAAAAATCAGAAACTTTTCCTTGGGGCCACAATGTTTTGTTACAAAAATAAAATAAGAATTTTGAGTATAATTAAACTTAAACATAAATAGAAAAATGAAATTTATTGACTTCTGTTTCTTTAATCCACATTTTTAGAATTGTCAATATTAATTACAACAATAAAAACATCAACAAATAATATTTTATATATGCTTCATGCAGACCCAGGGTCAAAACTAGGGTGATTTAAATACAACTTTCATGGGAAGTAATATATTAAATCTGATCTAATTAATTACTAAAACTTAGATATGACAATAATATATCCTGATACATAAATACATAAAGATACCAAGGCAACATTCCCCAAAAGAATAAGAAATTTTAAATAACAACAATGAATACATTTAAAACATTAACATAGAAGAAGCACTGGTAAAAATAAGTAACAATTAGTGAATAATGAATAGAATAGGAATAAAATATATCAAAATTTAAAAGACAAACCAAGTTATTAAATAAAACACGTATATTAAATTTGTTGATAGGCTACTAAAATCTAACTTTAAAAATCAACAGATAGGGGCCAGGCGTGGTGACTCACGCCTGTAATCCTAGCACTCTGGGAGGCCGAGGCGGGCAAATTGCTCGAGGTCAGGAGTTCGAAACCAGCCTGAGCGAGAGCAAGAGCCCGTCTCTACTATAAATAGAAAGAAATTAATTGGCCAACTAATATATATAGAAAAAATTATCCAGCCATAATGGTGCATGCCTGTAGTCCCAGCTACTTGGGAGGCTGAGGCAGCAGGATTGCTTTAGCCCAGGAGTTTGAGGTTGCTGTGAGCTAGGGTGACGCCACGGCACTCACTCTAGCCTGGGCAAGAAAGTGAGCCTCTGTCTCATAAAAAGAAAAAAAAAATCAACAGATAAAATTATATGGGGAAGTTCCCAACTTTTTATATGAATATAAAGCATAGAACAAGAGTAAAGAAATGAGCAGTGGAAATAAAAAGCATGGAAACTTGATGAATGTCAGAATATAAGAGAAAATGTGGAAAAAAAAAAAGAAATACCAGGAGTTAAGACATTCAGGCTATAAATTCCTGATTAGGAAAAAAATGTTTTAAAGTAAAGGAGATATGAAATAATAGAAAAAAAATTATCTGTAATTATCTCATGAAGCTGTACTTTGTACTTATTAAAATGCAGTATAAATCAGGAACTTGCTCTAATTTCCATCATACTATATTCTAAGTTTCAGATTTCTTTAATTTTGAATTAGACCTTTAGCTAACCTTTTTGACAAGATATGCAACTTCAGAATAGATAGATACGTATGCTCAGTGCATTCCACTCTCTAACCTGAAATCTTGGAGTGGCTGCAAAATTGCAACAAGAGGGCCTCCTGACATTGTCCCAACTGAGGTCACTTCCAGTCTATCAACTTCTCTTATGGAATGCAGCTACAACCCAAATACTCTCTGGCTTTGTCAGTGCTATTTAACGTAAGGAAATAATTTGGAAAACTGATCATGAAGACAAAATGTGTTCTAATTTTTCTTTCTAAAAGTGGGTAGAATTGGGATCTCCCCCTCCCATAATAAGAATATGAATCTTACTTATCAGCTACCAACAATATACTAGATTTTTACAGATTTCCACAGATGTATGTATATGTACACATAGGTATCACAAATTTCTTTTTATTTTTTTTTTGAGTCAGGGTCTCTCTGTGTTGCCTGGGATAGGGTGTAGTGACATCTTCATAGCTCACTACAACCTCAAATTCCTGGGCTCAAGTGATCCTCCTGCCTTAGCCTCCCAAGTAGCTGGGACTACAGGCACACATTACTGTGCTTGGCTAGTTTTTCGGTTTTTTGTGGAGACAGGGTCTCTCTCTTGCTCTGGATAGGTATCACAAAATGTTTTAAACACAAATATTCCAATCCTAGTATTTCCTCCCTCACCCTTGACTAGCTCTTATAAATCTCAAAAGGTCATTTTGGGGGGAATGTTCTGTTTATATGTATAATACCATGCAAATTATTATTGTTGAGCTATATAAGAATATCACCTAATAATATTGTATGTAACTTAAAGTGCAACAAAGTTTTTTTCCTCCACAAATTTTTTCAGAATAAAATTCTATAATTGGGCATGTTACTTTTCTTGTTAGTTTTACTTAAAATATGTTTATAAGTTAAATAGAAACATTTACATCTTTATTTTGCATTTGAGGGCAAAGTGGTATCCAAAGTTTGGAACAAACCATCAGGAATATTTTGTAAGTCAATAAAGGTTTGATTTTTAGATTCCTGTGTTCATAGATAATAGTCAACAATCCCATTGTTAATTTTATACTTAGAGATCTCATAAACCACCAGTCATGGATGCTCTTAGTTTTTGTATAGACAAACAATGTGAAAATTAGGATATAATCAGATTCTTTAGTGCTAAAATTTTTAAAGATCCTTGAGAAGTGAAAAGTCTTTATAGTAGTATAATTTTTACATAATTTTGACATTTCACATTTGATTCTTATAGTCACATTTTGTTAGGAAAGGTGTATTATTTCTACCTAAAAAATGTGGAACAAGTTAAAATCTGACCTACAGAACTGGGATATAGAGAGCCCAAGTATCTGGACCTATTGATAATGTGTGATCTTCAGCATTTGGTTCAAGTCTTGACTCTGGCACTTAGTAACTGTGTAACCTCAGGCAAATAATGTCACCTACCCTCTGTTTTGTTTCCTCACCTTCAAAATGTAGCTAATAATTCCTTCCTTCCAGCATTATGGAAAGAGTCAAAGGATATAAACCTTATAAAAGCCTTTTTGAAACCGTAGAATACACTATAAATAAATTAAGGTTTTTTTTTTCCTGGTGTCTATTACATTAGCACCTTGTTACTCCAAAGGAACAGTTGTGGAAAGCCAATTTTAGTTTGTGAGCAAGTTCATTTGAAGATTCCTTTGGGGCCTGAGAAATGCAGAGGGAGTCAATGTGAACCACTGCCTGCATTACCATTGTCCACATACTTTCTGCTTTTGCCCCAGACGACTGAAAGCTCATCCATGCTTCATAGCATTTTCCTCTGACTTCCCTGTCTTTACCTACTTCACCTGCAAGGGGGAAGACATGAGGGTGGGCTTAAGGAGAAGTCAGGCAAACATATGCAGAAAATGATTGCACACTTGCATTCATTTAATTGCTATCTCCTCTGAAATAAAGATTTCAAAATAGTTCTTCATCCTACCCTGATGCTTTGTCAGATTTTGCGTTGTTTCAAACTTAATTTTTCTAAAAGCATCTGGAATTCTAACTGATCTATTTCTAGAGCTTAAGTTTCGTTTTCTAACTCCAGGGTGAGTAATGCTTTGTTTTATCAGCGTTCAGGCTACGTGTTGTCATGCTTTATGGGTTCAGCAAGACTGGGAGGTGCTGAAACCAAATGACTCATCATCTGAGTTCTCTCTTTCAGTTCCTAAGAGGCCCCAGCGTGTTACTGCAAAACCAAAAACGTCACCAAGTCCAGCAGTGTTGTACCCTTCACCTGGTAAATGTTTTATTTCGTGTTTAAGCCAAATGCGTTCTAGTCACACTCTGCTGCAGTGAAACATGAGAGTTGATGGATGTGAGGTCAATATTTCACGTATGTTCAGATACCGTGTTGTATCATATGTGGTATTATTTAGAGGTTTCACAAGAATGTCCCTTTGCTCATGTGGTAAAGCTATTATTATAATGAAAAGACACAGAATTATGCCAACAGCAGAATCTTTCCTAGAGCTGAAGTTCTCTCACTTACAAAAATATAACCTGCCAATTCTAACTATGCTATGTTGAAATGTTTTTCCCAACAAGAAGATAAAGAATTTGATTTTTCCACAAAAATAATTAGTGTTTTAACAAATAGAAGCAATGAATGATGTTTAGCTGTTTACTTAGGTTCATAAGTTTTACTATATCCAACATTGAGGTTATTTTCTTTGTCACATTCTACTTGACAAGTTTATGGAGCAATAGTTTGGGTTAAGGAATTTGTTTCAGAAACAGCAGTAAAAAAAAAAAAAAAGATTTCTTTAGTTACACATCTGTTTCTGTGTAGCATCTAGGAATGTCTTTTGTTCACTCATGTGCAAAGTAATCTCATATTTACAGGAATGCCCAGGGTTGGAACTACAGGGACCCAGACACTTCATTGATCTTACCACAACTGCTATTTACAAGAAGTTTTTAAGTGGCCTCAGGAAGACACTGTTAGCTGAACATGAGAGTTCTCTCGTAAACCAAACCAAGCTTATTTTTAACTTGAGAATCCAGGAAATACTTTAAGTTCTTTCCTTTCCTTTTAAAGGTACAATTATTATAAATTCCTAGATACTCCTAAAGGCATATAGAACACTCCCCGAACCAAAGGATTTCTAAGCTATACTTTGAAATGATGGCATTTTGGAAGCAAGCCTGAATTCCCTTGCTATAATGTTTTCCAGATTGTGTAAGTGAAGGGTATTATTGTTGCTGTGGTGTAGTCAGGCTGCTGTTGGTGATGTTGGTAGGTTAGAGATAGGCTTCTTTGCTCTGAAGTCTAGAATTTAAGTTAGTACCACTAAACACAACAGCCAGTGTTACAAATACATAGTAAGAAAAAAAGCCAATCTTCCACTTTCAAAAGGTCAACTTATATTCACTTGTGGAAAAAAATATAATAGAAATTAATTCACTAAAGATAACAGTAGACTTGAGTGATTTTTAAATTTTTAATTATAAAAAGTAATATTATTGGTATAATCTCATTACATCAGGATATCTAATTGTTAAGCTTTTTTCTTGTTTTCTAACATTTAATGTTTGCCTAATCCCATCAACACCTTGTTTTTCACAGAAACTGACCTATAAGCTTGAGCACTGAAATAACAGCACAAACACTCCCCCTAGTCAGTCATCTTCTACCAGCGCCCTAGCGCTACGTGTTCAGAGTTTTAGAACTCTCTCTCTAAGCCTAATGTCGGCCCTGCCATTATGACCAGGGTCCCCTCATTGCTCCTGTGATGCCCACAGGAATAATCAATCCTCAAGCGACTGTAACCAGATTTCAGTTTTCTTAGAAGTATTCAAATGCTTGATTCTGTTGTGTGCAAAATAGTTTTTGGATTGTATCTAGGCTCAGGTTTGCATCTTAATGAACCCAAGGCTTCATTTACGAGAACCTATAGGTTTTACCTCAGAAAACAGAGGGTAGGTTACATATATATTTAATAGGTATTGGAATTCTGGAGAAATAGACTCTTCTGTAAAAAAAATGTCTAAAAATGTAAATTGTAGTGCTGAAATCAGGACAGAGTTATGTTTTATCATGATGTTTATATAAAAATGTATTTTAAGAGAGATCAGAAGTAACAGACTTGGATTTCCAGAACTGTATCAACTAGAAAGTCAGTCTAGGGTTGACTGCCCAGTTCTTCCATTCTGTAGATTCCTAGACATAACTTCATGCAGCGAGGCTTTAGAGAAAATCTTCCAGCCACTCGGTGGAATTATCTCCTGCACTTAATGAGGAATCTTGACAAATTGAGCCCATCCCCCAGTACTGGCTTTCCTCCATATCTGCCTTGGAGGAATGATTTAGAATTTGGAGCAAAGGAATTGACCTGATAGCAAACAAATGCTATTTAGTTTGGAGTCCAAACACGAGGTACCTGGCTCCACAACACTCTGTCTGCCTTGTAGATTCATTTCTATACCAAGAGTTGTGTTGGCTTGTCATCCTTCTGGCCCCAGACATTTGGATAGATTTCAGTCATTGGAAGCAAACCAGGAAGAAAATCTAGATTTCAGCAAGCTATCCAAGTCCTCGTGAATGTTCCTTCTGGGTATCTACTCCCTTATTTTCATTTGTAGTCACACTTCAGCAATTTTATAGTTTGATGTTTTAGTTAAATGAGGTTAGTTGGCTTGTTTTATGGTAAATTAATTAGAATGGGTATTAATTCTAAATTTTCCTAAAAATTGAGTCATATTGTTTAAAATGATAAGTGAATTATAGTTATTAACATGGTCATTTGCTTGGATTACATACTTTAAAATGTTGCCAAACTTATATTAGGGAGAAGCCTGAACATGGACATTCACCTAATGATGTGTGTGGTTTTTTTTCTAATGTAGTCTTAGAAGACAATACATTTAGAATTGAGCAAGCCAAGATAACAATAATTAATAATTTCCCCCATTTTTATCAAAATAGAAGTTGGAATGATCAGGGTAGAGAATTATCTCCTTAAGATCATACTGTTATGATTATCATTCTATAATGCTTCCCGATTATCATCATAACCTTCTAGACATTTTTGCCATTTCTTTCTAAAGCTGCTAATTTTTTCCCTAAGGATGCATTATATAGTTTTATTGTTAAAATTTTTCTTGTAGATTTTCCTAGAGGTAAAATGTCTTCTCACATATGAGAATTAAAATCAGAAGTTATCAGCAGTTTGCCTATGTACCTGATGCCACATTAAATATCAGTATGCTTTTCTCCCCCAAGCTTTAGTGACTTAGCACCTTCATCTTTTCCTCGAAACTTTTTTAAGCTCATGTGTGCCATGATATGACAAATTATTTCTTCAAATTTTTAATATAGAATGTGTTTATTACAATAGTGGCACAATAAGGCAGATTTTAATACCGCTTTATAGCTCCCCGGAAAAGAATTAGAGACTTTTGGGAGATGCCCATGTGGGTCTTTAAATGCTACTTAGCAAAGCACAATGCTGGTTCATGGGAAGTGCCCATCTTTTCCAGAATTGTGCTAAAAAAATATACCAATGCAGTTCAATTCAGCAAATATTGATTGTCTTTTTTATGCCTGGTTCTGTGCTTATTGTTGCAAAGCTAAAAAGAGGGATTAGGTATAATCTCTACCATCCAACACAGTGCAATGGAGGAAACAGGAATTTATACAAATTATTATAAAACAAGGCAAATCTTGGTGAATAATGAGATAGTAATATAAACAAAATACAATGAAGTAATAAATTGTATGAATTCAAGAAGGCATCATCAAGGAAAAGAACTTTAAAATAGATTTTAAAAGGTAAGTAGGCATGTAGCTATTGATGATTCATAAGGAAGCAAAGATACAGGTCTATGGAAAGTGGTCAGCATAGCTGAGAAGCAGCCTGAGTTCAAAATGATTACATTGCCAGCCATGTGGGTGAGATTACTGGGAGATGAAGACTTAAAGTCAGCTGGACTCATGTGTTTGAGGGTTTTTACCACCATGGCAAGGACTTCAAAATTTTTTCTACAGGCAATTAGGAGACATTAAAATTGTGCATGTGTTTTTCTTTTTCTAATCATGAGAGTGATATGGTATAATTAGATCTGTATTTTATAAAGATAGTTATCATGTAAAATAACATGGAATATTAGCTGGTAAGAAGAGATTGATGGCAAGGAATCACTTCGGAAGCATCTCAATAGTCTATTATAGAAGGGCATATATGAGAATTTGAACTAATAATGTATGAAGGGAAACAAAGGAATAATGCTGAAATTGCTTTTGGAGATGGAATTGCTAAGACCTGGAGAATGACTGAATGGTGTTAATGGAGAGAAGGCTGACACTGTTATTCCTGGCTTGGGCCAGTGGTACATGAGAATGCCATTGACTACCACAGGGAACACAGGGAAGAATAAAGACTTGGGTTTGTGCATACTAGGTTTGCAGAGCCAGCAGAGCTTTCAGGTGGCAGTAGCTTAACTGGTGGTTGAAAATGATTTTCTGGATTTCTAAATGGAAGTCAGGATTTGAAACAGACTTGGGAGTCACCTGTCTACTATAGATTTTTAGGTTTTTAAATCTTGGATGACATCATCCCTGAAAAAGTATAGAGTAAGGAAAATAAGTCAGAAATCAAATATTTGGGTGGCGCAGTTATATTAAAAGAGTAGGTAGAGAGGAAAAAAGCCACCATATGTTGCTTTCTAAAAAGATCAGAGGGCCCAGGCCCAGTGGCTCATGCCTGTAATCCTAGCACTTTGGGAGGCCTAGGTGGGGTGATCATTTGAGGCTAGGAGTTCCAAGCTGCCTGGGCAATAGCAAGACCCCATTTCTACAAAATATTTAAGAATTAGCTGGGCATGGTGGCACATGCCTATAGTCCCAGTTACTCAAGAGGCTGAGACAGGAGGGGATGGCTTGAGCCCAGGAGTTTGAGGTTGCAGTGAGCTATAGTGACACCACTGTGCTCTAACCCAGGCAACAGAGTTGAGACTCTGTCTCAGGAGGGGAAGGGGGGGGTAGAAGAGAACCTGAAAGAAGGAGTTGGGAGGTGAGGCAGGAAATGGTCTCAAGAAAGGAAGGGTGGCCAGCCGGGACAGTGAGGTGGAGGAGTCAGAAGAGGCTGCTAATGTCACTGTGCAGGTCTAGAATCCCGTTATCTAAAAGCCTTGGGCCGGAGGGTTCAGAATTCAGCAATTATCAGATTTTAGAAAATTAAAAGAGTGCTTACCTCATTGATTACAAACATCAATACGTCTGCAGTGAGAATTATGAATAGTCTTACAAATCAGGATAAATAAAAACAGTAAGATGAGTATTAGTTATGTTTTGCTGTTGAATAAGTTAAGGGAAAACTCAGTATTGAGAGTTTTTTGTAATTCAGAACTTTGGACAAGGCATCGTTGCTGGAGATCAGTGAAGTGGAAGCCAGACCACAGTAGAGGAAGAAGATACAACTGAAAGACCAGGGAGCAGAAGCAGACATAAACTTTTTCATTAAAGAGATGAGAGCAAGAGAGGGGATGGTTTGAAGGAGAAGCCATGCCCAAGGAATGATTATTTTTTTAAGAAGTTGGAGTATTTGAGTTGTTTTGTAGGTGGATGGGAAAGAACTAATGGAGAAATGGAAATATGGACTAATGGATAAAAATATAAGATAAAAGAAATATTGAAAAGTAAACGGCATCAGGAAGTGGAAGGTAGGGTGACCCAAGAGCACAGGGAAAGCCTGGAAAGTGGCCTCCAAAAGGAAGGGACACTGGGGCTTCCTCTTAGGCTGGACCTAAGGGTACAAAGTTAGAATAAAGGAATAGAGGATCTTGAAGTAAAAAGGGTATGTAGTCTATTTATGTTAGTTTTCTAAGAGAATAAAAATCTTTGCACCTTATTGCCAGGGTAACCTTATTGCAGACTTCATATTGCACCAACTTCAGCAGAGTAACATGTTAATTATCTTCTAACTGTATTAAAACATTCATGCACATTTATTTACATTTGTCTGTGTTAGACATCGTCTACTCATATAGTAGTCTTGTGTTAGTTGTTTAATTTAATATACAGAGGAATGCCACATAGAGGAAAAAGAGAGAAAAAGAAAAAACAACTTGAACTTCTTGGAGCTGTAGTTGACCAACGAGGAGAATGATTCATATTCCTTTCCTGTAAATATTTCTATTTCTTTCCTTTCCACTGATTTCACCTGCTTTAGGAAGTCTGCTTTAGAAGTTTATTAAATCATTGCTTCATGGTTAAAAAAGGAAAAGTGCCAGTTACAGCAGCTGGAATCCACATTTCCCTAGCCTAAATTTCTCAGTAAACTAGAGCAGCAGCAGCAAGTGATGCATTTATAGTATGGTGTATTTATTAGCATATGTCTTCTCAGCTTCTCCTTTCCTTAATCCCAGCTTCTTTTTTGTGTAGTCTAGTATTATAACGTATTAGGGTATCTATAAACTACAGGCTGCTTTGACTGGTCGTGACCTCTGCAGAGCCAAATTAGAGTGCCTTCTACTTCAACCTCCAGATACACATTTAGTTTGATTTACAACTGGAAATTTCTCGTATTTCACCATTTGAATCCCCCTACAAAAAAACTGGCATGGCAAGGTGAAATGTTCACTGTTGTAGTGGGCTTTCTCTAACTTTGTCAACCACTGTTCTTTTTGAAGTTTCCTTTTTTCTTAAAGAATAATTCCAGATTTTCAGATTCCCCTGGATGTCACCTTTTAGCCCATAGAAGTTCTACTCGAGTCAAGTTTCTGTTCATTGTCAATTTCTACAACTATAATTCAGCTGGTACTTACTTAGTGGCTTAAATTAAGGTCGTATGTAGCATGCAAGTTAAATATCCCCCAAAACAATAAGTCCATTTTATACGACCTATTTCTACACTAATGGTAAAGTGGTTCTTGGCACACCTTATGATACAAAAGTTTTCTGAAGAGAGAAAGAGTTCTAGCCTGAATCCTAATTTTTTTCCCAGCATCATATAAGATGCAAGAAAATTACTCTGCCTACCAAAAGCCACTGGTATTTATGAAATCTTTAGTGTGGTAGGAAAACTTTCCAGTGAGGGAATGGGCCCGAGGAGACCTCTTTATGGGGAAACTAAGTCAAAAAAGTACTTTATACTGCTATGGGAATGAGATGTTTGTCATAGAAATCTGACAGTAACAATAGGCAAATCACCCTGATAATTCCCCAGATGAGTTATAAGCTACCAAGTTTCCAATATTTTGCTAAAATAGAACACAAGCATTAAATATATACTGGAGATCAGGGACTGGATATGAGTAGGCCTATCCTTTAGTGGACATTTTTGTCTTTTGTTTTCGTATTCTCATATGTCAAGCATGCTTGACACCTAATAATATACTAAAAGCCACATCACTAAGGAAGACAAAAATAGCAACAGCTAGCATTTAACTAGCATTTATCAAGTACTCTCATAAACTTTACAGCTGGTATCTTCTAATGACTAGGTGATTCTTTTGCTTTACTTCCTCCCCATAGCAACTATCAGTGCCATTTAGAATGAAACTTTGTCCTCCTTTTAAATACTGAATATTTTTGCCTTTCTTGTTTCCTTAAATTTATAGCAATTTTTGCATTTTATCTAAGATAATGTATTTTCTATTGCTATTAATGGACTTTTAGCATGAATATCAAATGGCAGCTAATCACTTCAGGAAACAAACTGACTTTCTATTTTGAGGGAGACCTACCTTCTTATGTTTAATATATTAGCTATTTCTTCATTTTTTTTTCCTCTAGGAAGACTTCAAAATGAACTGTGACAGACTTTGTTTCTGTTTTACTGCCACAAAAATCTCCCCTACACAGTGACATTTTTCCATTTTGAAAAGAGTGGTCATCTTCTCGACTTTGGTCTTTAACTATTGTGAAAATACTTTTTCTTCATTCATTCTTTCTGAGATTTTATATCTTTAGGTTAAATTCACCCCAAGTATGACATTTCGAATCCACAGTGTTTTATAATCTTTTTCTTTCAGTTCCAAAAGATGTGCTCCTTCCCCATAAACCAGACCCCAAGTTCTTTCAGAGTGAACCTGGTAAATGAATTATTTAATTTTCCCAGTTAAGAAGTATATTTTTCAAAAAATATTCTTGATATAAATATATTTTAATGGTAGTGATAGGGAAGAAATATGGGGGAAAATATGGATATAAAATGTAAACTTCTTTGGGGAAAGTTTAATCATATATCTGGTTGAAAATTTTTTGCTCTGGTTAAATGAAAGAATGGTATATAATTAGTTTATTTTCCCTTAAAGTGTTTTTAATGAATAGGAGATCATGATAAAATTATAAAACAAAATTATTAATGGAGCCAACTCTTTTATAGCCTTTCAAAATGTAAATGCAATTACTTTATACCTGTGAGTGTACTTTGAAGTAAAAAATATGGTGCATACTCAAAGTTACAATGAATGAGAGCTTTAAAGTTTTAAACTAAGTTCCTTGAGTGGCATCTAATAAATTTTCTCATATTTATTATAGTTCTTAGAAAATGTTTACATGATTAAATCTATGTATCTAGAAAGTACAGAAATTATTTGACTCCACCAGGTACTAATTCTTATGAGCATGTTTCTTTGGTTTGTTTTTGGCATAGTTCTGCAACCTGTTACCTTTAGAATTGAGCCACCAAAAACAACAATAGGTAATGATTTTCTCATATTGACTCTGCTTTTCTTCACTGCCATCAAGATTGCAGATCTAATGATCCTGTGAAAACATCATCTCTTCTCAATCCATTTCATCATTTCATTCTCATTGTTGTTATTTTTTCCAAAATAGAAAAGCTATGGTTTCACTGTTGCAAAGGCTTTGCTCTGAAGACTGACTTAAGACAACTCATTGCTGAGTCCATCCTCATCTACCTCACCTACCTTCATGTTCACAATGAGTCCACCTTCCTGATGCCATCTCTTAATAGTTAACAATTTCTGCTGCTTTAGTGGTTCTCAGTTGTACTGTTACAATATACCAGCATGTGACAAGTTTGCAAGGTGCTGCAAGTAATTATTATTAATATTGGTCAAAATACTGAAAATTGCTAGTGACGTATTTGTAGAATTTAACTTGAGCAAACTCAAGAAGATTATCCCAACAATGACAATATTCTTACTCATTTTGTAATCCTATATGCTCTCTTGGGTGGGAGAGAGAGAAGGACAGAGCTTCAGCTAACTGTCCAGGACTGGTTGTAACCCATGCCTCATCTTAACCAGGCATTCTCATGGACTGGGTCATTTATTATGTGTCCTGGTGGAAAAACAGTTGAGAACCATTATTCTAATATTCCACAGTAACTTTCCAGAAAGTTCTGTGCAACACTTAACTTTCTTCTTTCCTTTTTCTATTTCAAATGAAGGAATCTCCTGTAATACCAATCTGGTCTTGTGCTGGCTTTAAATCTAAAAATTTACAACCTTGGTACTTTTTTTTGCAGCTCCTTTAGAGACAGGAGACATCCCTTTTATGCCTATGATTTCCCCAAGTCCTAGTCAAGAGGAACTACCAACTACTCTGGGTAAATTTTGTTTTGATATCTTAGTTCATTGATGACCTACCTTTTAGGAATTTCCCTTAAAGTAGTCATAAATACATTATGTTGGTGAGTTGTTTGCAAATAATAAAAAGTTACTTTTTACCATTATGAAAAATCTCTGCTTCACTTGATACATTTCCATTAATTGTATATTTGTCCTTTTGATATTATACTGATTTTCAATATAAAATGAGAATGTTTTAACACATCTTGACAAAGTTTAAAGTATTCTAAAAAGAAAACATTCTCAAATCAATGTTATTCATTTTTTTGCTTTTTCTGTATTTGAAATTACATTTGAGAAGAAAAATGAGTCATCTAGTATTTATTGAACTTTTTCTGGGTGTTAAGTGGAATGCTAAGTGATATGAGTTCAAAAAACACTATTTTAAAGATGAATCTTTACCTTAAGGATCTCACCCTCTAATATGAAGAGGGGATTTAGTAGCAATACTATTTCTTCTGTGCCACCCACCAAATGCACTACAAGTATACTGGATCTTCAGGTTGGAATGAGAGTTGACCAGTCAAAGATGCAAATGGTCATTTGGAGTTAAAGACAGAGGGGAGAGAGGCACAGGGCAGGACAGCTAGACTAACCTGATGAGCACAAGTAGGTGGGCTCCCTGGAGAAACAAGGATGGGTAAGTCAGGAGAGTTGGGTGGGATGAGCTGGACGGGCTTTTGAGGAGTTCAGTATAAATGTATTCACTGTATGAGAAAATCCACTTTACTTGCCTCTTGGCTGAAAATGAACCAGAAAGCAAGAGTTCCAGGCTTGTGTGTGTTGGCTCCTCTGTCCTGTCCACACAGCATCCCATGTAGCTGGATTTAAAGCAGTGGCCTTGTTTTCCTCCTCCCCCTTGTGAGTGCCTGCCGAAATGAAGTTACTGATCACATTTTAAAATTAAATCCTTTGTGAAGAAAAAAATTAAAATTGAGCAAATATACTCTAGTTACAAAATACTCATCTATTCTAGCCTAGGTCTGCAGAGTCAGGGTCACCCATGATGGCAAAGTTAAAAGTATTTTTTTTAAAATCACTACTAAATATGCTCATTATTTAACTTCCACTCCCTATTTATTTATTGTGTCTTAGTTTATTGGAACAAGAAACATCATCTACGAGTTATTACAAGTATCTTTCTTGTGAGCAGAATCAGGAGAATAAAGCAGAGGGGAGAAAGAGATGGCAGTGTACTGTTTATACCAAGTGTTTCCTTGGATCCAGTATGTGGCAAAGTGAACCATAAAATTGACTATGTACAATGTGATATGGGGGTGGAAGTGTTGCCATAAGTAATTTTTTTATTTTGTCAGGAGGCACGTGGCCTCATGTCAATGAATATACAATCTGATTTTTCATTTTCACATGAGGAAAATAGAAGAATATTTATTCTTATGTGGTATAAATACACATCTTTTTATAGGAAATATTGACTTTCCAGCTCACCTAAATGATTTGTAGAATTTAGGGGGTAGGGAGGAGACATGGTAGAGATAAATACATCAACAAAGGGGACTTTCATACATGAGCCACATCTAAGAGCAGTCACAATCAGTCATGAAATCCTAGGCTAAAAGCTTTCAGAAATTCACATAATAATCATTAAAATAATAGCACAAGACAGAAAATATAACATATGAGAGTTATTACAATATACCATGTTTGAGTTATGATTACTAGGCATGTTTTTAAATGCAATTTATCCTTTTATCATCGCATGGGGCAGAAAAGAGCATGGGATTTTTGGGGTCATGGTCATAATGATAATTATTTAAGACAAGCTATTTTACTGTGTTTTTCTTCAGAAGAAACAGATCAATCCACCCAAGAACTCTTCACAACTAAGATTCCACAAACAACTGACTTGGCAAAGACAACTCGGGGTAATAGTATTTCCCCACCTCTAGATAGTAACTTTTCCTTATTTACTTTTAATCAGGAAAACAAAATTCTTTTCAGAATATCATTTCTTATCACAGTGAATTGATTTTTCTCATCTCATAGGTGAAGGACATCAGCTAAATCTGAATACTTGTGTGACTATTAGTTAAATATACAGAAGACAAATTCTTTAGTCAGAGATTTGCCTTTGAATATATTAGTGATGGCTTTACGCTGATAACTAAGAATTAAAGCTCTCATCCTCCCTCCCTATGTTTGACCTTAGTTTGCCTCATTTTCCACAGTTGATAAATAAGAACCTTTATTGTCTTCCTCTTCCTCTCTCTTTTTCTCTTTTCTCCCACGTTCCCCACTTGATAAAACATTGATATTGTGGGTGAGAAACCCATTAACAAGAAAAAAATCACTTTTAAAATTATGATAATATTTAGACATTGAGGGAGGTACTCTCTGTGATTTCTTTTATTCTTCTCTGTTATTTCCTACTTTGGGGGAGGTGAACTCACCTGTATACAAAGCCCTGTCTCATCTTCATGTTCTCTCAGAAATCTTTTCCTTTTTATTTTTTTCTATCTTGCTAGGGTTATAACAGCTTGTGGATTCCCAATACTTTGGTGGGTTTTTGCAATGACCCCTTTGCCCATCTCTACCTCCATTTGATGGTAGGACTCCAAAAATAAGACGAAAAGCAAAGCAAACATTTTTTTAAGGAGCTACAAGACAAATAAGTTTATGTCACCCATTATCAGTTCTAATTTGAGAGAAGTTTCCAATAATAAGAGGAAATGATAAAAGAAATCAAATTTTAAGGTATATATTTTGTCAATGGGCAATATTGCTTCTGAAGAAGCATGACTGAGAAAGCCTCTCTATAGTATGACAGTTCCTTTAAATCTTCTGAATCTTTTTTTTCCCATTTGTTTGGTTTAACTTTTTATTTTTAAAATTTTTAATTTTATTAAATTTTTATTCCCTTGTTATTTATTTATAAATATACGTGGAAGTCAGAGGCACGATGTGACGACAGCCCTCCCACACCCCCATTTCCAGCTTCAACAATTAACAGTAGATGGTCAATTGTGTTCCATCCCTGTCCCACCCTGATTTTTGTATGTTTATTGTTTTGTGTTTTTGCAAATCTCTTTAATATCAGGCTTAATAGGAGATAGCTGGATTCTCATCATCTAACATGGTGTTTTTATAGTAAAATATATAAATATTTACAATAAGCACGATAAATAAAGACTCTCGTCATCTCAGGGTGTGTTGCCAAATGAAAAAAAAAAATAACAATTTCAGCTTTTGAGAGTTTTATGGATTTCAGAATTGAGGATAAAAGATCATAGGCCTACTCTTTCCTTGTTTTGCTTTTTCTTACCTTAATGGGAATGTCAATATTGTGTTATCATTACTAGTGTATGTATAATTTTTATCAAATAACTTCTGAAATATTTTTATTACATATAAATTTCAGTTAATTGTGTGTATATGCAGGATCTTTTATCATTATATGAATTGTCTTAAGATACTTTTATAATGTATTTTAACTTTTTTCTTATATTCTTAACTCTTTTTTTATGTTTAAAATTGAAACCTTAGAGCAGTTTTCTCAAGGCCATGTGTTGTTGGTTGGTGATGAGCTGTGTGAGTAACTCATAGCTTAAATTATATTTCAGCCCTTTTATAAAAAGTTCTTTTCAGATTTAAGTAAAGACCATGGAAAAACTAAAATGAAAATTCTGATCCTGGGGCTCTGAAATAATGAATGATTATTTCTGATTATTTCTGTGCTCTTCTCTGAGTCTCTTTCCTGTCCAAAGTTTTAAAATTCCTGTATATCTAGAATGAGACAAGAACCATGAGCCCTGTATGTTTTTTTTTATTATTATTATTAAGCAAAAGCAATCTAACATGCAAAGTGATTTACATGAAAAACTAAAATAAATTAACAGGGACTCCTACCACTCTCAAAGAAAATTGAAGAACAATATTTGCAAATCATCATCAGGCATTTTAGGGTCTGTGAGAATTAATATTTATAGCAACAGTACCTCTGTTAACTCTGCTTATTACACTTGGGAAGGCCCAGGATAACTCTGTAGAGAATTTTAGTACCGATCTGCTGTTGGCCTGCAGCATAGCAAAATTCTGCTCATCACAGTCTTTACACCAGAAATTTATAAATTAGCTACATTATAACCTATTTCACGGGCATTTTTTTTTAACTTGACGGGCAAGGCATTGCTGATTTATGGTTATATAAACACCCACTCAAGATGTGAACAAAATCACCAAAATGGTGTAATCTACTTACACAGTTTGCAAGAATAATTTTTCCAGTCTTGGCTAAAAAAAAGCGTTACCAGGAAAGTTGGTAGCAAGAGCCAGTATCTGGTAGGGGGGCAGGTGGCAGAGGAGAGCAGGGGTGGGAAGAGCAAATTCTGGGATGAATGCACACTGTAAAACCTTAGGAAGCAAAAATAGTTCAGCAGATTTTCACAAAATTGCCTGCGTATAATGGTTACCCACTCCATCCATCCATTCATTCATTCATTCATTCATTCAGCAAGTCTTTGCTGGAGTCCTTCCCATGCAGGCCCTGGATGGCAGGGCCAGAAAGCAACAAAGTGGTCCCAGGACTTATCTGAGTTCTTGCTCTTTCCTTGCACTTTCTTGATGGACGGGGTACCAGATGTCACTTTTTTCTTATGTCTACTACATTGTATGTCACACTGAGTATTTATTCATTTCAGGCTTTACGAGCAGAGATAATTTGATAGAGATCACATGTTCCTACTCTTTTCTTCTTACCTACCTTCACATTTATTTCTGTTTTTTACCTTTAATACTGCTGGTCTTCTCTGGCAAAATAATGTCCCAAAGTGACTTTTTATTGAGAGATATGGATGGATAGGTGGATGGATGGACAGGCAGATGTATGAATGGCTTATGTGTTTAGAATGTTAAGCAGCCATCTGGTAAAATGAATGCCCCTGCAAAACATGGACTGCATAATGATAATCCTTAATACACATTACAAATGAGCTACCTCATTGAGACTATGTGCATCTTTAATTTTCAGTCATGAATATTTTCACTTGTTTATTTTCCTTTAGCATGAAGTCTGCAATGTATAATTCGGAATTTCAGAGCACTCTTTCTACTTCCAAGCAAATTGTATGAGTTGTTGGTACCTAGGGTGCTAGATCTCCATTCAGTGGACTTCAGAGTGTTGGTTATTAAATATGAAGTGTTTCCTTCGTTTCAGCACCACACAGATTGTATACTACTCCCGTGAGGCCCAGAACACCAGAGAAACCACGCATCAGACCTGGTAAGTGGTTTCTCATTCTCTGATGGGCTAAATAATCAGCAGGCTGGGAAAGATATGAAATGGATTGAAACAACTGATTATATCAAAGGGGGGGAATATATTCTTAACTTGCAACAAAGGACACAAACAATTCTGATCCTGTGGATAAGTGGAAAGACACTGATGCCACTTCCACTTGTCCATGGAAATAACAGGACTTGACTGAGGTTTTTAAGGATGATCAGAATCAGAGACTATTATGAAACTTTAGCATTATAAATGTATTTTTAAAATAGTGTTTGTGTATAAATCACACACCCCCCTTTAATTTTCCATGACACTTACGGAGATGGCATAGGGTTAGCTATGACTTGATACTACTTGCTTTCAAATGTTATTTCTCTCGTAATAAAAGATGGTCCTTCTCAATATAAAAAGGCTCTGGGAATATATTTTTATTGATTCCTTCAGAGGATAAAAAAATTTTCACAGGTTCTATACAGCAAAAAAAAGTTATATTATATATTGGGAAATAATTTAAATCTACAACATTCTCCAAAGATCCTAGGATGTCCCTCACTGGAGGTTGTTTAGGGAAAATTTAACTTGGAGGGGCTGATTTGGCTCATGTGATTAAATGACTCCTATACTAAAAGCGTAAATTGGACCAAAGACTCTGGTATTTTCTGTCCTTTTTCTGTGTGATTTTAAGGAGTCTCCTTAAAGTTCTAAATGATGAAACTAAGTTACAAATGAATGTTGAATGCATCTCCAGGCACATGAAAGAACAAATAATTTTTTTTTATATATTCTTTGGTTTGTGGAGAGTCCATATATGTTGTTATAATCCTCTAATTTCTAAAGGTAATTAGGCACAGAAATCTTTTATAAATAAATATATCCCCATATGACTTTTGTGTCATAATAACTGTTGAGAGCTTAATGTGTGGCTGGCTACAGTAAACACTTCGACAGAATAATGAAACAGTAACAATAACAGCTAACAGTGACTGTTTGCCATGTGAGATACAGCTAAGGCACTGAGCAACTAGAAAGTGGATTCAAAGGCACATGCAATGTAATTCCAGAGTTTACTCACTTAGGCACAGTACACTTAGAGCTCCTCTTTTAAGAGTCTTCCAAATGAGGTCACTACAAAATAGGTTACCTCTTCAAGTTTTGGTGATGCTATTGCTTTCTGCAGAGCAGGCGAGACATTTAAGTGGTTTCATGAAGTTCTGTATTTGACAATGGACTTGTGCGAGGACTATTATAATGAAACATCTCTGCCTAGAGACTCCTACAAAAGGACTGCCAATTCACGAGTTATAAATTGAGGTCTTGACAAAGAAATATACTTTAGGTTTTGTTTTTTTGTTTTTCATTAGACATATGTTGTCCTGATTTTTCTTCAGATCCCTTTTGGAGTGTATCTAATGCTTATAAATGAAGCAAGCTATTTCCCACTTATATAAATTCTCTTGTTAGTTATTTTTTCAAGTCAAGTATTGAAGCCCAGTGGTCACCTCAGAGTACAAATTCAAGTCTCTATTCCCAAATATAAGTCTATGATTTTTGTACCAGAATGTGGTTTCTATTTCCTAAACCATATTTTTTGGTAAGCCCTCATTTTTTTATTATGCAGTTAAATGACTTTCAATTCTCTAGGAAGTTTTGTTTTCCTTGCCTATAAATGTTTAGTAAGAAAATGTCTGAACTATTTAGTTCTCATTTTATTGTAGTTCTGAATAGGACAACTACAAGACCCACCAGGCCCAAACCCAGTGGGATGCCCAGTGGGAATGGAATGGGAACAGGTAGGTAATGATCATAAGTGTATTCCTTTTGATCTTGTCAAAACTATAAATGTTATTATTCAACTTTTATGATTTTGTTGAATTCACATTTCAATTTCATTTTTACCAGTTTTGGAAGCTCTTAGTAAAACTATAATTGAAAAATATAACTCATTCCAAAATCAAAACTTCAAGTGTCTCTGAAAAATATTAAAGAAAAATGTTTCACTTTTCTAAAACTAGTCCACAAAATTAGTTATACTGTCTACAGTTCTGCTTCCTAAAAAAAATCCTGATTAAATATAAATTGTTGAATGAAAAATAATAAAAATAGCTGTTTTTCCTACTTTCAAAATACTTTCCATGCACAAGATGGTCTTTGAACTGTAATTACTTGGTTTTTAAGTTTATAATTTTACAAGTACCATTATAATTTTTTTAAAGACCTGCATCTGTTAGAAATCTGGAATATGAAACTTAAACAAGAAAAAACAGATTTAACCACAGCAATTAACAATTGGTTACCCTGGTTATAGTCATATTAATGTTTTCAAAGCATTCAGCTTAAATAAATGACGTAGCTCGAATCCAGTCAGATCTATGGGAGTAGGTATCATGGTAGAGAAACTAGAACACTGATCTGTGATCTGATAAAAGTTCACTCAATTTACTCCATGGTTAAATGGTAGTTATTAGATGCCTTAACATAGGATTGTATTATTCCCTTGAAATATTTTTAGTAGTATAAATTTTGTGCTTATTGATGTTAAAAAGTATGAAAATTAAAATTTGTTTAGCACATATATATATATATTTGGTCAACCTATGGTGGTTCTCTAATGAGAAGGGGATGTAAATAATACCTAAAGATATTTAGTCTAGATTTGTTTGGCAGTGTGTTTTTTTGTTCTGGTATCTGAAATTCTAGGAATTCTCTTCAAACCAAATAATGAGGCCAATACTAAATAAATTCTTGACTCATGAAAAGCAAGGAAGCATTTGAGTATCTCAGGTGGTCCTTTTATTCATCCCAACTGTGGGATTAGAAATAATTTCTCAGATTGACATAAATAATCTGGCTGTAAACAAAGCCATCTTCTCTCAGATCCTTTTGGGAGGAAGGAAGGGCAAATTGTTTAATATTCAAATAATTCTTGGAAGTTTCAAATAAGTCAAAATAGAAGAAAGCACTTAGAAGTCAACAAAGCAAATGAAAGAATAAGTACAGAAGCTACAAAGACATTAACCTTCAGGATAATCAGACATTGATTATCACTGGGAAATGCTGTCTTTCAGAGGGAAACAAAGTATTGTTATATTTTATCTCATCAACAATACAAACATTTTTCCAAAGCCACTATTATCTCAAATGGATCTCTATTACTTCTGTGTACAGATAGTCAACTCTGTAATAATAACTTATACAACTTAGTTTTGGAAGAATAATGTCTTTTATCAGGGCTTCTACAATTTAATCAGTTAATTACTGGTAGAAATTGGGCTGCTGGACATAGGTAAACAAAACTGAACTCACTGTTTCCCCTGTCCTTACTTTACCTCCCTCCCCAGCCAGGCTTTGTTATACCTGGTCTGTATTCCATTGTCCATCTATTGGGTCCCCCTGTCAGGGAAGGACTTGCTGCCCACCTGCAGGGAGTGTGGTCACCAGACAGCATCCAGCTGTCATCTCCTTCAGGGGAAGCCTCAGCTGAAATAGCCTTGAATGGAGATCTGGGTGGCACATTTCCATGTCTAATAATGCATAACAACCAAATGATATTTACCCCAAGAAAGCAAGGTTGGCTTAACATTCAAACAAATTAGTGCAATTCACCACATTACAGAATAAAGGAGAAAAATTGCATGATCATCTGAGTAGATGGTAAAAACAACCATTAGACAAAGTTTTAAATTCATTCATAATGAAAACTCTCAGGAAATTTGGAATAGAAGGAAGTTTCCTCAATCTAATAAAAGGCATCTGTGAAAAGCCTACAACTAACATTCTACTTAATGGTGAAAAGAAGGAATTCTTTTCTCCTAACATTGAGAATACAGCAAGGATTCCTACTTTCACCACTTCTAATGAATATAATATGACTGTTTAGCCAATGCAATAGTGAGGAAATGAAGTAAATGGCATAATAATCAGAAATTACAGATAGCATGATTATCTATGTAATCAGTTGCTTTCACAGTACAATGGAAGTGTTGAGTAGTTGTGACAGAAACCATGTGGCCCACAAAGTTGAAAATATTTACTGTCTGGCCCTTTAGAGCAAAAGTTTGCCAACCCTTGTGCTAGGCAATCCCTCTCACTTTCTCCCTGAAGAAGGAAGCTGAGGAGCTGTGCGGATATTCTTTCATCCACACAATGAGCATTTATTGAAGGCCCATTGTGTGCCAGGCAGAGTGTAATTCTGAAATCATGTTGGTACGTGTGCTTTGGAAGATATTGTTAAATACCTGAGCTGCAAACTCCTTCCTCTACATCCCAATGAGGAAACCACAGTTCATTGCCCTCATGTGCGTGTGCTTCACAATGAGAACCCAGACTCCTTGGGCTGAAAAATGTCTTTTTCTGGGCTGTGACTAAGTAGTCCCGTCTGCTGGCTCATTGCCCCTGGCTTTTTAGCCAGGTGCTAAGATTTGGGGCAGGGCTGAGGAAACTGATCATCCATAAATATCACCCCTTTTTGGTCACAGGGAATGGAGTCGCTGATAGATTTAAAAATTGATTCCCAGTTTACTGTGTGTGTTTGCAAAGTTTTTGTTACCATGGTTAAAAATTCCCAAACTGTTACTTCATTTTGGACAACAAACTGCTAATGGGTGAACTGCACAAATCCAGAGATTTTTGGAGAACTCCCCTAGGACAGTCAGTCAGAGGCTCACGCCGAGGCTCACATCTTGATGCTTACAGAGCTGACTCTGCCCTTCAGAAGATGTGTCCATTAATCCTGCCTGAGGGAAGAAGAATTCAGGTCACAGCCGGGGCCAGACTGTGAGACTGGGTGCCAATTCCTGAGGATTCCTTCTCTTCAGTGTCGCTCTTCCTGGTTCCTCCTCTCTCCCCACTGCCTCTCTGCTACCTTTGGACTTTATTTGCTCTCCTCTGACTCAGGGTAACAGATGCTCACTGGCCTCTCCAGTTCTGGCCTAGACAATGTGCCTGAAATGTAGCTGGTGCCAGAGAGGCAAGGCCAGAGCTAGAGCTCAGTCTCCTGTCCCCAGGTCCTTCCATGGAGCCCCTGGCTGCCTTCAGCAGGGCCCTTCCCAATGCTTTTCTATACCACCATCTTCTATCCACTTCTGAAGGATAGAGAAAGTCTTGTTCAGCAGCTGGTTATCGATTTGGGTACTTACATCTAAGGATCATAGCAATATAATGTTCTGTTTCCATCGAAACAGAAAGTGACAGAAAATGGCTAGTTTCTTCCAGTTTCTCCCTAGATTAGAAAAGAGGTCAGGGGAATTTGTATCCTTGGTCTTATGCATAAAGTAACTTTGTAGGATTTCAGATTCTCTCCAGGGCTTCTAGATCTCTAATTCATCAGCCCCTTTAGGCACCTATCCTGTGGCTTAGTGGAGCTGCATATGCCCAGTTGGGGACAGATGTTAGCCTTGGACTATTTCCTGAGTCCTGCACACTGGTGACATGGAGGACATATGCTTGCCAGCCATGGCCCTGTAGCCCTCATACAGTGGTGACAGCTCAGCACACCTAAGCTAAGTAGAGGGCTCTAAGGCTGGAGTCACTTGGTCATTGTGCGTAATGGAAGGAAGAAAACAATTAGAAGACGACAGAAATACTCTGTGCTATGCCACTTAGTGCTTAAGAGATAGACTTTGGAGCCAGGCATAACCCAACATGGAATCCCAATGGCTGTAAGACCTTGGGCAAGCTGCTAATTCTCCCCTTGCTTCGGGATTCCTTATCTGTGGGACATGGATAGCATCTCCTACACAGAAGAGTTGTAAGGATCAAATCAGGTAATGAAAATGTTGGTGCTTTTGCACAGTATTGGATCAAAATACTTTGTTTTTCAAGGGGCAGAAAGATTTGGAAAAAAGTCTGTGAAGGAGGATCTACTCAAGGCACACATAGCCTGTTAGCCTTATAGACTATATACATTCTTTTGTACCCTCAAAAAATAGTGGTAAATCAAACCTCACCAAGCCAAGTTATCTCAGTGACACAGATGGAAGTATTTTCCATTTGCTTTGCCATTCTCAGAGTAACCATTCAAATGAGCCATTTCCCTGGCCCCGTTACCTCCAACAGTGGGACACAGGAAGAAGACTAATGAGCCATTTGTTTGTGCCTGACCTGTGGGATTAGCCACAAAATAGTCATTGTACTTAGAAACACTTTTTTTCCTACCACAAATAAGCAACCTTTAATTCATGATTCCATATGACCATTCTTCTTGGTTTTATATCTTATCTCTCATTCAAGTAGCCAGAGGTATGAGATTGCAATATAGAGTTCATCCTGCAAATTTCATAAATTGATGTGAAAACATCATCTAATTTTTGACAAACAAAGCTTCTATTGTATATTCAGTCAATGTATCTTCCCACACATTAAATGAAATTGAGTTTGTAATGTCCATACACAGGCCCTAAGCCACAGTGCACCCTCAAAACAGGGTGTTGTCATTATCTGGGTCAGTGGTTGTCATTGTTAATGTACTAACTAGTATATTAAATGTTTCATTCTTATTTTTAATAAGTAAATTGTAGTCAGGTCCTCAAAGTAGTATGGATTATTTTTTAGGGCAAGCCATTATATCTAAAGCTATTTTTACTATGTCTCACCAGCGTGATAGCCAGTACTTCTCCAGGAATATTTTTAAAGTCAATTCAGTAAGTATAAACCCAAACACAGTAGAATTCTAAGGTGTTTTGTGTGTGTGTTTAATGGAAATGGAGGGGTTGGAGGAGATTTTCTTTAAAACTACAAAATTTACCCATGAATATTTGCAAAAGGTGTCCAGTCAACACAGATGAAATTCTGCTTGGTGAGGAAATGCCACCCAGGAAAGACAGTGCAGGATGAGGGTTGTGGAAAACCACAACGTACAGTCAAATGCTAACCACACAGAGAAAATATCACAACCAGTGAATGCAGGGTTTTGAATTTTTTTCTATAGCTAGGTAGTAGAAGCCAACTAAAGTGTCTGGGCACAAGAACACCAATGCCCTGCTCTGCAAAGAATGCACATTATTACAGCTCTACCAAGTCTCCATGGCGAAGAACGTTTACCGCATTTTGGCTGTATGTTTATTCCCTCTCATCTCTGCATACAGGGATCAAACAAGCACCTCAGCCATCAGGTTCTGAAAGAGATGTGTCGATGGACCCTTACCGCTCCACAAAAAGACCAGGTAAGGAATAAGATGCTGACTCACTTATGACAACTCAGCTCTGAAACTTGGGCAGTAACTGCAGTGTCATTTGTTGCAGCAAAAACAGCAACATCCACACAGCCCCCAAAGTTTCAGAACCATGCAAACAGTGCATGAGTATTGTTAGAAAACCATTTGAAATATTATCTTTAGGGGAATGAAAAGATTCCTGTACAGAAATCAAATGTTAATAAGAACCAAATAGGGCGGTAATTTAATAATTAATTTCTATAATGTTCTAAGGAGTCATAATGAACAAAGTCTGCAGAATCACTATGGATTCTAGTTTTTAATCATGTTTCAACTTTACTCTCCTGTGATTCATTGCAATATCCTTTTACCTAAAATAATTATTTATATTTCTGATTTAAGAGTATGTTCTATGTAATAGGCCAAAGTAGGAAACTGGAGACTCAGAAATCTTTGCATTGAATAAGGTCTCTGCTTTGTTTGTTATTTGAGACAGAGTCTTGCTCTGTCACCCTAGGTAGATAGAGTACAGTGGCATGATCTTAGCTCACTACAACCTCAAATTCCTGGGCTCAAGTGATCGTCCTGCCTCATCCTCCCAAATAGCTGGGACTATGGGCACACGCCATCATGCTTGACTAATTTTTCTATTTTTAGTAGAGACGAGGTCTCACTCTTGCTTAGACTGATCTCCAACTCCTGAGCTCAAGTGATCCTCCTGCCTTGGCAGGAGGACTACAGAGTGCTAGGACTACAAGCGTGAGCCACCACTCCCGGCCTTAGCTCTCTCTGCTTTTTAAAAGGATACCGTGAGACCTACTCTGGTATATTAATGTCCCAATGTCACCTGAACTCCCCTGAACACGCATACTCTTTCTCTTCTCTCCTTTTCTCTTCCTCGTATTACAGGCAGTACTTTATGCTGCAGGGCATTTTTTTGGATTGATAATTTTATTTGAAGATTTTAAAACCAACATATATTATGCAAAGAAAGATAAATGTTTAAGCTATAACACTAAAGAAAATTTGAGTTAAAGTGGACTGCTCCATGTACTTTTAGCCTTGCCAACCTTTGTGCAAAATAGACATTGTTGTGCAAATTGTGAAAAGGTGCCTCTCAATCCCACCCTTTAGGCAGACCTGTTAGAAAAACATGTCCTTTCTCAGGGCTGGAGCTGGAGCTCATGGGTGAGTGAGCAGAGTGGATGCTAAACCTTGGCTCCCTCTTGTACCTCCCTGGCCAGGTGCAATAAACAACCACAATTGTTCATAGTGACCCTGCTCTGCACAGACAAAAGCTTGTTTCCACCATCTGAGTTACTTCTATGTAATCATTAGAGAAGTTCTAAAGGTGTTTGTTTAATTATAATTACATAATAGAGCTGCAGATGGGGGGGAACATGCACAAAAGGGGAAATTATAAGCTTTGACGATGTAAGCTAAAATGGTGTGTCAACCTAAAATAATCAAAAGAGTCAGAATCTTTTTTCGGCAAAGTTTGAGAATGAGCTGCTCAGGAAACACAGATTCCAAAGAACGTAAGTCAGAGTTCCAAAATGTAAAAGTTTGGAATCACTCATCCAGGCAAAGCGTGGGGAAGTTTAACAAAATTTCAACACCATAGTTGTAACTATTCATTTGTCAAGGTAGTCTTTTCCTTTTGGGACAGATATATTTAACATTCCACTGAAGGTGTAACTGTCATGGAGTATTGGGCACCATCTGGTCTGAGTTAGGCACAGGACAATAAATAAGGCAGTTAATCCATAACAAAGATCAGTGGTTAGAAGGGGAGAAGTCTGGTTTCTGGTCTCTCTAAGTCATTTATAGAACAAGAACAATGAAGAAGGGAGTTAATCTATAATCCACAAAGCAGAATTGCAAACATGCTATGTGACTCAGTTTCCAGGAGTTAACATTTCCTTGGTATAATAAATTTAGAGGGTCCTAAAATTTTATTTTCTTTAACAGGTATAAGAAATTTCAATCTCAAAATCAAAGGCAACTGGGGATAAGGAGGTTCGGAAATGCTACTGTTAAGTCTGTGTAAAAAACAAAAGTTGTTAAATTCTGTATATCTATACAGCCTTTCAAAAGGCAGACATACTGCTTGTGCAGGTGTTTCTTGGTGGCTGGGGTAGATTGGTTATAGGACTTCACTCAGATACCAAAATCTGAGGGTGTTCAATATGCTTATATAACCTATGCCCATCCTCCCGTATACTTTAAATCATCTCTGATTACTCATAATACCTAATACAATGTAAATGCTGTATGAATAGTTGCTATACTGTTTTTTTATTTTTTATTGGTATATTGCTATTTTTATTGAGTTTTTTCTGAATATTTTTCATCCACTGTTGGCTGAATCAATGGGAAAGGAACTCACAGGATACAAAGGGTCACCTGTATCAACTGTGTTGTCATCTATAATTAGAAGATACCTTTCCATATATCGATGTGTGTTGTTATCCCTGGGTACCTTACCAACGTTAGTCTATGGGAATATCAATATGTTGCTTGTATACACATTTCTATAGAATCGATTCTCTGTCATCCAACTGCTACTTATCAAACATTTTTTAATTAAAAAATCTGTGATTTTTGTGCAGTGAATCCTTATGATGGCTTTATATGTAATATAATCTCTTATCCATAACCACAGGCACTCGCCGCCCACCCATGCCACCCAGACCTACACCGCCACGAAGAAAACCATTACCACCAAATAATGTCACCGGAAAGCCAGGAAGTGCAGGTACGTTCATTGTATACCTTACTTCTCCCTCCTTGATTTCAGTTTTACGAGGCAGCCACAAGCCCTTCTTGGTGTGCTTGCCGAGACAGGGAGCAAGCCACTGGAGAGTGTGACATGTGCTTGTGTTGGCCCTGAAGACCAGACTGTAAATGACAGTTTTGAGGACTCATAACTTGACTTGTGAATGGTGGAGTGAAAGAAACCATCCCTCTGCATCTAGACCAGTCTGCTTCTTAGAAGTCTGTGTGCTTGGACCCTAGATTGAAGCTGACACAGGCCCATCAACAAGTGGCTTATTTTGGATAGGATGCTGTAACTGCCAGGCCCCAGGGGTAATGGAAAATATGATGCCCTGTCATCAACTTATCATCCTGTCTCCTTAAATGAAATACTATACATCTCGCTGAAAGCTCCCCTGTCAAACAACCTTCCTGCCAGCCCCAGGATTACAGTACTCAGGGGAAGATTTGGGATTAAAATATACAGGGTGACTGAGCAGACCTACCTTGTGCAACCAGGCAGGGATGTGTTTAGGAGGCAAGCTGCCTGTCACCTGCGTGCCTCCCACACGTTGCTCCCCACCATAGAATGACTCTTCCCAGGCTTGGGATACACACAATTCATCCTTTCCTTAAAGAAACCTTCCATAACTCCCCAAGGTAGTCTTAGCGTTGCTTTTCTATTCCGTGTGTCCTTGGTATACACTTCTATTAGAGCAAAGAGCAAATTGTTGTAGACCTACTTGTTTGCACACTTATCTTCCCCTACCAGACAGCTCTGTGATGATAGAGTCCTTGGTATATTTTCTCTGACTTCCCAGAACCAAATCCAGTGCTTAGCACATAGAGGACATTCGATAGGTAATAACTGAGTGGATAAATGGATAAAAGTAAGAGTCAGTGAAAACTGACCCAGGTAAGAGGAAAGTTTGACCTCATTTATATTAAGGACCTCGTTTATATTAATTATATAACGCTCCTCCCCCAGGACCTCCCAGCAAACTTCAGCCTGTTCCCCATCTTTCCTTCTTCTTCCTAAATCTCCTACTCCTACATATTTTGTATGAATAAAGATATGCATACAAGTGTTAAACACAGCTGTGAATGATAAAAATGATGAGGATTTACATGACGGGGTGGCTGTCACTCTTCACAGGATGAAACGATATTGTGATGGAGCTTTTATGAAGTCTCTTATGCGCAGTGAAGTCTAGCTAGATGATTTTCCCCATGGGCTGGAGGAGAAATCAGCCCCACACTCATGCTTCTGGTACCTTTCTGAGTCAAGACCCAGTGACTTGGCCTCCTCCCCATCAATTGTAACCTGGGACAGCTGTCATTTGAGCTCCAGTGGCCTTCAGGTCAGCCTGGGCATGTCACAGACTGTTGTCTGAGTATGCCCATGGAAAACTTGGGGGGCCACTCCCACAGAGCTCCCCTGTAAGCATACGTGTCTTCAGCTGCAGTTTGATGGCCTTGGTCAGTTAGTGTAGGTTTGGTAAAGCCTGGTCAGTCTGAAGAAAAACCATAAACATGTTCCACTTCAGAGATGAGATACGGTCCCCGCTCTGTACTTCCCACCCCCACTCCTCACCCCCCACCGCTAACTCAGAGAAACTCACTTGTTGAAGAGACAAATGGCAAACAAGGGCAGCTGTAGAAATCTGGCCTGATTCACATCACAGAAAGCATATCCTAAATTCCTACTACTCATGTGGAAGTCCTCCAAGAGGCTCTCACATGTGTCTGTGAGCACATCTGCCTCTTGTCTCCTATCTCCAGATCTACCAAGGCCTCCCAGCTCTGCTGTCCCTGCCAGGGTGAAAATGCTCTGCCGGCGTTGCCTCCTGCCCCTGGCAGCTCTGAAGAGCTTGTCAGGGCCACAGTGCAACTTCTTTTGGGTTTTGCTCCCTGTCTTCTCGTGGCCCACTCCCACTAAGACCAGGAGCAGGAGCCCCCCGGGGCTGGACTCTAGGCCCTTCCGACTGACTCACGCGCAGAGCCACACTGGGCCACGGTCCTCGGTCGGGCTTGTTTCCCTTGACTCTCTGTTGCCCAAGAATGATTTTCTTCCAGAAGGAATGTGAAATCCAATCTAGCCTCCTCCTTACTCAAAACACCTAGACTTGCCTGGACCCTGGGCTCGATCCAGTTTTCAAGACTTACAAGTATTTCTAGGGCAGAGGAGTCACTGTTAATGTAACAAGTCAGATAGCACCATAGTGGCCACCAGGCCAGAATCACGGACGTTGTGCTAGGGTTCTTTTTCCTCCTCCTCTGGTCATCTCCCATTCTGGCCAGTGAGTCTCCTGGACAGCTCTCATGTCCATCCTGTCTGCCCAGTCCCACTGCTTCTGCCAGAGTTCACCTCCCCTTCCCTTGCTTACACAGCACCCCAGGCTCCTGACATCTCTCTCTCTCCAGCCTTTTGCCCTAACCTTGTCTTGTCATCTTATCATGTTACCTCCCTGTCGAAAATCAGTCGGTTCTCATTGCCTAAAAATAACATCCAAATCCACAATATACAAGTTCTTTCGTGATCTAAACTGCTCCCTCCACTCTCAGCCCTGACTGCATTTCTGGGCCCTCTCCACCCTCACCCTTCAAATTAAACACACTTAGCTGTTTCATGTGTCCTTTCATGGTTCTTGTTCCACCTCTCGTCCCTACCTCTACCAATCACTTCTCTTTATTGGCACACCCTCCGTGAAGGTTCTCCCACCCACCCCACCCAACAACCCTCCATCTTCCTCGTACACAGAACCACTCCCTCTTCTCGCCCCCTCTGTGACCTTACCTAGTTCTTTCACAATAACCACAAGGCTTCACTATACTTGGCTCACACATCTATCTCCATCAAGGACCGCATCTTGTTCTCTCTCCAAGCCTGGCCATGGTGCCAAGCCACATGGTAAGTGCTTAATAAACATTCATTGCATAAATAAATGGGAGACTTGGCAGTGTCCCTATAAAGCCTGACTGCTTTGGCTCCACATTACAGGAATCGTTTTATCAGGCCCAATCACTTCCCCACCCCTGAGGGCAACTCTCAGAACTACGGGAGCCCCCTTGGAGAGGACAGAGACAGAGATAAAGCAACCAACAGTCCCTGCCTCCGGAGAAGAACTGGGTTAGTATGGCTGGCAGTTCTCGCTGGATGCTTAGCTACGAGGTACTAAAAGATTTCAAATGGGAGAGGAGAGCTTCAGTTCTGGATCTTTTATTTTACTCAATTTTATGATTAAAATGGGTCTCTTTAATTTTAAAATTATACTTCCTTTCAATGCTTCCTTACAGAGTATACTCTTTATCTTAGTAGACATAGAATAAAGTGCCTAAATTTGGCTGTTAAACAGATCTAGACTACCCAATGCTTACTGCTAAATCACATGTTATTACTAACTACACATATCTTAATCTGTTAATGAATGGTAACCACTTGGTTGTAATGTTGAGTTCATTATTATATTCCAGAATACCTTGCAGCAAGACACAATTAAAGGCCTTTTATTATATATGAATATATATAATAATAATAAAGGAAATCAAAGCTATAAGCAATTTACTAGGGGGAATATTGAGTATCTTTAGTCTTTACTACTTTTTCATTGTATTGTGATGTTTTATTTTATCTTGCCAAAATTGTTTATTATCTTCTATTCTCAGATAATATAACTGACTTTAGCTCAAGTCCAACAAAAGAAACTGATCCTCTTGGGAAGCCCAGATTCACAGGTATGATGGCTCCAAATCTCAATTTTGACAAGGCTATTTTTGTGGGTGTATCAGTCAGCTGTTGCTGTAAAACAAACAACAAAATCTTAGTAGCCTACTAATAATAAGGATTATTTTTCGTGTGTCTGCAAGTCAACTGAGGGTCAGCTGACCTAGAACATGCTTGATTAGGCGGTTCTGCTTCTAGCAGCAGGCACAGCTGGGCCTCTTGTGGATTGGGCTCTGGTCCACAAATGTATATTTAACATTTTAAAAGACTGTCAAACTGTTTTCCAGAATTGTTGTGCTGTTTTATTTTTCTGTCAGTGTTGAGGATTCTAGTTCCTCCACATCCTCACTGTTTAGTATAGTTAGACTTTTTGATTTTAGCCATTTTAATAAGTTTGTAGTGGCATCTAATTGTGATTTTAGTTTGCACGTCTCTGATAACTAAGGATGTTGAATATCTTTTCATGTGCTTATTTGCCAACTATGTATCTTTTTAGTATGTCCAAATTTTTAAAAATGGAATTGCTTGTTTACTTAATGTTGAATTTCGAGAATCTTTATGTTTTCTTGGTATAAGACCTTTCTTAGATACATAGTTTACAAATATGTTGTCAAGTGCATGTCTTTTAATTTTAGTGAATCCCAGTGTACCAATATTTTTTCATAGAACTCATTTTCTTTAACTGATGCAGGGCTATTCAGCATATTTTGTCTTCCTTAGTGAGCTTTCAAAGTATGAGTCCATTTTATCTAAGTTGTCAAATTTATTTGCATGAAATTATTCATAATATTCCTTACTTTCATATCTGTATTTTTGGTGCCACATCTAAGAAATCATTCACTAATCAGAAGTCACAAAAGTTTTCTCCTATAGTTTCCTTCTAGAAGTTTTATACTTTTACACTTAAGTCTTTGATCCACATTGTACAAAATTTTTTATGTCATACAAGATATAAGTACATTTTTTCTTGCTTATGGATATCCCACTGTTCCAGCATCATTTGTTGAAAAAACTATCTCCACTGAATTGTGTTTGTACCTTCGTCAAAAATCAATTGTTCATATATATATTTGGCTCTATGTTGGGGCTTTCCAGGCTGTTCTGCTGATTGTTTTACATACCTTTACACCAATACCACACTTTCTGGATTCCTGTGGCAGCTTGCAGTCAGGCCATGTTAGTCTTCTAATGTTGTTCTTACTTTTCAAAATTGTTTTGGTGATTGAGTCCTTTCCATTTCCATATTAATTTTAGGATCAGCTTGTCACTATCTGAAAAATAGCTTGCTGAGATTTTGACGAATTGTATTGAATCTGTAGGTCAATTGGGAATAATTCACAGCTAAACAGTATTGTCTTCCCAACTATGAACATGGTATATCTCACCATTTATTTAGGGTTAAAAAATTTCTCTAACCAATGTTTTATAGTTTTCAGTATACAGAAAGCCATAGAAGTAATATTTTTATTTCAATTTCCAATTCATTGCTAATATGTAGGAAAAAATTTTTGTACAGTGATCTTGTATCCTGCAGCCTTACAAAACTTATTGATTCTGGTAGCTTTTTTGTAGACACGTTGGATTTTCTACACACAAAATTAGGTCATCTGAGACTAGTTTTATTTCTTCTTTTGTGCCTTGGTTCCCTTATTTTTTCTTGCCTTATTGTACTGGCTGGAGCCTGTAATTAAATATTGTATAGAAATTATAATGAAAAACATCCTTTTCTTATTTCTGATCTTATAGATAAAGAATTTAGTCTCACCATTAAGTATGGTATTACTTGTACATTTTTCATAGATTTATTTATCAGGATAAGGAAGTTCCCTTCTATTCCTAGTTTGATAATTTTTATCCAAAATTGATGCTGTATCATGCTTTATCTGCTTTTATTGAGATGATTATATGATTTTTCTTCATTAGTTTGTTAATATGATGAAGTAATTGATTTTTAAATTTTAAACTAACCTTGCATTCCAGGGACAAACCCCATTTGGTGATAATGTATTCTCATTTTATATATTGTTGAATTTAATTTGCCAAAATTTTTTTAGAGATGTATTCATGAAGGACATTGATCTGTAGTTCAAATTTTAATATCAGAATAATGCTGAACTCTCATCGTCAATTTTCTGGAAGACTTTGTTTAGAATTGTTATTGCTTCTTCCCTAAATGTTTAGTAGAATATTTACTAGTGAGGCCATCTGAACCTCACATTCTCTTTGTGGGAAGCTTTTTACATATAAATTTACTTTCTTTTATAGATACAGGGCTACTCTAAATATTAATATTTTTTTCTCCTTAATGAGGTTTGGTAGTCTGTGTCTTTCAAGGTATAGTCTATCTCATCTAAATTGTGAAATTTATTGGTATCCAGTTGTTCATAATATTCATTTATTATTTTAATACCTGTAGAGTCTGTATTTATATCACCTTTCTCATCCCTGATATTACTAATGTGTATCTTTTTTTCTCTGTTGCCTAATCAGTCTGTCTATAAGTTTATCAATTCCTTGGATCTGAGAAGGCCAACTTTTTTTTCATTGAATTTTCTCTTACTATATTTCCTGTTTTCTATTTCGTTTATTTTTACCTGGATCTTCCTTTCTTCTGCTTAATTTAGTTTACTTTGCCCTTGTAATTCTAGTTTCCTAAGGTAGAAAATGAGCTCTTTGATTTGAGACTTCTCTTTTTTTAAAAGAAACTCTGGCACCAAAGTTCTCAGTCCCTGGGTGGTTTCAAACCACCAACCTTTTGGTTAACACAGCAGCCTTACTAATAGCACCATGGAGACAAAGCTCTTTCTTCTTTTTTAATATGGCATTTAGTGCTCTGGATTTTCCACTAGATATTGCTTAATCAGCATCCAAAACTTTTTAATATGTTATGTCTTCATTTTTATTCTGTTTAACATACTTTTAAATTTCCCTTTTAATTTCTGCTTTGACCCATTGATTATTTAGAAGTGTATTTATAAATAAATATTTAATTTCTAAATATTTGAAGATTTCTCAGAGATCAATCGCTTGTTGATTTTTAATTTAACTCCATTGTGGCCTGATATTCTGTATTACTTGAATCCTTTTAAATTTGTTGAGACTTTTTTTATGGTCTAGAACGTGATCTACCTGGGTACATGTTCTGTGTGTACTTGAAAAGAACATGTATATTCTACTACTCTTAAATGGTGTGTTGAATTAACTTGCTAGGGCTGCCATGACAAAATACCACGGATTTTGTGGCTTAAACAACAGAAATTTATTTTCTCACAGTTCTGGAAGCAAGAAGTCTGAGATCAGCAGGTTTGGTTTTTCCTGAGGTCTCTCTCCTTGGCTTGCAGATGGCCTGCCACCTTCTCACTCTGTCCTCTGCCCTTTCCTCTGTGCATGCACCTCTCTGTTGTCTTCCTCCTCTTTTAAGGACATAGATTGGGTTAGGGATCTACCTTATGACCTCATTTAACCTTAATAACTTCTTTAAATCCCTCTCTCCAAATCTGGTCACACTGAACGTTAGGGCTTCAACACATGGATTTTAGAGGAACACAAATCAACCCATAACAAGTGCTCTATGAAATGCCAATTAGGTCAAGTTAGCTGCTTGTCTGTATCGTAGAGTTCTTCTGTATCCTGACTGATATTCTGTCTACTCGATCTGTCAATTAATGAGAAAAGAGTATTGAAATCTCTGACTATAATTGTGGATTTACTTCTACTTGCAGTTCTATCAGGTTTTACTTCATGTATTTTAAAGGTCTGTATTCTGGCACAGACCTAAATTACTTGAGATTGTAATAAATTCCTAATTGATACTTTATCATTACAAAATGACCTTTTCTATTTCTGGTAATATTCTTCACTCTGAAATCTAATTTGTTGATATTTCCATATCTAGCCAAGCTTTCTTTTGATTAATGTTATCTTTTTCTCATCCTTTCATTTTTAATCTACTTAACCTATCTAAAGTGTTTTTGTTATTGGCATCATATAGTTGGGTCCTACATTTTTATCTAATGTAACAATTTCTGCATTTTATTTTGGGTGCAAGGAACCTTACATTTACTATGGTTATTGATGCTGTCGGGTTTAAATCTTCATCTTGCTATTTGTTTTCTATTTGTCCCATCTAGTCTTTGTTCCCTCTTTTCTTCTCTTTCCAGCCTTTTTTTGGGGTTGAGTACTTTATGATTCCATTTTACCTTTGTTGTCTTATTAGCTGTAACTCTTTACTATTTGAATGGCTGCTTTGGGGGGTTATAGTATGTATCTTTAACTTATCACAATCTATCTTCCAGTGATAATATATAACTTCACATACAGCATAAGAACCTTATACTAGAATGGCTGCTTTTCTCTTGGCCTCTGGGCTATTATCATACATTTTACTTTTACATGTTATATACATTATACTAAATTATTTTTATCTTAGTATAAATAGTAAATTATTACTTAGAAATAATAAGGAAAATACTGTGTACATTTACCTATGTAATTACCTTTCCAGTGCTTTTCATCCCTTTGTGTGGACCCATATTTCCATCTGGTATCATTTTCCTTCTACCTGAAAGAATTCCTTTGGTATTTGTTGTAGTGAGGGTCTACTGGTAATGAATTCTTGCAGGTTTTGTATGTCTAAAAAGAGTATTTTACTCTTTTTTTTAAAAAAAGATATTCTCACTACTCATTGAATTGTAAATGAGGCTTTTTATTTCCATATTCAAAGATGTTCCTCTACTGCCTCTTACTTGCATTCTTTCCAGTGAGAAATCTGCCACAATTCCTATCATTGTTGGTCTATACATGTCCTTTTTCCTCTGTCTCTTTTAAGGATTTTCTCTTTATCACTGGTTTCGAGAAACTGGATTATGATTAACATCATCATCTTCATGTTTGTTGTGCTTAGATTTGTCCGAGCTGTTTAGATCTCAGATCCAAAAAATACTTTTTTCATTTTTAAAATATTGTTGAGTTTTGTTCTGGAGTGTGCAGTAAAATTACTTGAAACCACTTGGTCCTTTTGAATCTGGCCTTTAAGGTTTATTAGGTGGAATCAGAATTATGTTTAGCAAAGGACTAATTATTCCCCACCAGTGAGGTAAGACAACTATGAGATTTAAAAAGGGACCAAATTATTTTTGGATATTAGCATAAGCCGAACCTCCTTAGTAAGTAAATCAACATCATTTGTGTCATGTATCTCAGAGGCAATGTTTTGGATTTTCCAGGGTTGAACCATTCACAACACTGCTTTCAACTGCCTGCTATTATGTGACCAGATGTCCTTAAGCAAATAATTATATTTATGAGCTCACTTCCATCTTCTTCACAAAATTGTTAAACGTCAGAGTCCCATCTCTCACAGGTCCTCATGTGCGGTACCTCCAAAAGCCTGATGACAGTCCCTGCTCCATTACTGACTCCGTCAAGCGCTTCCCCAAAGAGGAGCCCACAGATGGGAATGCCACCAGCCCACCACAGAACCCACCCACCAACCTCACTGTGGTCACCGTGGAAGGGTGCCCCTCGTTTGTCATCTTGGACTGGGAAAAGCCACAAAATGACACTGTCACTGGTAAGATCATGACCCAAGGACTGTTAATACTGTGGGAAGCATCGATAACATGATGCATTGGGAATAGGGTACCCTGGGTCAACTGTGACATGTGAAGCATATCTGAGGAGGAGTGAGTCCCAGCAGAGTTCTACTGTCCTAATGGCATGTTACTGTCAAAAAATGTCATAATATGGAGAAAAAAAAATCTCTGTCTTTTTTATGGGCTCCAGCTTAATTTAGCATATCTCTTTAAGCTGCATTTCTTCCATGTCCTCTTAGAATTCTTTTCACATTATGAAGACATAGCTAGACTTCTCATTACCAAGAAAAATTGCAGAAAATGCATGAGGAAATGCCATTGCTAATGATATTTAAACTAGTTTTCCTTTTACCAACCCAATTTCCAAATTGACCTAGAACTTTCAAGCAGGTTAAAGTTATTTCAACTGTTGTAGGAGAAATAAAAACAAAAATTCTATTCCTGGTCATCTCAAAAAATTTGTATTCTGCCACTATCTACCCAATTCCTCTAAAAAAAATGACCATGAAAATAAGATGCCCTGAGTCACTCTTTGAATCTGTTATGACAATTTGGTTTTCCATAGTGAACAGGATAGTCACACAAGAGGTGTGGGGAAAAGACTAACCTAAATCAGCTAGAAAACATAGCAAATGGTCAATATGAGTAAGGACATGCAGTTGCTGACACGCAGGTCCCTGCCATGTACCTGGTACAGATAGACAGAGAATAGAGGGGCTGACTAAAAGGCTGTCAGGAGTAGAGAGAAGCAGCACACAGGGCCAGGTAGGGAGTGGTGGGATTCAGGATCTGCCAAAAATGTTTTCTGCATAAAAAAGCAGCATTTCTCCTCAGATGGAATCATTTGATCTGGGCAACTTCCAGTATAAGCAGTCTTTGTTTGTTTAGCTTGCTTTCTTTACCATTTTTTTTCTTATGAATTTTCCTTTTTCATGCAAAGCTAGCCCTTGTTTTGTTTTGGTTTTTTATTTTAGTTACACTACCTCCCTCTGTCACCAAGGCTATAGTACAGTGGTACGATCATAGCCTACTACAACCTCAAACTCTTGGACTCTAGCAATCCTCCTGCCTCAGCCTTCCAAGTCATTGGGATTACAGGCATGTGTCACTGCACCCAGCCTAGTCTTTGTTTTGAGAAACGACTAGGAGTGGTGGCTCACGCCTTTAATCCTAGCACTCAGGGAGGCTGAGGCGGGTGGATTGCTCAAGGTCAGGAGTTTGAGAAAGAAGCAACTTACTTCCCCTTGGTTCCTGGAGATTTGCCTAGTCCTGTTTTTTACTTGGGACTACCATATCAATATCTAGAAATCAATCTCCCAGTATCGATTATCTACATGTATTAAAACATCCAAAACTTTCCGTCTCCATACTATGTTAATAAGGAGTTCCTGTGATAGTTTGAGGCTTAGTTTTCATAAAATCAAATGATCTATAAAATTTCATTTGCCTTAAATGTGGGACATCAAGTTAGAATTGGTTCATCTAATCCATATCCAGTTGGATATATCAATAACATTTGATTTAATTTTTCAAAGCTTAAGGATTTGCCTTTTTGATTTTGTAAATTTTTAATGTCAAAGAATCATGAATAAGAGTATACTTTAGCCAATTGCTTTTGTAATGTTGTTACTACATGTTAATGGTCTACTTAGGATCTTTCACAAGATACAAGAGACTTATAATAATAATTTTTATAGATGAGGATCAAATCTCTTTTAGCTATAATGTTTCCTAAATAGAAATAAGTTCATATTTAACCATTGTTCTAGTCCGTATTTAAACATTGGATCATTTGCTCTAATGCTCTGTTTCAATTTTTTTTTTCATTTCATTTTAGTTTTTCATTACATACCTCTTGATTTCAAATGCCATTGTTTATAAGCCAGCAGCTCAGATAATACAGAGATTAATTCTTGTATCACTGGAACAGGTTTTACAAGAAGGTATTGAGAAATAACAAAAAGAGAAAATCGTATTCTTCACTTCCCCTGAGTTAGCTGGTGTGAGTAATGTTTCTTTGAGTTGATGGGCACATATTCAGCTCTAGTGAATACATCCAAATTCAGCTACTTTTACATGTCCCTTCTACACTGAAGCTGAAATAGATACACCTGAAAATTGGCAATAGCCTGGGTCCTACGACAACTTACGTTAGTTATAAGTCATTGTAGTATAATATTCCAAGAGTCTCCTGGCATAGATTTAAATTCCAGGTCTGCTTTGTTCTAGATGTGCAACTTGGATATATAATGGCCTTGTTGAGCCTTAGTTTCTTTATCTTTAATAATAATAATTCCCATTGTTATCAATTTATCTTCAGGATAAAATTAAATAAAGTATTTGAATATGCAGCACAAATTAGAAATTGTTAAAATAATGTTTGTCAGTAGTAGCAGTAATAGAAGCAATTTTTATAATGTTGGTGAATTTATGAAAAGGCATCATTAACCCCTTAAAGCAGGGGTCCTCAAACTTTTTAAACAGGGGCCAGTTCACTGTCCCTCAGACCGTTGGAGAGTGCACACTGTGGGCCCGGGACGAGTCGGCTGCTAAGCAGGACAGGCAGCAGCGGCAAAAACACCTGGAGAGCCGGATATATGTGCTAGGCTGCTGGCATGTGGCCTGCAGGCCATAGTTTGAGGACGCCTGCCTTAAAGCATCAAAAATGAAAGATACATTTACAAAGCATAAGACAAACATATTTTCAAAAGCTAGAATTCAGAGAGAAATTCTAAATGTCTTTTTTATTATGAAGGAAGCTTCTAGATTTATTTTGAAAACTCTTATCTTCCAGGAAAAAAATACTATTAAATCAAATGTTAAAATTTGAGTCAAATGAAAATGAAAATGTACAATAGAATTTTTAAGTTCTAAAAGGCTGGTTTAGTATCAAGTAGAATATCATACAGTAAACGAGGAATGTAACAAGCCAAAGATGGATTTTGAATGTGGTTGCTTTAGTGCATAACCAGAGTGTCATATAAACTGGTTTGTTTGGTGACTAAGCAGCACCTGAGTCTTTCCAATTGGAATCTTAAAATTTTTGTGATGCTATTTTCAGAATACAACTCAGGGATGATCAAGAATTATAAAAGCAACAGTAATAATAGGTACCACCTGTTGAGCAAAATACATGAACAATATTATTAGGAACTTCCCATGTGTTCCTAATTTAACCCCCACAAGCAAAACACTATGAAGATATATTATTGGCATTTTACAAATGGGAAGAATTGAGACCGAGTTCAAGTCAAGTGGCGTGTTTTGTATCTTTCTGTTATACCTTGCAGTTTCCATTTTTTAAAATCAATTACATTTTAATTACTTCTACTTTTTTTTTAACAAACATCCCTTTACAGCAGAGTAAAAGATACAAAACAGGCAGATTTGAATTTAGGGTCCTCCCACTGTGCCTCCCTCCCTTTCCTCTCTGTTAGAATAGACAGCCAATTGAGAGATGAGTTGGGATCAAAAAAGCCTGAATGAAGGTATAAAATATCAGTCATTAGTTCTTTAATAGATGCACTGGGTAACCAGACATAATGACCACTGTCATCCAGTTTCATTTTCAATTTTTGGAAAGATAATCATATAAAATTACCCAGAAAAAAGTCATCTTCTTTTTGCATTTTTAAAATATATTATTAAGAATCCTCCCTAGGCCAGCTGCAGCGGGTCACACCTGTAATCCCAGCATTTTGGGAGGCTAAGGTAGGAAGACTGCTTGAGGCCAGAAGTTTAAGACCAGCCTGAGCAATATAGTGAGACACCAACTCTACAAAAAATAGAAAAATAAGCCGGGCATAGTACCATGTACCTGTAGTCCCAGATACTCAGGAGACTGAGGCAGGAGGATCATTTGAGCCCAGGAGTTTGAGGTTGCTGTGAGCTGTGATGATGCCACTGGACTCTAGCCCAGGCAACAAAGTGAGATCCTGCTGTTAAAAACAAACAAACAAAAAACCCTTTCTAAATATAAATTGGTGGTTTTTAGATCTGCCTGAGTTATTCCACTTTTGGTTTTATTGCAAATATTTAGCTTTATATCTTTGGTCTCAGTACTAATGTCAGAAATCCCCGGCATTACTTGCCAGCGCCTTTGCAGGCTTTCTTCCTTATCTGATGCCCAGAATTTGTGTGTTTCTTCATATTAATGGGGCTGATTTTGAGTGGGACTTTGTTGCTGCTTGTTTTGCATTTTGTTTGTTTTTTTAGTTCTCTATATCATCGTATCACACGCATTAAGCTAAATCCCAACTGAGAGCAGGGAAAACCAATTAACACATGTGCAAATTGTATTCTCTTCTGAATGTCTTTCCCTTTTGATGATCCCTGCAAGTTCATAAAACATGCCTTTGAGTGAAATTCAAGCAGACCTCTATGCAGACTTTAAGGACATGATTTTTTTTTAATACAAAGAAAATGATCAAGGGAGCATAATTTATATAAGCAGTAGGTACAAAACCCCACTAATTTTATAGTTTAAAATAATGAACCATTGTTAAGTATAATTTATTATGCGGTTAACTGTTATTTGCTGCTATGATTTTGAACTCAAAGACGTTTTTTGCAACAGTACCCCATGTTCAGTGGCCTTTTCCCCCAACTATATTGTAAAGCTTGTAAAGTAGAAAACATGGCTCCTTTTCAAGCACCACCCCTTATATGGTGGTTTCCCCAGACTGGGCTTTCCCACAGTGGCAGGCTACCTCACTTATCTAACACAATCAAAGGTCATGCACCCAGACCAACCACAGGAGTGTCATCGGTCTTTACCAGTTACCAAGGCCTTCCTCCGCTCTGGTAAAAGGAAAACAGAAATTGTCAATGAGCAAATCCCAGAGTGCTTCTGGGACCTTCGTCATCTGCTAACCATCCCTATCTGGAAATTGCCAATGTATAAGATCAATATGCCTCAAGAACAGCAACCTCAATTGCTCAATTTTATGAGAGTGGCTTTATTATGCTATTAGCTTCAAGAGCAGTTAAATCAGAGAGAGAAAGACAAGTATCTATTGGCTTTTTTCACTTTTCAGAATATGAAGTTATATCCAGAGAAAATGGGTCATTCAGTGGGAAGAACAAGTCCATTCAAATTACAAATCAAACCTTCTCCACGGTAGAAAATCTGAAACCAAACACAAGGTAAGCCACCAGTGCTATTCCCAGTACACTCTGAGAATGCAAAAGACATAACCACAACAAAGAAATGAAATGATGTCATCTTCTCTGTCTTGAAGGGGGGGTCTAGCCTGCATCTCACTCTTTGGCTTTCTGTGTGTGACAATAGATACCTATGGAGTCATGTTTAGCAAATATGCATGTTATTGATAGGGAAAAAAGAGGTGACAAGATGGTTTTGTAAGTTAACAGTATGGCAACATAAAAAAATAGAGGGCCATTGATACCAAATGTTTATGTCAAATACCAAAATTTAGAGAAGGAAAATTCTGTAGACCAGAGACAACTAGAGTGTACATGATGTAAACTAGATATGAAGCACCAAAAAATTTGGCTGTCATGCAAAGCAGAGGACAAGGACATGAAAGTCACATGACAAAATGTTGGTGAAACTTTTTAATAGTTATTACTTAAAATAACCACAAGTCCAAGACATGCAATTCTTTGCTTTTGGAGCCCTTTATTACAAATGAGAAAGGAGTTTGACAATAGAACTACGTATTTTTAACATTATAGTAAACAACTTTTCTAAGTATCCCGTATTACACATTGATACCAGGTTGTTCATATTGCTGTTTAGTTTTATGATTCCTTTCTAAATCTAAAATCCACAATATTTTATCAGTTCGTTATATTAATGATACAGAAATGAGGGCCTTAGCTCTAGTTGTCTTGTTATGTCGTTGTCCCTCCATCAGCTCGATTCTCCAATCCAGACCACCAAGTCCTTTTGCTCCAAGCCTTTGGTCTCCTTCTGTCTTCCCCTCCCTTCTTATCCAACCTAAAGTTTACCCCTTTTCTTCTTTTGTTCTACAAGGGGTCTTCAAAATGTTTGTGGATAATGCATATTATAAAAAACTATGCATAGATTTCACATTTTTTTGCACCAAAATAAAGTCATACTAACTTGTTAAAAAAAAAATGTAGTAGGAAAGTTCCAAAAAGAGGATGCCTTTTTCTCATAAGTTTCATATTGTCATCAATTGATTGAATAGAATTAGGTATTGATAGTGACACTCAAAAGAGCCTATTTGGCTCTGACAGTAGGAAGACTTTTCTAATCTTTTTATGGAAAAGGAAGCATCTAATTCATTATAGATGGTTTGCTATATATAAACTTTAGTCCCATACTGCAAAAGTAACACTTCTTCCACAAGTGTTTTTTTTTTCTTTAAAGTTCTTTATTTTGAGATATAATGTGGAAAATTTTACAACTCCTAATTTTCTTAAAATGTTCAAGGTAGCCAAAATAAGCATGTATTTCAGTAAAAGCTCGTTTGATGATCTTTGTTCTGTTTCCTTAGCAAGATTGGGAGGAAGGTAAAGCCTATTTTTACCATAAAATATTTTAAGGAAAAGGCAAAAGAGAAAAAGGTCATTTAATTTAGACTTTTTAGTAGGAGGATTGGTGCTTATAAAACTTGGTTTTTCTCTTCTGTTTCCTGCTTTTTATTTCACTTAATAAATAATTCCATTTAATAAAAAATGACCTCTGTAGAATAAATACAGTCATTGAAAGGCATCCAATTTCTAAATGTTCATTGTGTTCCTTTTCTAAATTGGTCTGTCCTCAGATCTGAATGTAGAACCCAGTTATTCCACTGACATTTTAAACCCCATTTCTTTGCAAAAGGTTTGCATTTTCATTCAGCTAACATTTATCAAGTGCCAACAATGTGCTTAGTGGAATACTCGGTGGTGTGGCTATAAAAACATGAATAAATGTTTAATAACCAGGTACTCTACACAAAGTGGCCAGAGCTCTGAGAGAAGTATGCCTAAGGTGCCATGGGAGCCCAGAGTGTGTGACACTCCAAGTTTGGGAAAATGAGGAAAATCTTCCTAGAGAAGGTGACACCTGGGCTGATGGGTAGGAAGGAGCTATCCAGGTGGTTAAGGCAGGGGAAGGGAATGTCAGGGAGAATAGCACGTGTCAGGTGCCATGGTTATGTGCCATGAACAATAGGTCATCTTCCCCAGAGCAAGTGGTGACAAGTGACCGGAGGCAGAAGCAGCAAAGAAAGGTAGAAGCCAGTTTGAAAAGGGCCTTGTAAGCCAAATCAGAAGAAGGGAAGACTGCAGGGGTAGTCACTGGGGAGTGACTTGCTCTAATTTTCATTTATAGTTTTCATTCTGACTTTTGTTTAGTTTTTGTTAATGTCTTGGCAAGAGTGCTGTTGGGCATCTGACCTAATTGGTAAAGTAAGTGGGGAAGAGAAAAGGAACACTGGACTGAGTTGCATTTCATTCTGTAATCACAGGTCATGGGGTTTTATATGTAGCTTCTAGTTATAATCATTTTAGGACTTATCCTGACTATTTCTGGAGTTTGCCTCAGTCTGGAAGGCAGCATTGACCCTCTTTATCCCATCCTCATTGTATGTATCTTGCTTTTCTCTCCTGTCCTCCATCAGTGGACCTTCCACTGGAGGACTCCTAAAACCCATCCTTACCTCATGACTAGCAAAGCCTAAAGGAGGTCCTGTCTAGATTTGTCTTTGGGGAAAAACAATATTACATCAAGTAATTAAGGACTCCTGAAATCAGGATCGCATACCAGGTTTTACCACTGGCACTAGTTTGAGGCCATTCATTTGGTCTATGTGTGGCTTACTTGATGTTATTTTTAGAGTTTGGTATGATCTAATGAAATCCATTAGGATATCAAAATCATTAATTTTCATATATATGATTTAGCCAGAATTATATGGGTAGCCATTAATGGCTCATGATTTCAAAGTTTGTCAATCGGTAGTCTAAAGTAAAGAACATATTTCCATTTGGGGGAAAAAATAACAACATACATGGATGTAAAGGTGTCTGGTGAAAACTGCTTAGTTTTCAATATGTGAAACCTTGTGCTGGTCAAGTAGTTCAGTAGATCCTAGTCCTTACTGAGCCTGTGAATGCATCCCACATCTCTCTTAACAGAGGTATGTCAGAAATTAATGTGTCTATTTAATGGGCAAAAAATGTTTTGAGCTGAAATATTAAAATTATATGTTGAAACTCCCATTAGACAAAATAATGAGTTAAGGAAGAATAAGGTGAAGTAAATTATTTCAATTAATTTGATTTGCCTGAAGCCTGAAAGTATCTGAGAAAACAAAACCAACACGCATGAAGCAATTGTAGAGCACAAAAGGGCATACCCAGCATAGGACTTACACCCAAGTTCTGTGAGTTAGGAGAAGAGAGAGCTTCCTGGAGTACTTGAGACTAGAACTTGATGGTAAAGAATAAGACGGAAGGGGCAAGCTGGCAAGAAAAGGAAAAGCACCCACAGTATTGTTCTTTCTAGTCAATTCCATGTGCATGATTTAGGTGAAGTATAATACAAGTAGTCCTCAAAGTTACTACTGACAGCACGGCTACAGCCAGAATAATAAAGTTACAAGTTCCCCAATTTAGGTTTGTTGGCTTTTCTGATGCAAGCTTTTTTCATACTATCTTAAGTTGTCAAGGCATTGTACTTCCATTGTATCTCTTCTACCCCAACCATGATTCAAGATTAATGCTAATAAAAGACACACTGTAAAAATAAAGAGGAAGTATATGCAGGAGGCAGCCACCAAGTGGTTTTTATTAGCTATAAATAATATCCCTAGTTATATTTCAATGCTTGGGGAAAATTTTGAATCAAGGTATATGGTAAAATTAAATTTCTAATATAGGCAAAGTTTGAATTATAGCTGTTACAATTCCCCCATGAGGTTCAGAATTCCATATTTGAATAACTAGAAAATAGATAATATAATAGCTTCTGAAAGAACTACTGTAGTTGTGTTCCAATACTAGGAGCTACATGTAAATCATTTATTTTAGTAGCATTTTCCATCACTTTTCCTGACTAAAAGTCATGGTACCTGAAATCAGATGATAATTACTGAAAAATCTTCACACACGGACACAGGTGGAGTAGACCTTGGTGTTAGAACATTTAACCCAGGAGAAACAAGGCAGAGATTAGATATCCATAAAGTAGTTTTGGTTAGAAATTGTAAATGGTCACATACTATTACAGAAATAAAATGATAGCAGACTATGCTTCCCTTTCATAATGTACGCCAAACTTCTCCTGCCTGTTTTTATGACTTAGCCGGGTTTTTATCTACTCTGCAGAAGCTGAAAAAGTCGCCCACAGTAATGGACCATCCAGAAGGTATTTTGCTGATGGGAGAGTCTGGCTCCACACCTGGGTCAGATGTTCCTGTCTATAGACAGCCACAGGGTTGCTGTGGGGCACCTGGGTACAGCTCCATAGGTGGCACAGGGTGGCCCTCCCCAGGCTGGCCAGCAGCTGCCTGCAGCTGCAGTGGGACTGTGGTCATATATATGGACAGGGAAAAGTCATATATATGCCCAGGGAAGACTCCGTGTGTGGGGAGCCATAACTGTCTTTGTCAAGAGAAGCAACAAAGATCTTTTAACACAAACTTCATCTCTTTCTTTAGAGGATCCTTCTCTCATGCCCTACTCCTAAAATAAAAAGAAAATGTAGCAATGTTGGTATCCAGCTGAATCCGTACCCACCTAAAGCCCATTTCACAAACATAATCTCCATTTATTTCTCATCTATGAAACTTCTCTTGCCCTACAATTACTCAAGAACACCAATCCTCTATCTCTTTAGGCAATTTGTGGCTCTTATTGAACTAAAAGAAAAATATTAAGAACAGCCTTTCCTATCGGGAGCAAAAACACTTTGCAAAGACCACCATGATTATCTTTAGTTCTGTGAACAGAGGAACGCATAAAGTATGTCGTAAACAATAGGTCTTATATCACAGCTTCTAGGGACAGGAAGCATGAATTATCAATCTCTAAGTCTCTTCCAACTCCAAAATGATATAATCTTATGACAGCCAGAGCTATACATGGAGTCAGTGAGAGAACTGGAATTGAAAATAAAACTAAAACCTAGGTCAGTTCCCTAACAAGTAGAATTGTCCCAGTAAACCACT